TTTCTGGCAACAAGAGGCTTAATTACTGTGGTAAGAGAGTAAATTATGATGGAGAAGATGTTAGCTTAGTCGGGTGATTTCATGCAAAATTATAACATAGCTAGCAGAGCCGCGCAATCAAATTCAGTATACGAAAGCGTGCTCAAAATCCCGATAGTGCACGGTGATAGCGTGAGCAAATCGCTTCGCCAGAAATTTTTTTTCGCGCGAGCAGCCATTGTTAGCGCCGGGAAAAATAATATTTTTCGTGACAATAATGGATACAAACAGAGACTCGGTCCACCAGTCCCAAAACGAAGACAATTTCCCGACCTTTTCCCTTGGGCTTGAGTTCTTAAATGAGGCAGAAAAAGAAAAAAACAACGGAAAAGGAGATTCGGCATCAGCGCCGTCACGATTCGCTTCACTGTCAAAGGGTGAAATGCAACAAATTTTGACAGAAAGACACTCTGGTAAAACCAAACAAATGACAAACTGAATTTTGCATTTAAACTGCTGTGAAATAAAACTCGAGCTTTCAACAAAAAATTTGAAATAAAACCAATTCCTATTTTGCTTAATATTTCGCTTACCACGAACAATCACTTCTGATATTGTTGTCCGTTTTTCGCGTCGGATTTGATGCACAATTCCACCGGCTATGTCATAAAACAATTGGTTCATGCTTTTAGCTGCGCACTATCGAGTTATGGAGTACGTGGGATGGTGGGATGTGCGCTATCGAGTTATGGAGCACTCAAGAAGCTAGAGTTGCCCTCGGCTCTTGCCTCGGCAACTCTTACGCTTCTTTCGTGCTCTCCAAACTTCCCACGTGCTCCATAACTCGATAGTGCACGCTAAAATATGAACCAATTGTTAAGCAGCGGTCCTTTTCACTTTTTTTTTAATTTTATTTTTCACTTCCATCTATGTCTGCCGCCTTCGCCAAACCTTGCATAGTTTTGCGAGAAAAGTTAAAACGTGAAGAAAGATGTGAAATTCGTTTCACAAGTGCTGGAAAGCCACTTCAAGAACTCAAATCCCAGCATATTCTGAAAAAGAGCACGTCAATTGATAAACTAAGTATTGTATTGCTCCCACGAAGCGACTATACTCGAAACTTCAGGTTTTCCAAACCTCGCAACGGTGGTTTTCGCTTCCTTTATAAACTCATGGTTGATTATTAACCAAGTTTTTCGTTTTTCTCGACGATGCAGCAGCGTAAACAGATCTTTCAGAGACTGGCAAGCTCGTTGTCAAACGCCAAGTTTACATACAAGCACTCCTCTTGATTTGAAATTCTATACCTCGAACTTCCTTTCCATAAATATTCCAAAAGGAATTTGTTAGATATTGGATCACTTTAATGGCAAGCCAACAATCAAATTGGAAAATATAATTTTCAACAAAACTTTATACTGTCCAACTCGAACAGCTGAAAATTTTTCATGCGTTATGCTAAACTCTCTAAGTTGAGTTTTGCTGAAAAATTCCTCATTTATGGCAGGTTATATTAGATTTTCTCACTCCATCCTCAACTTTTTGTTGTAATCTTTCGGAACCCCAGTTGCATGCACTGATAACTTGAAAATGAATGAAAGAATGTGTTCCTAAAGTAATACCTAAATGTCCCCACTTTTCAACTTAAAATGTTTAGTAACTCCGGCCGTTATAATTGTGTGAGTGTCAGAAATAAAACGAGTTTTTGCCGGAAGGATCGTAAAAGTTTTCAAAAACAAGTAGGAGACTAACAAGGAATCCGAGTCTTGAATAATTGATTAGTATGAACAATTCTTAAACGAAACAAAGCGTATGAACCTGACTAATATTAAAAATTATGTCATGCAGGACCGAAGATAATTTTGTGGCCCGCAAAAATTAAACGAAGTATTCCGGCATTTTTTCAAGTTCTATGCCTTGCCTTACTGGAATCTCCAACTCGAAAATCCAGCTCGAAATCCGACTCAAAATCCTAACTCGAAGGAGTGTTTACTCAAAAGCAGAACTTCGAGTTCGTATTACGACCTTCAGTCGCCAACAATCGGTTTTCGATCGCTGTTCAAGTGACTCCTCGATAACGGAGAAACTCCAATCCTAACTCGTTAACAGCTCATTCAGTTGCTAACTATCCTAACTGATACAGCTCTAACCAGCCTTTCTCCATTATTCATTTAATATTGCATTTTCAGACCACAATGCAAATCTAGCTAATGGAAAAAACCGCAATTATCGAATGACAAAATACGTTTTAAAATTAAACAATCATCCGTTTTCCTCAAATTTGAGGTCTAGTTTGGTAAATATATATATGATATTTCTGTGCTTGTAATCCTTAAAAAATAAAAAAATGAAAGTAAAGTCAAATTAAAAACATAGAAACATGCATGTTGATCGTGAACTCACGAAAACCCAGCATCCAGATTAAAAAGAAGTTTAGGGCAAGTTTTAGCCCAGAAGATTGTTTGCCTTTTCCTTTTCAGGGAACTTTTTTTCCCCAAAACATGCTTCCAGCAAATGTGAGTATTTTCAAAGTCACTTTTGACCTGTTTCTTTATTGGAAGGTGCCAGACGAATCACTCAGAACTTTTTCCACAGTCCTAAAAGGCTGCAGAAATGTTAGCGTGAGTTTTTTTGACTGATTGAAAATTTCAGAATGTGATTAATTTTAAAAGCCATTATTCTCCTGGGTAATTCCTCATTAGGCAGGTACAAAAGCAGGATAATAGTACCCAATGTGCATAAGTTCTTTCCCACCTGTTAATAAGGTCGTTGTTATCACATGCAAGAGCTGCACTAACATACAGACAAGAATCGCCAGCAAAGAAACATTCTTGGAGAAAACGGTAGGAAATAATTTTGTTTGGGCTTAGTTGCAGAGTATTTCGTTCACAGATAGAGCTATGTAAGAATGGCATGGCTTCGCAAAGGTATTTTCTGATAAAGAAAAAAAAAGGAAAATTAAAACTGTGGGTGTCTCGATGAAACCCAGAAATTATGTCAAAAAATTGGACAATTTATTTCTGGCAACAAGAGGCTTAATTACTGTAGTAAGAGAGTAAAATAGGATGGAGGAGATATTGGATTAGCCAAGACAGAAACGTGAAGAAAGATGTGAAATTCGTTTCACAAGTGCTAAAAAGCTTCTGCAAGGACTCAAATCCCAGCATAGTTGTGACCCTCCACGGGATTTCAGGGAATAAGGTGAACGCACGCACACGGTACACTCGCACGCTAAACCAGAGAACTAGCTTTTAGCACGTTAGGTGCGTGTTAGTTACTTGCCTCATTAACTTCGCAGCCATTGTCTTGCTTCGCACGGTAGAAACAAAGGAGCGTGTTAAGATCTTGCTCGCAACTTTGCACGATACAACACATTGACCGTGCCAATTTTATAACACGCCTCTTAAAGTTAAAGCTGCTTTCGATTTTGTACTTGGAGCGGGGAATCTGTTGCTAAAGGATTCACAAAGATTCGGTACTGGGCTTATGAGGGACCTTAAGCAAGCCACGACGGTTTGGACATGGAAAAACAGGACATGGAAAAACAAAAGATCTAATTGGTAGAACAGTAGCTCAGCACGTGCGTTTTAAAAGTTTGTACATTCTTGACCGTCCTATGCAAAACAACAACGTGAAATCATCACAATTTTTGTTGTCTGCGAACCGAAACCGCGACAGTAAATTATTTTAATTTCCATTTGGAACACAGCGCTTCTTTTATACGTTCTGCGGAAGTTGAGTTGTGGCACCGTATGAGACGGTAAACACATGCAGCCATTTTTGAAATTCTAACTAAAGGCAGAGGTTAATTTTTTAATCGAATTCCTTCTTGGCGTCGCCGTCCTGACCGCTTAAGACCCTTATAAACTGCGTGAAGCAATAAGGATTTATAATTTACGAAGTAAGAATTAAGTTTTAAAAAGTAATGTGTTCAAACTGAGCTCCTCTGGACCTTGTGAAACACGTCGTGCTCATTGAATTCCTTGTGAAAATCCTGAGGGAAAGAGCCATGATTTGCCGTGAATGTTTTCAGTACAACTTTCGGATAGGACAAAAGATCCTCTTCATTTTCGCTTATATTCTGTAAGTAATATACTTTACAAACACTACTCTCACAATTTTAAGAAGCTGACAAACACAAGTGAGAAAGTGAGCTGGGTTGTACAAGATAAGCTAACGTGTCAAGGAAACAAAATGATTCTTTCATGCCATTATCGTGCGAGCGTTTTATAACGTGTCGTATGCGTGCGTTCACCTTATTCCCTGAAATCCCGTGGAGGATTACATATTCTAAAAAAGGACTCGTTGATTGATAAACTAAGCATTGTCTTGCTCCCACGAAGCGACCATACTCGAAACGTCAGTTTTTCAAACTTCGCTATGGTGGTTTTCGCTTCCTTTATAAACTATGGTTGATTACTAACGGATTTTTTCGTTCTATGCCTTGCCTTACTGGAAACTCCAACTCGAAAATCCAGCTCGAAATCCGACTCAAAATCCTAACTCGAAGGAATTTTTGCTCAGAAGTAAAATTTCGACTTCGTACTACGACCTTCAGTCGCCAATAATCGGTTTTCAAATGCTGTTCAATTGACCGCTCAATAACGGAGAAACTCCAAATCTTAACTCGTTAACAGCTCTTAACTAACTATCCTAACTGATACAGCTCTATCCAGCCTTTCTCCATTATTCATTTGATATTGCATTTCCTGATTAGAATGCAAATAAAGCTAAATATAAAAACTGAATGACAAAATACGTTTTGGGATTGAACCAACATGTGTTTTCCTCGAATTTGAGGTCTAGTTTGGAAAATAGACATGATTCTTCTCTGCTTTCAATTCTTAAAAAAATAAACTGATGAAAATTAAGTCATATGACAAAGATAGAAGCATGCATGTTGATCGTGAACTCACGAAAAGCCAGTCTAAAACGAAACTTAGGGCAAGTTTTACCTAGAAGATTATTTGCCTTTTTCTTTTCAGGGAACGTTTTTTTCCCAAAACATGCGTCGAGAGGAAATGGCCAAAAAGGTCTTGTACGCAGCAGGGCTGTTGATCGAGAGCCTTTTCTTATGCTGTACAGCTACACAGCAATTGGAGGCTACAAGCCAGCCGGAAGTTTCCAAATTTGGTATGATGCTTCAACGCCACATCTTCAAGAGGATCACGGGGGCCGGTCTTTCAGATGTGTGCTTGCGGGGATGCTATGCTGACGTCAGATGTCAAAGTTTCAACTACGTCTTTACGCAAGACATTTGTGAGCTGAGTAACCGAACCAAGGAGGCCAGACCAGAGGATTATGTTCCGAACCCCGAGAGATTTTACTTTAAGCGAGATTACAAAAGAGGTTTTTACACTTTTAACTGTCTTCTTCCCTTTAAAGACATTTTCAGAGCACAAAAACTCAACCCCAAATTAAGGAATTGTCTCACATCACCTCCGTTCTTGCCCTAAGTCAAGTCGCCCTCAATATGAGTGTCCTCGCCTCCAAGACGAACATCAAGTCTTGCTTGCTTAGAGTGCTATGCTAAGAGCTGCTTTTTTTCCTTCCAGTCCCTCTCGGTTCCATCCCTGAGCTGCCTGCGGAGACTTGCAAGGAAATCAAAATGAGCGAAGGAGGACAAGCAGTCAGCCGCAAATACTGGTTTCACTCGATTGTACCCGAGAAGACTGCTCTGGCTCCTTGTGACATGAAAACCGAAGGTGAATTCAAGTGGTTATCAATTCATATATTCTACAGACAAAAATCGGTTTACTACGAACAAAAACGTCAATAGAGATGTCATGGTTAGACTGCAACTCCCTGCCCCCCCCCAAAAAAAAAATCGTATTATTCGTAGAGGGAAATGAAAGAATAAAGCAAACCAAAATAAAATTTAAAAAGTGAGATATCTGACGGAAACAAAGCTTTGAAGGAATGCTATAATCTCTCTTAAACTGATCGATTTGAGAACAGGTAAAATAGAATTGAAAATTTTCTTTCTTGCCACAGAGATAATCATTAAATAGCAATCCGTTACCGTTAAGAAATTTAACGAATAGGGAAGGGGAAATTTTGCTTCCTGAATGGGTCGTACATAATAAAATTTTGGCTCCCGCTGGATGCAATTTGTCTGATGAATCCACGAACGAGTAATAATTCAGCGAATTCCCTCTTTTTTTCTTTTAAACCGACCGCAAACTATTTGGTTTTCTCAGACGTGGACGAGTGTAATTCAACAATTCCCGTGTGTGACGTCAACGCTGAGTGCGCGAACACCATCGGTTCTCACAGTTGCTCGTGCAATGCGGGTTTCACTGGAAACGGAAAAAAGTGTGTCGGTAAGTTAGCGAAATGACTTTCATTATTGCTTGAAGCAATTTCATTTTAAAACAAAGCAAAACCAAAACAATCCCGGCTTAATCTGGACACGCAATTAAAAAAATTGCTTTAATTTAATGACCGGTTGGAATTATACCCCACACCATGTCACGTTCAATTGCTCATACGGTGAGACGCTTTCGCCAATAACCGTCATTTTCAATCGACTCTTCCTCTTGAGTTCAAACCATTTATTTTTTATGCATTCTTTCAGATGTCGAAGAATGTGCCAATAAATCGGATGACTGTGACGCCAATGCCTACTGCAACAATACCATTGGTTCCTATCGATGCACCTGCAATCCCTGGTACCAAGGAAACGGAACAAGCTGCTATTTTCGTGAGTTTAACTAACTTTGAGATACGAGTTACCTCAGTTTGTTATGATACTCGCATTTCGCATTCTCTACCTTTCTCTATCGTCATATGAAGCTTATAATTTTGGAAATTAGTTCTCGAATACATATAATTTTTTAACATGAGTCGTTCCTGAATCGGGACCAAGATGGAACTCGTCCTAACAACGGGCTACATTATGACCCTTTACTCCCTAGCATCAGTACACACATTCTCCACAATGTTCTCTATAAATACCGTATGGTACTGCCAAGGGGAATTTATTTGACAATACAAGAGCTTCATAACTTAGTGATTATTTCCTTTATTCTCATGATCCTGATGTTTTGTTCGGCTGTAATACGGTAAGGAGAAATTAAATGTTAATCCTTCTTAGGGGTTAAAAGGGTTGAAGAATACGTCTCACTTGGCGCCTAACTGACCACCCCCCTCCTCCCTCAAAAAAGAAACAGTATCATTGATCTTTAAAGTCTGTTGCTCACAACTATGTCGAACTTTCTATCTTGATCAACCTTAATTCTTCTTTTTTCATTATTATCACGTTTTTATTTCGTAGTTTCCTTTAAGTCTAAGAAAGCATTGATTAGTGCAAATAAGATATCATTACGTGTACTGGGTTTAGAAACCTGGAATGTCACCCAAACACGCTTTCATCGTGTAAACACGTCTGAAAGGGATACAACGTTTCCATAAGTGCACCTCTCGGTTCTCACTGGGTCGGAAAGGCAAGTTGTGCCTCAAATCGATGTGCGTCACACAACGGTTGTCACGCTGTAATTCGTAAAAACGAAAAAGCAAGTTGTAGACATTACCACCAACAAGATGACGAGTGCAACATGACGCCAAAACTTCAAGGTAGGACAATCCTAACCTTTTCTCTCTTTTTCGGTTTTTCGTATAGGTGGCCTTAATAATTCCGCTATTCTTACCAGCCTCAACTACAACAACTACACAGGTAAACTGCTTTCCTACCTAGAGCCAGTCCTCCTGAGTTCAAAATGGAGCAGGTTTGTGAAGTGTTGGCACGCTAGGACAGACGGCTGGGCGGCATCGACATTCCACAGCAACTGTGATGGGAGGGGACCCACAGTGACAATCATCAAAGTGAACGATTCCATATTTGGTGGATACACTGACGTATCATGGGGCAGTAAGTATATCTCGGCCATTAAGTTCTTTTTTTCAGTGCAAGGTTTGAAGGATTTAGAAGGACAAAGAAATAACGTTGGAAGGATTTGGTCTAGCCTGGTGTCTAAAACAGAAAAAAAAATGTCTCCTGAAGCTCGTTTCTCGTAACGCCACGAACCAAAAGCCATATCTAGTTATTCGAGTCGATCCATTTTGTTTCGTCTCATGATATTCTCGTCGTTTGAATTTCAAAACTATCCATAACTCGACCTTGAATGTAAAAACGGCAAAAAAAGCAGCTTTTTGTGGCTGATCCCTGATCGTACAACTGTCTAATCTTTGGGTGCATTTTTGCATTTCCATTTTAATCAACATTTTAGGTTCCTGTTTTTGGTCTTACGCCACCAAAGCCTTTTTATTCTCATTTAACAACATCAAAGGATACAATCCTGTGAAGCTGACACAATACCGAAACCAGCAACATGCAATGTACACATGTTCCTCTTACGGACCCACTTTTGGCTCGGGACATGACATCTTCATACATGACGACGCTGTAAACAATCAACGTTCTTATACTTTATGCGGTGGGACGTACTCCAACCCCAAGGATTATTTAGCTGGAAATTGTGGATTTTTCACAGGAAGTTATTATTTTATTCCATCTGACATTGAAGTTTTCTTCGAAATAGGTAAGTTATTGTACAGAAACACTTAAAACCCTGTCGTAAATATGCGATGAATTAATACGTAAACTCTAATCCTTGGCAACAGCCAGAGATTCTAAAAGCGCATGCGCTGAACTATATACAGCATGGACATACTATTCAGGTTATTGTGGTAGTAGTGGTAAGTGAATTGAATCTTAGCTCCAGGATATCAATGCACATCAACTAAATCAAGGAACAAATTGATCTAGATGCCATGTTTTGCCATGAAATTGAATCGCTAAGTCGGGCCGAATCAAACAGTTCAACCCAACTGAACTGAACTTTTGGTTTTTAGTTCTCGTTTCTCAGTTTTACATGCACTTGAGAAAATGTGCTCCCGTGGAATTTAGTTGTTGTCTTTACATTAAAAATTCACGGGGAAATATTAAGTTTTAATGAGATCACATGGTTCGCACCTCGCGCTGTGAATAAGAAGGTGTGGGTCTCGAATCTTCGTGGAAAACTCCCACGGTTGTGAAAGAAGGAATCATACCTTTCTTTATTCAAGAACGACTGTTATTGTAATTTCATTCGAGTTTCTTTTACGCACACAGGTGGCCTTGGTGCATCTGATATTCTTGGAAGCCTGGACCCCAATAAATACTTGGGAAAGCTGATCTCGTTTTTAGACCCAGTTCTTCCCACTGCATCCCATAGTGACTTTTTTAGGTGTTGGCACGCTAAGACTGACGGCTGGGCGGCATCGACATTCCACAGCAACTGCGATGGGAGGGGACCCACAGTGACAATAATAAAAGTGAACGAGTACATATTTGGTGGATATACTGATGTGTCCTGGAGCGGAGGCAGGCATATCAAATTTTTTAATAAGGGACGAGACAAGTTTATAAGATATCATTCCTCTTGGGATTTAAAGAGGAAGGGGGGGGGGAGGGTGCTGGAGGAAATATGAAACGATGCTCCTCTGATAAGAGCTCTAAGCCTTTATTGTTTCATACTAGTTTTTTGGCCATCAAGATTTCTTCACACCTATATCGTCTATAGAAATGTTTACTATTTAATATACCCGCAAAACGACATTACACCCTAAAACATGTAGTAATGACAACACTTTGGGGTCATCTGCTTCAAGTCTCAAAACTTTTCACTCGCTTTTCTCCAGAGTAACCCCTTAAATCCTCCATAACTGTTTTTGGTACTCGTTTCTGTACCCAAACAAGTAAAATATCTCCCTCCCTTTCACAAATCTCCAGTCTGAGGAAAAACTCTTCGTCTAGCTCATGATAGAAACTGCACTCCCCCCCCCCCCTCCTCCTGGGGTTTATGTTTTCTTCCAACTTTTTAATGTACAAGTACATTGTTCTTCTATTTCAGCTGGTTCTTGCGCTTATTCCTACGCCAATAGAGCTTTCATCTTCTCTCTCTATAACGTCAAAGGATACAATCCCGTAAAGTTGACGCAATACCAAAATCAGGAATATGCAATGTACAGATGTCATACGCGTGGACCCACCTTTGGCGCTGGGTGTGGTCATGATATCTCCATATACGACGACTCTGGAAACAACCAAAACTCTTACACCAGATGCGGTTCCACGTACACGACACCCTCAGGATACTCAACTTGTGACTGTGGTTTTTTTACAGGGGGGTCTCATTTCTCTCCAACGGACGTCGAAGTATTCTATGAAGCAGGTAATCAAGAAAAACATCCCTTTCCAAGGATAAATACTTTGTAGGGCCTGTAGCAAAATCAAATCGTGTATTGTAGAAATATTCTTAGAAAGTTGTGTCTCTGGAGTACGGATAGCTTACTTTTTTTGTCATTTAAAAGGAATGTGTAAGCTTATAAAGTCTCTTTCGCAGCATTCATTTGAGTTCGTCACACAATAAATGCACAGAGAAATATTAAGTTTAAATGGGATCACATGTTTAGCGCATCGCCCTGTGAATGAGAAGATCTAGGACTATAATTTTTGTGAAATACTCTTACGGTTGTGAAAGAAGAAATAACATCTTTCTATATTCTGGAACGTCTGTTACTATGATTTACATTCGAGTTTCTTTCACGCACACAGGCGGCCTTAGTGCATCTGTTATACTTAGAGGCCTGGACCCCAGTAAATACTTGGGAAAGCTGATTTCGTTTTTAGACCCAGTTCTTCCCACTGCATCCCGCACTGAATTTGTGAGGTGTTGGCATGCTAAGACTGACGGCTGGGCAGCATCGACATTCCACAGCAACTGCGATGGGAGGGGACCTACAGTGACAATCATCAAAGTGAACGATTACATATTTGGTGGATACACTGATGCGTCCTGGAGCGGAGGCAGGCATATCAAATTATTTAAGAGGGGACAAGACAAGTTTATAGGATCAACTACCATTCCCTTTGGGATTTAAGGGGGAGGGGGGAGGACGCTAGAGGAAATATTAAACGATACTTCTTTGATAAGAGCTCTAAGCCTTTATTTTTTCATATTAGTTTTTTTGGCCATCAAGATTTCTTCACACCTATATCGTCTATAGAAATGTTTCCTGTTTGATACACCTTCAGAACTACATTACATCCTAAAACATCCAGTAATGCAACACGTAGACCAAAGGGGTCATTTGCTTCAAGTCTCAAAATTTTTTACTCGCTTTTCTTCAAAGTAAACCCCTCAAGTCTTCCATAATTGTTTTGGTACTCGTTTCTATACCCAAACTAGTAAAATATCTCCCTCCCTTTCACAAATCTCTAGTCTGAGAAAAAACTCTCCGTCCAACTCATGATATGAAATGAACTCCCCACCCCCCCCCTTCCTCAGGGGGTTTATGTTTTCTTCCAACTTTTTAATGTACAACTACATTGTTCTTCTATTTCAGCTGGTTCTTGCACTTATTCCGACGCCAGTAAAGCTTTCATCTTCTCTCTCTATAACGTCAAAGGATACAATCCCATAAAGTTGACACAATACCGAAATCAGCAATATGCAATGTACAGATGTAAAACGTATGGACCTACCTTTGGGAATGGTCATGATATACACATATCCGACGGCTCTGAAAACAACCAAAACTCCTACACCAGATGCGGTTACACGTACACGACACCTTCAGGGTACTCTTATGGTGACTGTGGTTTTTTTACAGGGGGGTCTCATTTCTCTCCAACGGACGTCGAAGTATTCTATGAAGCAGGTAATCAAGAAAAACATCCCTTTCCAAGGATAAATACTTAGTATGGCCTGTAGCAAAATTAAATCGTGTATTGTAAAAATATTCTCGGAAAGTTGTGTTGCTGGAATACGGATAGCTCACTTTTTTGTCATTTCAAAAGAATGTGTAAGCTTATAAAGTCTCTTTCGCAGTATTCATTTAAGTTCGTCGAGTCTGACGAGGACTTGCCTAAGTTTCCGCGGGGGTTTGTGGGTATTACATGAAAACGAAAGGTGTACGTGGTGGGGCTATTTGAAAGAACGCCTGAGTGAACGAAAAAATCTCAGACATGCTTTGATGCACTCTGGCTTAAAGATTTGATGGATGTAACCGACACTTAATCAGGGGTGATAGCGAAGGCACTAGACAGTAGTGTCGAAACGTTGGGTCAATTGTAACTTTTCGGTTACATTCATTAAATCTTTAAACCAGAGTAGCATCAAACCATGCCTGATTGTCCACCTGGTTGCTTTGTGAACTTTAAAACAAATTTCATTCTCTCTGCCGCCTAAAATACCGCCTGGTAGACGGGCTAAGAATTTTCTACCTCGCTGGATCAGTAATGTTAGATTATCTAGCGGGCCGAACGGGGGTCAAGAATTATCCACCTAGGATTCAAAGGCGACACTACAAATCAAAGATTATGTTCCATTTATTTGTCCAATTGTAATTTTTCCTTTTCTTTTCCCTACTCAGGCCTCAGTTTGTCCGCCATACTTCGAAGTCTTGATTACAACCTGTACTTGAAGGTGCTGTTTTCGTATTTGGACCCAGTCCTTATCAATAAAGAGCGTAGCAGGTTTGTGAGGTGTTGGCACGCAGAGACTGACGGTTGGGCAGTATCGACATTCCACAGTAACTGCGATGGGAGGGGACCCACGGTGACGATCATCAAAGTTAACAGTTACATCTTTGGTGGATACACTGACGTGTCCTGGACCAGCAGTAAGTAAAAAACAAGCAAACGTCTCTCACATGTAGAACAGATAACAAATCGATTAGTTGTGGACTTTTCTTGTAGCAGCGAGTTCATCTTAGAAACAGAAAATATCACATTAACAACTGAGATACCAAAGTAGATTAACTCGTAAATAGCCTGAAAACGCGTTTGAAACGGGTTTCAACTTAAAGTCTTGTTTCGGATTTGATTTTTTATTTGATTTTGATTTTGATTTGATTTGATTTGATTCTGACAGCTCCATTTCGTGCCATTTCCCCATTTTTCGTTGTATCCATTATTCATATTGGAGAGCTGAAACGAAGGATGTTTAATTAATGCTCTCTTTAGATCATATGTTTCCTTTGAATAACAATTCGGACCTTATTTCAGATGCTTTTTTTGAAAAGTGAAAATATGCTCTCGAGTTCTTGAAATTTTTACAAACAAATTAAAGTGCTCGGTTCTGGTTCGGCAAGTAAAAAAAGTATCTTTTTTTTAAGGTTATCATCATGAATTTTTTTTCCTCATTCGCATTGTTTCTAATGCTCCTAAATCTTTTTATTTTAGGTTGTGCTTATTCTTCAGCCAGCAAAGCTTTTGTTTTCTCTCTTTACAACATCAAAGGATACAATCCTGTGAAGCTGATACAATACCAAAACCAGCAGTACGCAATGTACAGCTGTTCCTCTTACGGCCCCACGTTTGGTTCAGGACATGATATCTACATATCAGAGGACGCAAAAAACAATCAAAACTCCTATACTGAATGCGGCAAATCGTACTCTAACCCCACGGGTTATTCGGGTACATACTGTGGATTTTTCACCGGAAGTCATTCTTTTTCTCCATCTGACATTGAAGTTTTCTTCGAAATAACAAACTAAACACTAAAAACTATGCAGTCTAAGTAAGTATTAAGTAAGTATTGTAACAATAGAGTTAATAGAGTTAGTGCCTCTTCACACAAGGCCCGGTCAACAGAACTTGCTCTGTATTCTCTCAGTGCTTTGTTGCTAATTTTCGTATTTAAAAAAGCACTCTGATCGAATAAAAATTCATAGTTAATTGTACCGATACACACATAGTTTTAGTTACAAAAGCAACAGACTGCACTTTCTATTCGTTTACTAGCGTAATAAAATACGCAGTATGTTAGTAGATCACTCAAAACCTTCGTAAATTATGAACAGTAATTTACAAGCTTTTCTCTTGTTCTTCTAACATCCTTTTGTGGTTTGTTAAGCCAATGAACCGATAGAAAGAGAATTTTATAGTAAAAACACAGCGCATTTTAGACTGGCAAGGTTTAGGGCGCCTCCATTTAGTAAACTCTGCAATTGGAACATCATGCTGTAAGTGAGAAAATATTAGGCTGTAGAGCATTTGTAATAACAGATCTTAGAAAACACCCAAGTTGTGAGCCCTTTCCCTATTGTGTATGAGGAATTTGTGGCGGGCACCGCCGTCGTGCGCTTTTATTTGCGTGGCACATACATTTTATCTTCGTCGCACGTGCATTTCATTTGCGTAGCACGTACATTTCATTGGATTGGCCTTAACCGTTAAGGTTAATAATCATATCTACTCTTTTCAACACTGAACTTACGGTAAGTTCAGTGTTGAAAAGAGTAGGTATGATAATGTTACCAGTTAAGTAATTTAGTTAGATTAATATTATGTGCGCATCATTTTGAACATTAATCAATAATTTTTTTAGTGTTGTTATATATTGTTGTAACTTGGGTGTTGCGCCGCGAGATGGCGAAAGTTTTGCTTCACAGAATTTAAATGCTCGCTGTCAGTGATACGTTTTTAGAAGAATTATTGAAAGAGGAAATTGCTTCTTTCCATTGAAGACTACCCCACAGACATCAGTGCAATATGACGAGTAATCACAGTCAATATTCTCTTACAAATTCTGTCATAAAGAACCAACAATTCCTTTCCTTCTTATCAGAGCTGAAATTGAGCCGGCAGAAGAGAATTTAAGAATTAAGAACAGAAATTAGCGAGTCAAAATCCAAATTGACGAACGCAAACGAATTTAGTTGACGCTGGAAATCACCGATCAGATCCGCAATTGAACAACATTTTTAAATTATGAAAACACTTGTCTGTAATCACCAGATTGCAAAATTTTATTCCTTGATCTTTGGGGAACAACGAACCTTCTATTTTTTTAACTGATGTGTCCTAAGCCCTTTTGATGGGCAAAAAATGAAAGAAAAACATTTTTCGACGGGGAATTGGAAGTCGAGAGGACCGCTTTTAGTGAAAGCGGCACATCAGTAACTTCCACGGGTCTTACTCGGTTACCCGTGATCGTGCCACGTCCCCAGGCTGGATCAGAATAGCAGTTGAACAGCAGAATGATCAGTGGTGTTAATTTCTGTCGTTTTACTTCAATTTCTGCCTCATGTCTCAGTTTCTGTTCTCATGATTTAAATGTTGTTCTCTTGGTTCAATTTGGCTCTGATCAGTGACTAAATTCCTTTGCGTTGTGTTCTTAATTCTTAAATTATCTTCTACAGGTTTGTTTCATTTTTTACCCTTAAAAGGGTTTAGGATACATCAGTTTTAAAAAGAAGGTTTGTTGTTCCCCAAAGATTAATGAATAAATTTTGATATTCTGGTGATTACAGACGTACTGAATTATCCAAAAAGGGTAGTCTAGCCAAAAATCAGTTTTAGCCTAATTGTGGCGACGCAAAAAAAGAGAATTGTTCTCATGATTTAAAAGTTCTTGGTTCAATTGCGAATCTGATCAATGACTCTCAGCGTCAACTAAATTCTTTTACGTTGTGTTCTTAATTTTTTAGTTTCAGTTCTGATGAGGAGAAATGGAAATTGTTGATTCTTTACAACAGAATTTGACAGAAAATATTGGCGGTGATCACCCCTCATAGCACAAAGTCGTGGTTGCATTTCATTTTCCTTCTTTCTCAATTCATACTATGCTTTACCATAACAAAAATAAAAAGTAAATAACAAGAACATAATTATGCAACACCAATATCAAGAACATGTCATTCACACCAAAGCTTAAACATGTTTAAAAGTTGTTTTGTTAAACACAGTTTAATTTTTTTTAACCGAAATTTTTCTTATTTAATCATTAGTACTTGCAATGGAAAATCGAGTTTTAGTCTTGTTTAGATTTTCATTCAATGAAAACCAGTTTTGAATGGGGTATTAGTCTTGTAGATTTTAACCAGTTAGAGGTGTACCTGAAATCTTTAAACGTTTTTATCCTAATTTCAGGGAATATTAAAAAAACAGTATGTAGTTTTAAGGGGGGTTAGAGGTGGATAGAGACATGAAAAGTCGGTTCCAGTGTAAAGACGAGCAAAAGGGCGAGCAAACCGCAAACGGCGGTCGTGGTTCTTAGGAAAACGGCTGACTTCCGTTTTTTAGCAGGCGATTACAGACTTGCTGAGAGCCTGCTACAGACTGAGAGACAAGGAGATTTGAGATTTGCGTTTAGCCTTACCTAGCCCCGATATTTAAGATATTAAAACTTACCATTAAACTTACCATTTTCAGTTTGTGTAGAAACACTTTATCGGACAGTTGATTCTTTTGACAGAGATGTGGCTATGTCATCCAGGAAGTTAGCCTTTTAACAAGGCTTCTTAACGACATTTCGACCTCACTTGTTCTTGATGTCTCAAGCTTGTATAAACCCTAGGTCGATATCGTTTAGTTATAGAAAGAAATGGTCAAATATAATTCGAAACTTATTTGAACATAAAGTTTATATCTGACCATAACTGTGCCTGTCAGAAATCAACTGTAATCCTTTGAATGCAAATAAAACTAAGTTCACCACTCGTTTATTTTCAATGTATTTCATTTTACCATATTAATATAACCTTCGGTCTCAGTTTTCAACGACTGATTGATGTATAACAGTATTAGAGCGATGAACCCAAAGCAAAATGTTCGCACGTGCACATCACGTGCCAGATCCAACGAGTGGTTCCACCTTAGCAAAATTCCCATTACTGGGTTTATCCTGTGCTTCAGAGCGCCTCCACATTTTCCCGCGCTTATTTACTGCTTTGTTCTTTCCCGCTCTTTTTTTCCAGTTTCACCCTTTCAATGTTTCCAAGCGCCAATCAACAGCTATATTCTTTCCTATGTTCGCCATTTATCACCCATTCCTTAGCAATCGTATTACTCTGCACTTGCGCTGCTGCCTGCAGTAACATGCATTCGAGTTGCCACTTTGCTTTACCATAGATATGAGCTCGTTAAAGTTTTTCGTGTTTCCTGCGTTATAGCAGCCATAGCCTAAAAAACCGCCTGCCTTTTTTGCCCAGTCCTGTAGAGCGGTGACGGAAGATTTTCGAGTGGCCGCCCACTGACCTGCTCATCGAACCATAACGGACCGCTCCTTTCCACATCCAATCAGAATGAGAACCAACTTATTTAACATGATACACAGTACCACATGAAAAGGACCACTCGGTAGGTTTCATGCTCACGTAGCATGAATTACCACCACCAGGAGAAAAGGTTCAATAAACTAATGTAGAAAAGGTTGAATTCTCATCGAAAGAACCGCTCATGAATGTTCACATTCACGGATTTACCATCTTTAGATTGTGTAGCGGAGACAACTGATTATGAACAATAAAAGCTAAGTTTTTTCGTTTGTCTCACGATGTAGTTACGTGTGATGTAGATCGCGACTTTTCGACTGCATACTGCTAGTCTTCTTCAGGCGATGAGGTCGACTGGTCATGCGTGATCTTATAAGCATGATGCTCTGCTGTGATTAGTTGATTTTCAACGGTTCTGATTGGTGCATTTCGATCCTAGCTGTTTTCACTCGGTGATTTGCTCCCTCGGCGGTCCGCTGTCGCACGGCTCTCCTGTTGTTGTGTTTTTTGATCGTGGGCATCCACGCTTCTGGAATTTCTATTCCACTATCCCTGTTGATGTTGTTAGGGTGAAGTCTCATACGAATTGCCTCTTTGACTCTGTGCGTGTTGTAATAAGGGTCACGATCAATAAACTTTACTTCGTTCCAGGGTGGCTTGTGTCCGGTGTTGTGAGCATGCTCTGAAACGGCGGAGGTCTCGGTACGGGCAAGACGGACAGAGTTAAGGAGCACGATCGAGACATCCGTGACTACATCGTGAGACAAATGAAAAAACCTTAGCTTTTATTGTTTTCACCACGATGAATAACCACAACCTTTTTTACGAAATCGATTATGAACTGTTTATATTCTCTTGCTAGAGATCAATCCTGATCATTGACCTCAGTATTGAGAGCTCGCTACGTGAAGTTCACACAAATCTGCTGTCATTTTGCAAAGTATATTTTTTAATTTTTTTTTAGAAAACAAATTTGATTCTGTTTTGGGACTTTTCTACGTCAGTGAAAAATGACGTCATCAGTAAATACGCCCGCAAGTCTGAAATTGATATTGGTCAGCACATAGGCATTCTTTGAGGACAAGGAAGTGATGGTGGGCGGGGACGAGGAATTGTTGTTCACAAAATGTACTCTCGACCGGAGGGGGTGGAAAGTCTTGAGCAGAAGGGGCTGGTTGCTGCTGTTGATAAGTAAACAGTAAAAACGAGAAAACATCGAGGCGAAATCAAACAACAATAATATTAGGAGCCGTTAAGTTTGATTCCTCCAATTTTCTTTCCTGGCCCGCCATAAGAGATGCGTCTGAGATGAAAAGAGTTTGGGTTATTTTGACAAAAAATTAAATGTGAATCGCTCTATGGCTGTCACGCAAGATGTCATCGCCAATGTTTTGTGCTTAGGTTCGCAGTCACGTAACACTACTGTGGAGGGGCAAGTCTTCATGGGATAGATCAAGAGCAACATTCCCAGAATTCTATGCCATTTCCCTTCTGTCAGGTCAGCCGGCAAAATGGCGGACTTACACGTGTATTTTATTTCAGCCCTCGTTTTATCTTGCTGCATACAAATTTTAGCAGGGTAAATCGTGCTCTTTCTAATCTCTTCTATATAATTTTTTTTTCCATCTGCTGTTTTTTAAAATATTTTTGCGCATCATCAGGCGGGATTTTTACGCAATCTTGGGCGTCTCGAGAGATGCAAGCAAGAATCAAATCAAGCGGGCATACAGAAAACTGGCGATGAAGTGGCATCCCGATAAAAACAAGGAGGACCCTAAAGCACAAGAAAGATTTCAGGATCTGAGTAGTGCATACGAGGTTTGTTTTCATAACAATTCTATATCATACACTGTTAAGACATTCCTTGAATCTGTTTATGATGATTAATAATTCAACTTTCCTCAAGGTTTAAAAGCATCCCCGTTAGGCTACAGAAAATTGTCGACTTTCCCGTTTTGGTGTACTGTACCCTATGAAAATCTCAAAACAAACGTTTCAATAAATTTTAAATTTTTAAGTACATCAGTAAGTTATTGTGTTTTACAAGTTCAATTTTACTGCAAGTTTCAATCAGCTTATCGATTCCTTAGCCTAGCGTCATTTACACAAGCAGTAGATTACGTAAAGCTAAGTGAGTTTTCAGCTCTTTTTAAATATCAGCTGAATTTAAAGCTCCAGAATCAATAGCAGTTGTTATACAGCGCGAGATAATTTCATTGTTCCTTGTTTCGCTTCAAATTGGTTTTTGTGTTTTTGCACAACCGATAGCTCTGGAACTTTAGTCGATTCATGCACGAGTCACGAAAGCTCAGCTAAATCCTCTGTAGACGTAGATGTGAAGGATTTTGAAGAGAAGAGAAAGTTATATTTATTTCCGTGTGATTTATCGTTTTTACAATGTACATTTTCGGAAAAACCAACGTAAGTTTTGCATCTTATGCAAATTGGTCAAGGTGTCTGTCCGTGATTGGTTAGTTTATCTCGGTTGACACATTGGGTCAAGAAAGTCTTATCGAGTGCATTTCAGTCATGTTACAGAGTTATTACCATGCTGTTATGATTTATTTGTTTTAATTTCAAATGTGGCTTCAAGTAGAAAGTCAAAGTAAATTTTCAGCTAGGTTTTTTTTTTTTTTTCAACTTTGTCAGTTCATTGTCACTTTAGGCAAACAGGTGGTGTTGATGGTAATTGTTTTCAAAATATTTATCTCTTAACCCTTGAACCCCCAAGATCTGATTGTTAATTCTCCCCTCTAGCTGCTATATATCTCCTTGTAAATTAGTTACAAGAATTTGGAGGTAGATAAACCTATCAACTTCTCTCTGATGAGGTCAGGTATTCTCATTATCTGTCTGCTGGATAATGTAAGGATATTATGTGAAGAAGTTACATGTTAATCACTTCTTGGTGTTTAAAGGTTGACACTGAATTTTTTTCAACAGCTTGTGTCGCCAAAATAATTATATATTTGATAATTATTTTTGTGTTTCTCTAATTTTTTTTTCATGTTTCATAAACCTATGGAACACTTTGCTTTATGCTGTAGGTCCTAGCTGATGATGAGAAGAGAAAGGTTTATGACAGGCATGGAGAGGAAGGACTGAAAAATATGCAACAAGGAGGTGGTGATGGTTTTGATCCTTTTTCAAGGTACATTGTTTTGTGTGATGAAGAAAGATCTTATTCTTTTTCTCATGAGCATGGCACAACGATAGAATTTCACTTTTCTGGAAGGAATGGTACCTTGGACCTGTGATTGTAGGTTCTGTGCTCCAATGCTCTTCCATTAAGTCACAGAGCACCAAGGGTTTTTTCATTCCTTCCATGCTCTTTCTGTACTCCTTAACCAAACTCAAAACTTACCTTATTTTGTTCTCTAGTTACTGTTTATTATTATTTTTTTGATTTGAATTTTCCTTGTTATTCCACATCTCACCCTATTATCAATTTTTCCTAAAGGTAATAAATATATATAATTTATTATTATTATTGAGAAAAGACCTGTGGATTGTAAACAAAATCATCAGTTAGCAAGCCTTCCCTGGCCACTTTTCTTAACTTTAACCCCCAAGGGTGACTAGTTTTTCATTTCTGTTTATGGTATCTCCTTTTCTTTAGATGTAAAAGTTGTGAAAATAAAGTAAAAGAGTTGCCAATTTTGGAACCTTCTGATTGATTGTCAGTACCACAAATTCAGTTTCATGGATACTAATGTTTGTCTTTACCCCAAGATCTGATTAATAATTCTCCTTACTATTCCCAAAATTCTTATGATGTTAGTTCAGAGAACTTGGTATTAGATCAACTAATAATCCCATTTGATATTCTTCGCTATTCTCATGGACACTAATGTTTGTCACTTGTGGGAGTGAAAGGGTTAAGGGTGAACACATGTAATGTTACTTCATTTGAGGCATTGTTTTGACCTTGACTGGTTATAATGTTGACTCAGTCATCTTTACTTTTAGCTTCTTTGGAGGGTTTGGTTTTCATTTTGAAGGATCACAACGTGGGGGTGAAAGGGAAGTCCCTCGTGGAAGTGATATTCACATGGATCTTCATGTCACATTAGAAGAACTCTACTCTGGAAACTTTGTAGAGGTTAGTGAAGAATTCAACCCTGTTAATACAATAAACATATTTTTATACAAACTTGACGTTTACATATACTGGATTGTTGATACAGGTCTGATAAAGCAATTATGAGTACAGTGGACAGTTACAAGCCAGCAAATCCCTGCCACAGAGAATGTTAAATTACTAGGTTTTAATATAAGTATTCAGTGAATTAATCTTAATCCTAATATCAGTCCTTCAGATAGGCAGTCAGGCAGTCAATAGTCATTTGCTCTGACGAAGGGCTAACACTTGAAATGTCAGCTTTGAAATTCTATATGATGGCCAATTTAATCATCAACTCATTTGATGATATCAAATTACCCATTCAGTTAGTCAGTCACTCAGGTAGTCAGTCACTCAGTTAGTTAGTCAGTCAATCAGTCAGGTATAGTTAGTCACTCAGTTAGGTAGTCAGTCACTCAGTAAGGTAGTCAGTCAATCAGTCAATCAGTCAGTCACTCACTCAGTTAGTTAGTCAGTCAATCAGTCAGATAGTCAGTCAATCAGTCAGGTAATTTTGTTCATCTGTCAGACAATCAGTCAGTCAAGGAGGCATGAATTTAAATCCCATCAAAGCTTTAAAGTTTCTGGGCTTCTTTTCTACAATTACCTGAATTGAAGTCCACTTGTAAGGATCATTTATTTACTTGATTTTCAATTGCAGATCAAGTGAAATTTGTTTCCTTAAAAATTCTAGACAGTCAGGCAGTCTGTCCTAATACAGTCAGTCAGTCTTTATGCAGTCTGTCATTCAGTTATTTCGTAGGTGTACTGATTGATCATTTGTTCACTGTCCACAGGTTTTACGTATCAAACCAGTCACGCAGACAGTTCCTGGCACAAGAAAGTGCAATTGTCGGCAAGAGATGAGAACAACACAGTTGGGTCCTGGAAGGTTTCAGATGTCGCCAGTGGATATTTGTGATGAGTGTCCTGCTGTAACTTATGTCACTAAAGAAAAACTTTTAGAAGTTGAAGTGGAACCTGGAATGAGAGATGGACAAGAATACCCTTTTGTTGCAGAGGGTAAGGACTGGAACAGTTTGAATTTGATATTACTGATTGTGCTGTGGTTGTTTCTGAGATTGCTTTGATCAGCAAAGCAACAAATCCACAAAATTCAAAATTTAGACATGAGCTTGTTTAGGTATCCTACCGAAGAGTCTCTGTACATGGTTCTATTTTGCTACTAATTTTTAATCTCCTCTACCATAGAAATCAAAGGAATGACAAATTATTTGAAAATAATCAAGCAACTGTTATTTGAACCAAGAACAAAATTGAACCACAGCATCCACAATTCCTCCCTTTTTTTTCTTTTTGAAGTTTAACTTTCTTGGGTCCAGTTGCACCATTAATCCCCTGAAAGTCTTTTAAAGGAATGACCACGATTGTCTTTCAAATGATGCTTCTCTTTGTTGGTTAGGTGAGCCTCACATTGATGGTGAACCTGGTGATTTGAAGTTTATCATAAGAGAGCAAAGGTACAACTAGATTAGAGCTGATTTTAACCCTTTAACTCCCATGAGTGACCAATGCAGAATTTCTCCTAACAATATCAATACAATATCAATCAGATAAGTGATGAGAATGAAGAAACATATAAACTTGATTAGTTGATCCAACACTAAATTCTTAGAACTAACATTAGAAGAACTGTATAGTTGACAGTAAGGAGAATTACAAATTTGAACTGGGAGTTAAAGGGTTAATGTTCTCAAGTTGTTTGGTATTTCTCTGTGAAATTAAAAGAGAATAACATTTTGTCTCAAGGGTTACCCAAGGCTTTACTCTAGGCACTCTTTCAAGTGATGGGAGGTATCATGACATGATGGTTTGTGTTCCTGGGGTATGTTTCTCAAAGTTCCCGGTAACTTAACAAGCCCGTAAAGCTTTTCTGTTTTATTCAAGATGGGGTTTTCAAAAGGTTTGAAAATTGTACCAAAAAAAACTGTTAGCTAAAGAAACAAAGTGGACCGATAAGGTGGGCCTCTCTATTCTTTCAGTTTTGATCTTAAGATTTAGCTTTGGGCCTGTTAAGTTTGTGAGACTTGCGAGAAACAGGCCCTTGGTCTGATCAAGAGGTCAGGGGGTTAAGCTGTGGGCAAGATGCTTAACTCCTGCAATGCTCACCCCACTCACTCCACCCTGGGGCATAAACTTTTACCTGCCAACTGTGTGGGAAATGTGACAAAATAGGGGAGGGAGGGAGGGTGGTGAGTGTTACCTACAATGGAGCAGAATCCCATCCAGAGGGGGTGGAAATACTCCAATTTGCTGAACCCTTTTAGTTGAGCTACTGGAATCTGATTGTTAATTCTCCCCTCTGGCTTTCACCCATTTTCTTTTAAGTTTTTCCAAAGAATTTTGTGTTTGATCAAGAAAACTTTTGAGCATTCTCATCAGTTGTTTTCTGGTAAATGTATGGATGTTATAGGGTGAAGTAACTTGTTTATCACCTCTGGACGGGTAAGGGTTAATGATGTGGCAACTTGGATAGGACCCAACAGTATTAGCCATTATCAGTTTGTAAGCAGACTTACGGTGCAGCAATTTTAAAGAGTATATCGCATCAACAGGCATGATAGATTTCAGAGAAAAGGAGATGATCTTTACACAAATGTGACTGTTGCTTTAATTGATGCATTAAATGGATTTGAAATGGATATTGACCATCTGGATGGTCACAAGGTTAGTTTATGGTTGAGCTTGCGAGTGGCTTCACATGAGATCTATTTACATAAACATTAAACCAATCAGCCCTTAACACTTTCACTCCCAAGATCTTGTTAGTAATTCTCCTTACTTTCTGCAATACAATTCTTGTTATGTTGGTCCAGAGAATTTGGTTTTGGATCAGCTAATAGTCCCCTAACTGATATGTTTCTTTTTCTCATCACTTTTCTGCTTTATATTGTATTAACATTGTAATGAGAAATTCCGTCTCAGTCATTCATGGGAGTTAAAGGGTTAAAAGGTTTTTCAAAGTTTTTCTAAGGTTTTTCTCAATGAAAATTGATGATAATTTGATTTCCAGCACTTTACAACCTACTCCTATGCTCTGAAAATAGTTGTCTTCTCTTGTTTGCCTGCAGTGTATGAGAATGAAAATTAAATGTCTATCACATCTTGATAAGAGTTTTTATATTACACTGTGATAACAGTTTGATATTCAGCTATTTGTATACCACCCCTTTGCACCACTGAGAGCCAATTGGATTGCAAGGATCACCAAAGATAACTGAAAAATAATTCTTGTAGCTTAAGAAATGCATGTCAAAGAGCAGGGAGAATGGATATGGAAGGTTGATGAGTTTGTTTATCCATCAGGTGCATATTGTGCGGGAGAAAATCACATGGCCAGGAGCACGCATAAAAAAGAAAGAAGAGGGCATGCCTAACTACGAAAACAATCATGAGAAAGGAGATCTTTTTATAACATTTGATGTTGAATTTCCAAGAGGTGGCATGTCAGAAAGTGAAAAAGAAGGTAGGTTCTATTTCTACCATGAGAATTGATTAACCAAGAAACTAAAACAAGAGTATATTGGAGTTCCATTTTATTTGTTATTGAAATAATACACAGTTAACTGCTGCACTCCTGAAAATTGTAAAAAGTGTCCATTAGTAGAGCTGTCTGCCTTTGAGAATTATTCCCATAAGGGGATACTAAGGAAAATTAGGGTGGATGTCTGCTTACGGGAGAGTTAATTAACAGGGGTTAATGTACATGTTTTGTGGAAAAAAAAGAAAAGAAATGCACAGTGTACACCCCTATTCTGTTATATCTGTACTCAGTGGTCAACTTGTAAGCCATAAGCCATTCCCCATGAGCAATTACTGAGTACAGGTTTGACTGTACATGTTGATGCAGACTGGCCTTTTTGTATTGCTTCAATACCAGCTCAAAGAAGATAAGGATGCTATTTAACAAAAAAAAAAAAACACTCTTTTATGTTAAACTATTGTATTGCTCATAAATTAGCAAATCACTAATTAATCTTCGTCTTTGTTTTCAGCTTTGAAGACCATCTTGAAGCAACAATCTCAACAGAAAGTTTATAATGGACTCTAACCAATTGTTGATAAAATAAGATTTTTCAATATAGGTAGTGTAACATTGTATTTTTCAAACTTTGCCTCCTTACAAAAGGCTTTTTAAAGTATCACAAAAGGATAAAATGTTTCTTGAGCTTGCACTTTTTGAATGAAATAACTTGCTTGATGAAATGAAAAAAAGTGCAGTTATTTAAACCTTTACTGGGTGATGTTTCCTAGTTGAGCTTGGGACAGATGATGTCTAGGACATGTTTCTGTTCTTTGCAGAAAGGAGCAGGGAAAAAGAAGAGAAGTCAAATACTAACTCTCTGTTCCTTGTTGTCAGTAGGAGATCTTCCTCTTTTTTTCATTTAGAGAGAAGTTGGTGTTCTTTCCTGGTAACATTCCTTAATTTTGTTGAACAGATAAGTTTGGTGCTCTTGTCACCTCTTTTGGGATAATGTTGAGAAAGCTGCATTTCATCCCCTTTCTGGGAGGAGCGACAAGAGGGCACTGCTGTGGCCTGGGTTTGAATCTCGGACTTGATGTCAGGCTTAGGTTGAGTTTGTTGTTGGTTCTCATGGCAGGGTTTTCTCGTTTCCCTCCCTCCACAAAACTAACATTTCAAATTCCTATCGGACTTGGAAACAGTCAAATATCCACCACTAAATTCCATTATTATTATTGTCATTGTAAAAATTAAATACTTAACCCAGGATTATACAGTCATGAGAATTCTGATGGGGAAGAATTGTTGGCTCTTTCCTTCTAACCCTCCCCAAGGCTGCATGTTGTAAAGAAAAGTATGAATTTCTTTATATCTTGGTAAATTATCCATACAAACATTGATTTACAGTTCCCATGTCTTCAAAACACCCTAGCTATGGGTGTTCCATGGTTGCCACAGGTCAAAGAAAAGATTAGGAAAATGAAATTTCTTCAAGATCTGGGAAAGTCCAGGAATTTCACTCTGATTCAGGGGAAATTTACATATTTGAAGGAAGTCAAGTGAAGTGAAATTTCAAGTTGTCAAGAAGTTGCCTATTCATTTTCTTCGAACCTATTCCTAGTGAAACATGGTGACACTTTCCTTTGTCATGTTGAGGTTACTCGTGTATGTTTTTGAGAACTATTGACATTTCCTGACAATCTTGTCCTTTCCCTTTGTAAAGAAAGTTCAACTTGGTTTGTGAATGTAATCATGCACATGTGTTTCAATTTTTCATTGTTTTAACATTTTCAATTCCTCAGTAAGTGTTGCTTTGGTAGATTTTTTTTATAATGAAATTCAATGACAAACTGATGTTAGGTTTCCAACTGAATCAGTCCACTTACTATGTTACCCTAAAGAGCTATCAATGCATGTACACTGTATGTGACTTTATGTACACTTTTTGTGACTTGCTGGAAACTTAGGTTTTCAGGCTGAGGGTTGAGGTTGTAGGACACTATCAGAAGTCACTTGTGAAATAGTTCATTTGGATGGTTAGGGAAATTTTATTTTTGTCTAAGGGAAAAGTCAGGGAATTCAAAATCCAACAACTATGTTGCAACTATGGTATTATTTCAAAGATATGGAGAAGCACTGAATTTTATTGTTATTACTGATGTAAATAAAGTCTTGTGTTAAAAAAAGGGTCAAGTATAATTTGCTTCTTTGCTGGCATAGTTTCATGGTATTAAACCTTTACATCCTAACATCAAAATGCATATTCTCCACACTCCTCTCTGTATACTCCTTAAGGTGCTGACAAGGAGAATTCATTGAACAATCAAGATCTTCATTAAAACCCAATAATTTCCTCTATTCTTGTGTCCTTGTTGTGTATTATTGTAAGGAGAAATTAGATTCTCGTCACTCTTGGGGATCAAAATGTTAAGTAACCACTGGAATAGTGGTTTTGTCAACTAAGCAATTAGGAGTCATGATCACTTAAACTTATTTTTAATACACACAAATTACAATGCCCTCATCTTTAAATACCTAATGCAAGTCCTAACAGTTCACTCTTAAAATCTTGAACTATTCATAGAGTATAGTCAGTATTTGAGCTTATTGGCCTACTCAGCCACAGCTTGGCTTCTTGAGTCAAAAAATCTTGTGCATAAATAGCCTGCGTTGCTGGCAGTCTGTGATTTTGGGGGCAGAGAGAAAAATGAAAAATTTTTCTCTTAGCCCCCAAAATTGCAGACTACTAGCAATGCAGGCTAATGCATAAAATGGTAAGTAGTTTTTATAAGCAGAAATTTCTGCCATATCATTAAAACTTCCCCAAATCTAGCCCCAGGTTTCCATATCTTTCCCTGTCCTTTTAGGAACAAATTTCCCAACATATTGGATGAAACTAGTGTATTTGCGCGACACTGTCAGGCATCATGCCATCCACTAGACAAAATTATCCAGTTATTAATTCAATTTTTTACCTCTTGATATTAGTTGTATGTAAATTTGAGAAGTTAAACAAACAAAAGCAAATTTCAATAGACAAACAAAAGCCAGTAATTGCAAAAATTCTCAATGATTTTCCCTTCTTTTTGTCTGTGTTTTGTCACTGCACAGGCTGATTATGCCTGCACATCCACCACACAAAACACACAGATGACTCCATGTGGTTTCAGTTGGTACTGTTCAGTGCATGCTAGTGATTCAAATTGTAATGCAGTTTTCTTTCTTTACTAACCTTCTATAGAATTCTGTGGTATTCAGAAATACCAGTTGAAGAATTCTTAAAACAAATTAATCACAGTAAAGCCTGAAGTTAATCACACATAAGATTCTGTTCAAATACCAAAGTTTTCATGAGCTGAACTTAATTCACATCATGACCAACTCCTGTTCAAAAACATACAACTGATTATTCCAACCATCTTGAAATGTTCCATACACAGTTTCTGGAAATAGCTACAGAAAAGGTTATAACTCTTGTATTTAGCTCAGCACATAAAAAAGTTTCGCATCTGACTCAGCTGTTCCCTACCAGAGTCAAAATTTCCAACTAAAGCAGAAGAGGATAAAGTTGAGAATTTTACTTTCTTGCAACTCATGTTTCTACTGGACAAATTCTGAAGCAATTTGATTGTTTGATTTAGTAGTGATTTATTCCACAAATTTTGGGAATTTCACTGACTAACAGCTCTTTTGCTGGTGAAAAAGCTTAGCAATATTTACAAGAGGGAACATGACAAGAGCACCGATACATGACCCTATCTGTATACAAATACCACACCAAAATAATGCCCGTTTACCATGGTCACGCATGATTGTTGAGATGGTCAACTTAGTATAACTAATTAGAATGCCGCTGACAATACTAACAAAAATCTGGAAACAGAGAAGAAAAATAAGAATTAGAAAACAAGTTAAATTAGATAAAAATACAGGGCCAAATAATTCCTTATCTACAATCAGCAACAAAATTGTTGACACTTAGACAATTTAAGGTCCCCATTTTTTTCCAATTTTATCTCTTTTGCTCTCAGTAAGCCAACCTATTCATCCCCCCCTCCCCCTAAAACAATGTTGTATTATGATTTTATGAACTTTTTGGGGAGGGAGGGTCTTGTCAATGATTTAGAGTGTGGTAAAAACAGGAGTATTATTCTACAAATAAATAGCACTCTTCAAACATGATGTGTCAACTAATTTTGAGGCTGATTGTAGATCTGAGAAACACCTACATGTGGTGGTAGAGCATCAAAGCCTGAAATCAAAAGGTTTGAGGCTTGATTCCTCATGGGGACAAAAAACTTTTTTGTCTATCACCTGTGAAAACCTTCTCTACCATCTTCCTTATTCTACTAGCTCTTATGTATCTTTTGACTTGGTTTATTTCACATGGTTCAGAGAATGTTCAGAGAACTTTCAGACAACTTTCACACAATTCACCTTTTTAACCCCTCAACTCCCAAGATTGGATTGTTAATTCTCCCCTCTAGCTGATACACATTTCCTTGTAAATTAGTAACAAGATTTTGCTGTTCGATCAAAATAACAATTTCTACCTGGTAAGTTTGAACATTCTCATTACCTGTTTGCTGAATAATGTATGTATATTATAAGAAATAACATGTTAATCACCTCTTTGAGTTAAAGGGTTAAACCACTAACATGCAAGATTCAGTGAATCATCATTTTCATAAACTTACCACTATCAAGCTCCCAACACTTGTGCCATGCATGGGCGGTGTTGGGCTCATGGCTGCAAGGATGATGATGTATGTGCTGAGGACTGTATACACACTTGCCAACACTGTAACTAGTCTGGAAGATGTTGACGGAAACCATAAGGCAATGAAACAAGTCAATGCGCTCGCTATATTTGACAGTGTGGCAACTATGGAGAGACAAGATATGCACTGTCAAGATGCTAACTTATTCCTGGTTTTTTTTAATTAATTAACCTTTTCACTCCCAGAAGTGATAATCATATAACTTAATTCTCTCTATAAAATCCAAACAATATCAAGCAAACAGGTAATGAGAATATTCAAACTTCTCACATAAAAATTGTTGTTTTCTTGATCCAACAACAAATTCTTGTAACTAATTTACACAGGAACATGTAACATCTGAAGAGGAGAATCAACAATTAGATCACATCTAAACTCCCAAGATCTGATTGTTCATTCTCCCCCCTAGCTGATCCACATTTCCTGGTAAATAAGTTTGGAGAATTTGGTGTTATTGGTGTTATAACAACTCCTACCTGATAAGTTTGAGTATTCTCATGACCTATATGCGGGATAATGTCTAGATATTATTGGGAGAAGTTACTTGTTAATCACTTCTGGGAGGGTTAAATAAAGCACGACTAAATCTCTTTCAGAAGGAAGAGTGATTAACTAGTATTTGTGCCTCATACTCTACTGTACTGAGTAACAACCATTTTTTCACAGCTCTGCATAAAAAGAGGGTAGCAAAGGGTGTTCTGATCCTGTTTCACATACAGATTTTACAATGTTACAACAAGTCATACCTCACATATATTCAAACTGCATTTAACATGTCACAATTTCAAATGAAAACCTTCAAATCTCTCTTCTTGTGTGCAAGGTTTCAGGGAAATCTTGAGGTTTTCGTGAAATGAGGGGGAGGCAAATCACACATGACACTGGCTCTTAAATTTACATATCACCCTAGTCTTTCTGAAAAATTCTGACATCACACATTATTTTTGACCTTAATAACAAGAGCTTGCAACTTGTCATTAGCTTAAAACACTTTCCATGGATACCCCACCATTCAGAAATTCTCCTTCATTTTTCAGTGTCTTTCCTTAAAAAATGTTGCTTTTTCCCCCTGAGGATTTTCAATACCCTTGAATGGATTAGGTAGGAACATTTTAATAAGCCAAAAGAAATCCCTTTAAGAAGCAAAATGCTGATTTCAGGATGTAATTAAATTGCCTTTTTAACTTCATTTCTTGCCTTGTGGGTATTCACAAGGAATTTCGGAAGAAGCTGCTGATTCACAGACACCTCATAACTGGTAACCCTTTCACTACTTGGAATGACCACGACTTACAACATAAACACAATATCAAGACAAAAAATGATTAGAATAAAGGAAAATATTAATTGTGGGATTATTCTCTCATCAAGCAACAAAATCTTTAAAATAACATTATAAGAAATGCACTGCAGACAGTAAGGAGTAATAACTACAAGATCAGTGCCCGGTCTTTTCGTTCAAGAGTCTTTTCATCCAAGAGTCTTTTTGTCCAAGTCTTTTTGTCAAAGTTATAACATTGTTTTAAATGAAGTTGTAACATGGTATACTTTATTAAATAGTGACAAAAATAAAGACTTGCCATTTAGTTATTTCACACGAAAGAAATGGGAATATTAGGCTTGTTGTTAAGCATCAATTATGCGTAATAGACAACTAAGTGTAACATCACTAAGTGTTCAACATGACCAGTAACAGCCCAACAAGAAATTTACTTCTACCAAAATGGCAATGGCTTGCGCTAATAAGTTCTTTATATGGCCTCATCTAGCCTTCTAAAAGTTATTTATATGTTTCGAGAAAAGACTTTACCATTAGATGAAAAGACTTAGATGAAAATTTTTATGGATGAAAAGACTTGGACGAAGAGACTTTTGGACGAAAAGACCATAATTCATGAGATCTTACGAGTGAAAGGAGTTCATTATTCATTATTTACCTAAATGGTATGTCTTGTTGCCATAGGGAATACTGGCGTATGCTTGTATCGATGGCAAGACACCATTGGAAAGGCAGTTTATCCAAGTTTGAATACAGAGCAGAAGTAATATGTGACGTTCACACCAGGAGAATGTATCACTGTTGACAGATTGGTGGCTCAAGTAAGAATCTTGAGGAGAACTGTCACTTGCTGATGTAGACTGAAATCTACTTCTTGTAGTATCATCGAAAAGTGGCTGTGTTGAACTGTTGCTGTTTCTTCGTGTTTTAATTTGTTTTTGTCTGACATGTTGTCTTTTGGCCACTGGTAAATAATTCAGCGCCAAAAAGGCTATCCCACAAATAACCATGATTGTGAACAAAAAGAAGAAAAATCCCTCTGGTGAAAACCTTAATTGGCGAATTAAGTCGGTCTTGTGATCAGTAGTGTTTTTGCTGCTGTTTGTACATCCATTTCCAATGCCCTGGGCCAAAGCTACTAATGATGGCAGCAAACCACTCGAGGTTTCACCAACAAACAACGCACTCATATAAGTTGATGGGAAAGTAGACATGAACGTGAGAAATACCAAAGAGGATGTACAATCAACTAATGCCAGCAAGAAGGATAAGATAAAAAGAACTGTGCTGTGTTGTTTGCCACCAATAGAGCTTGTCTCGTCCCAATAAAGACCCAACAACGCGCACGCTAAACACCCAATCGCCACAATAGAAAGAATCGTCGTTTTTTCGTGAACGATGCGAGGAGCGAAGCGGTTCCCCAAGGCGTAAATCACGGGGCCGATGTTCGCCAACTGAATGATAACTGTGAGATACGATGGAAGGCTCCACTGTTCTGGGGCATGTCCCACAAGTACAGGCAATTCAACCCACAAACCATTGACAGCTACCCAGGAACCCAGGCCAAAAAGACAGATTAGAACGTATGTGGTCCAGGAAATGTTCTTTCTCAAGCAAAATGAGTTCCATTCTGTGCTTCGAATGAAAGCTTGTCCCTCTGCCATTTCGCAAGTTACCGGTAACTCTTTCAGAAGAGAGTTACATAATCATGTACTAATACTGGATCTGGAATATGCCCCCTTTCCCATCGTGACCCAGTCTCGAGCCCAGGGCCATTTTGGCATTATTTTGGTTTAGCGATCATACCGCTGACAAGGAGCCAAAATGACCCTGGGCTACCTTCCTTGAAGACAATTTAGCATTTTACACTAGTATAGTTACTGATTACTGGGATACCTGTGGTAGCCCAGTCATAAAATGCCTTTGTTTTTTTGTCGTCTTTTTTTTTTTTTTCCTCCGCCACAAAATAGAAAAATTGCGCAATAGTACCCAGTGGTCATTGGGCCCTCAACACCATGACAACTAACTGTGATCCAATGAGGTGTTCACATGCTGATCACGCGTGTTATCTTGATGATGATTGACGTTGTCATGCACAGAAGGGCTGGGTCACATGACGAATCACGAGATTTTTGCTTATAAAACTCTTTGGTCAGCTATTTTGTAGTTCAACGTATTTGGATTGTGACCTCCTGAAGCATCATGGCGCAAACGCGCATAATACTTACAGACGCATATACAAGTCGTATTAATCGCGGCTAATCCACACTACTAAAAGATGTTATTACTGGGATACCTGTGGTAGCCCAGTCATAAAATGCCTTTGTTTTTTTGTCGTCTTTTTTTTTTTTGTTTTTTTTTTTTTTTGTTTTTTTCCTCCGCCACAAAATGGAAAAATTGCGCAATAGTACCCAGAGGTCATTGGGCTCTCAACACCATGACAACTAACTGTGATCCAATGAGGTGTTCACATGCTGATCATGCGTGCTATCTTGATGATGATTGACGTTGTCATGCACGGACAGGGCCGGGTCACATGACGAACACGAGATTTTTGCCCATTAAACTATTTTGTCAGTCGTTTTGTATTTCAATGTAATTGGATTACGATCATCTGGAGCATTATGGGGCAAACGCTCAAAATACTTATAGACGCATACACAAGTCGTATTGTTCGCGGCCAATCCACACAAAAAGATGTTATTGAGCGGTAATTTTGGATCGGACAGAATCGCGAACGCTTGAAAGCCATGAAAGCATTGAATGCCTTGTATGTCTTGTATGCCAAGTATGCTAATGTCTTAGTTGAAAACGTAAACTCGTTGTAAAAAGCAAAATCTGAAATCTGAAACCAAACTGCATATACTCTATGCAATCTATTGAACAACACTACTACCGTGAGACTGAAGAACAAAATTCAAATGGATGCAAACTGCCAGTGAAGAAAGACGCCATGTTGGATTCACTTGATGCCAGGGAACGTAGCTACGATAACAGTACGAATGGTATTAATTTCACGATCAGAAAGGTGAATCTTGTGTTTGTTTTCATTGTAGTTGTATGGATATTCTTTTTTAATAAATACATGATCCAAAATCCAGTGTTTTTTGTGTATAATGTTATTATGTCAAGTATTGTTTACGCAATTGTCTTGTCACAGGCGACCCAAGGTCACGTTTCGAGAAAGAGCCAACGATTAATTCAAGAACGCGTCACGCGTTGTGTGACTCAGAGTAAGTTATGCTAGGAACCGTTGAAAATTTGAACACGTTATAAGGAATAGCATAGGGAACGAAACATGGTCGATTTACAACGATAAATATTTGGAAATATGAAGATTTTTCTCGAAAAATCAATAAAACTTACTCATACCCTGTGTATCCGTTGTAGTTTCTGGCGATTGTTGCCGTTTTAAGCTTGCTTTACCATCACTATTATTCACGTCATCTACTTTTATTACATTGGTAAAATCTGTACAGACATCACACCAACTAACTCGCGCGCAAAGTAAAAAGACTATGTTGAAGGCTTGAAATTATATTACGATCGATTTTCATCGAGAAATGGGCCAGGAATTTTCCACAATAGTGCAAATAATCGTGAAGGCTGATCGCGGAAAAGCGATTGCGTGACGCTCGGTAAGCTGTAAGATGACATGTTATTATATACCAGACGTAAAAACTCTTCAGATTCTCAGTCTGCATTTTTTACCCACTCTGCAGTCTATATTTTGTATCCGGTCTGCAGTCTGCTGTCTACATTTTGTACTAACAGGTATCCGTGGCACAAATACAGTTTATTTTTGGTTACATATATTCGCACAACACACATAATCTACTACAAAATACCTGTGTGTGAGGTAATTCGACATTTTCATTCTTTCCCGCGTTAATAATCTTCTTTCCTTTTGTAAGAATGTAGACCACTTACAATGTTTCAAGTAATCCACCCACCCTAGAAAAAATAACTCTTGCATGCATAGCATGCCTATGTTTTGAGACAGGTGTATGCCCTTGGCCAGACTTGAGCTCACTATTTCAGTATACTAGTCCGACACGCGTAGTATCACTACACCTGATTCCACGGATCCAGTACCATCCAGGTATCCCAGTTACCCTGCTCACAGGGTCTAGTTGAGCGGTAATTTTGGAACGGATTGAGTCGCGAACGCTTGAAAGCCACTACGTATGCTAATGTCTTAATTGAAAAACGTTCACTTGTTGTAGAAAGCAAAATCTGAAATCTGAAGCCAAACTGTATATACTCTATGCAATCTATTGAACAACACTACTACCGTGAGACTGAAGAACATAACTATAATGGATGCAAACTGCTTGTGAAGAAAGACGACATGTTGGATTCACTTGATGGCAAGGAACGTAGCTACGATAACAGTACGAATGGTATTAATTTCACGATCAGAAAGGTGAATCTTATGTTTGTTTTCATTGTAGTTGTATGGATATTCTTTTTTAATAAATACGTGATCCAAAACCCTGTGTTTTCTTGTGTATAATGTTATTATGTTAAATATTGTTTACGCAATTGTCTTGTCACAGGCGGCCCAAGGGGCTGTCCTGGTGTACCGGTACACGAGGGAATTCCTTTTGTTTTCATAACCATACATGGAGTTATGACGCAGTTCGTTAATGTTTCCTTCCTTTATGTACCGGTACACGAGGACACAACCCGGCCCAAGCTCACGTCTCGAGAAAAAGCCAACGATTAATTCACGCGTTGTGTGACTCGGTGTTAAGTTACGAGAGGAACTGTTGGAAATTTGAACACGTTATAAGGAATAGTATAGGGAACGAAGTATGGTCGATTTACAACGATAAATATTTCGAAATATGAACATTTTTCTCGTAAAAATCAATAAAACTTACTCATACCCTGTGTATCCGTTGTATTTTCTGGTGATTTCTGCTGTTTTAAGCTTGCTTTACCATCACTGTTATTCACGTCATCTACTTTTATTACGTTGATAAAATCTGTACAGACATCACACCAACCAACTCGCGATCGATTTTCATCAAGAAATGGGTCAGGAATATCCCACAATAGTGCAAATAATCGTGAAGGCGGATCGCAGAAAAGCGATTGCGTGACGCTCGGTAAGCTGTAAGATGACATGTTGTTATATACCGGACGTAAAAACTCTTCAGATTCTTAGTCTGCATTTTGTACCCACTCTGCAGTCTGCAGTCTATATTTTGTATCCAGTCTGCAGTCTGCTGTCTGCATTTTGTACTAACAGGTATCCGTGGCACCAATACAGTTTATTTTTACTTACATTTATTCGCAAAACACACATAATCTACCACAAAATACCTGTGGGTGAGGTAATTCGACATTTTCGTTCTTTCCCACATTAATATTCTTCTCTCCTTTTGTAAGAATGTAGACATCACTCACAATGTTTCAAGTAATCCACCCACCCTACAAAAAAGTAACTCTTGCATGCATAGCATGCCTATGTTTTGAAATAGGTGAATGCCCTTGGCCAGACTTGAGCGCACTATTTCAGTATACTAGTCTGACACACGTAGTATCACTACACTTGATTCCAAGGATCAAGTACCATCCAGGTATCTCAGTTACCTTGCTCACAGGGTCTAGTTCGAATATAGAAGCGATCCTTGCAGCCATTAACACTATTGAACTAGTTGTTAAAAAAATGCCTGAAACAAATTCAGGCCCGTACGCCAGTACACATTTTTATATATTTACAGCCATTTTTCATCACTTGGAAGGTTTACTTGGATCCAACATAACGATCACCTCCCAGTTGGCTTCTTAGTTCAGTTGGTAGAGCGCTGCATCTGTATCGTAGAGGTCATGGGTTCAAATCCCGAGCGGGCATGAGTTTCTTTTCAGGCCTTATTTCAACTTTAGTTCAGTAGTGTTCATGGGTGCGAGGATCGCTCCTATATTCGTTTCTTCAACCGCAGTGCACATATATGATTTTCATATATTTACAGAAAGTTATTGATTCGTTGTGTTAGATTGCATGAAACACCATTATTTGGTCGAAGGAGAGAGACTCTGGTGACGACTGCCGATGTACAGTTCTGAAATGTCTTAAAAATGTAAGGATTTAATGTGGAAGCGACCCTTGTAGTTATGAACACAACTTAAGCAAAAGTAAAAATAAGGCCTGAAACAAATTCAGGCTTGTGTGCGATTTGAACCCATGACCTCTGCGACACTGGTGCAATTTTGTTCATAACTGCGAGGATGCTTCCGTATGCAGTTCACATATATGTAAGGATTTGTTGAAGAATCAACGGTCTAATTCTTAAACAAAACTTCTGAACAACTTTCGAATGAAAACAAACTGACCTCGATTTTGTGTTCGTTCTTCAACATTTTCAGTTATTTAAAAGGCTGATTTACAGCCGTTTAACTCGTACCTAGTCTCCTTGATCTAACATTACCTTCTTCGCTCGGCTCGTTAGTTAGTACCCTTTGGTCCGGCAGATGGTATCTTGTTGGTGTTATCGAGTGACGTGTCGTGAAAAAATAAAGTAAAATTTGTTAAAACGTAACCACGAAAAAAAAAAGGAAAAAGTCAGACCTTTTGAAAGAACTTGTGTCCAGTGCTTTTCCGCTTGATCGCACAATCGGTTGACTCACGTGACCCTAAGATCCGTGGCGCCTTCGAGCACAACACCGAGGTGGTAAGAGGAGAGGGAGTAAAACGCAAATTTCTTCAGTCGCAAATAACTATGTAACCGAGCATATTTTTTTGAGAGAGATACCATTCAAGTCAAGAGAGAATCTGTTTCAGGTAGTTAGGAAATGGACTGCGTGACTGTCACGCTGTGAAATTGAACTTTGTTCCTTTTGTTCTAGTTACCTAGTGATAAGCTGTAATCACGTGGTGTAAGTTTAGGGTTTCAAAACCATGTGCGAGTTGACATGTGATCTAGCGATTGTAATCTTCCTCTGTGCTGGGACATTAAAAATATAGTGAAGTGATTCGAGTCTGTTGGTCGATTTAACGTGAATATTATCGGGAAAATCTCTTGTGTTAGAAGCAATCGGAAGATTCCTGACAAGGTATAATCCTTCGGGGGGCCAATAAAGATTCAAAACAAAACTGGCATTTCGTTATCTCTCACAATGTTCAAACAAAGAAGAAGAATCATGATATCAGTCTATCTGTCATTTTTGTCACAGTCAGTGGGCAGGTTTTAAAAGTGCTTAACCGTGAGACTTCGCAATTGGTGGCTACAATCATAACGCTTCTTTTTCCATTATTTTATTTGACCCCGAAAAGCAATGCAACATCGCACTGAGGTTAATTCTACAATGAAAGAAAGGCCTTTTCCTCATTTTGCACAGCGTTCCTTTCACCCACTGGAAGAAATGGAATTCTCGATTAAAGGGTAAATGTATGAGAAGATAACAAAGAAGATGATTCAAAGAAAGGCATAAAAAAATATTTAAGGAAACGGTCATTTCCAATGATGTCGCACTTAATGTTCACAGATCTCCGGGCTCAAATTAGGACCAGCGGGAATCTCAAGGTATTAAATAACCACTCTCTAAATGGATATTGGCTGCGTAGTTTAGTTATAACACCTAACCAGTTCACAGAGTTGGACGACTTCAAAACTTTCACGCTCTGTGCTATTTTAAACTTGGTTTCCACATCCCTGATGATGTTATATTACTATGTGTCCGACAATATCTTCGTTCACTGAAATTTCCTCTGAATTCGACTTCAATTTCTTCTTAAGATCTCAGCTTCCAATGACTTCACTTTATGACAAAGAGGCTGTTTTGTTAATCCAAGAAAGTAGTGGTGAGGTATGCATCATTTGGGGTCTTTTACAGGGTAGACGTACTCGACAACCTCTTCTCCCAAAGCATGTGCATCGATGTCTACAACAGGGACTAAAAACAACAAATTGATCAACGATATCTGACGGACATAAGACGTCTTTCTAGAGCAGACAAATTCTATTTCGTCCACACCGCAGGATGCATGCGTGCCAACATGTGACCTTTAGGCAGGAAACAGGAATGGTTAAATGCGAAGAAGATTAACGAGGATTGTCAACCACTACTAAATAAAAATTATGTACGCACGAATAAGTTTGGTAAGATAGAAAAACACAAGAGAAGCAATGATTCACCAAGAAGGTACAAGGATGGCTGAAAATGGAGAAGATTGGACCGGATTGTTAATGACTACAAAATACTAGTTTGGTAAGATAGAAAAACACAGAAGAAGCAATAATAAACCAAGAAGGTACAAGGATGGCTAAAAATGGAGGAGATTGGACCGGATTGTAAATGACCACAAAAGAATTAATTGGTAAGATAGAAAAACACCAAAGAGACAATAATCAAACTTAATCGAGCAAGGATGACACAGGATGGATGTCGAACTTGAAAATAATGGGGCCCAATTCTTCAAGAATCATGAACGGTGACACATTTCTCCATAAAACTTACTTGTCTGGGGTTCAACTGGCGATCGTGATCGGGACCTACTTCTGTGTCTTCTGAAACAAGTTCAAAGAGTGGCAAAGATCAGATACCAAATACAAGTCTATTTCATGGCAGAGGACTTTTGGATCTGGTCATAAGAGACGGAAACTATGATCACAACAGCCAATCAGAAAACAGGAAATCGAAGTCAAAACAGGTGAAAGCGTGGGAAAACGCAAATGGCCAAGTCGCCATTGGTGTTAGTTTTGCATCTGATTGGTTGAGAAGTTCGCGCGAGTTTTCTGGACCAATTACAGAGCGTAGTAAAGCAACTCTCTACCGGAAACTGATCAGAACGTCAATATTATTAACAGAGTAGGAGAAAACAGTCACCCTTTGTGGCTAATTTTCAGCTGCAAAAAGAAATAGCGCCACCCAGGAGCTGGATAATAGAAAAATTCTTCGAATGGGTGATCAACATAACCTGAAATTGTTTTGGCTTTACTCTGCCCAATCAATCAGAACAGAAGGCAAAATCAAATACGACTTTGTAACACGCGTTTTCCCGCGGTTTGCGGGGATTGGTTGTTTGAAGTTGATTGATTCTCATTAATTCCTTAGGTAATTTGCCTTGGTTTTAATTGGTCGTTGCTATTAGTTTGGGTTTGGTTTTGCGACACTCAATTGAAATCAGAAGAAAAAAATATAAAACAAAAAGAAGTCTTACCTCCGCGGTGGAGACCTAGATACACTTCTTCGCCTTCCTGTGAATAGAATACGAAGTGAAGTCACAAGGCAATGCACTGTGTACTGAATATTTTCAGTTAAGTCAGTCAATAAATTGTGATACAATTCATTAAGTTGTGCGATGTGGTTCCAGTTGTAAATTACATAATCTTATAACGTGGGCGAAGGGCTCATGTATCACCACTCAAAAAGAAATTACTAAGCACTTTCAAATGGTTCTGTTTAATGTGCTGTACAAGTTGGTTCAAACTTTCATTTTTAGATGAAACCCAAGTGCGAGCCATTAAAATGGAAGTTACTGAACAGTATTTTCAGGAAGTACTGTTCGCCATACTCGACACATTTTAACATTCTATTTACCTCTAGGGGAAGGCGACCGACTTGTGTCATATCTGTCCCTATCCCTGCGAAACAAACAAAAACACGAAAACATAAACAACATAATGGTTCTAGTCGACAGATTAAGCAAGCTTCTCTTTTGTCCAAGTCATATCACACAATCCGGCGTGCGGAATCATTTAAATACTTTACAACCAAGGCAGATGAAATTAGGTCGGATTGAAAAGGTCAAAACAGGATCCATGTTTTTTTTTCAATGACATCGTGTGCTCTTACCGTTCACGCCATTTCCGCTGCATCTCGCGAAGGTCATCCTCGCGTTCCTGAAACGAAAAGAAAAGTTATTTCAGTCATCATAAATCCTAATTATTCCTATCCTCAAAAGTTTTCTTTTTTTATTACTGCGCGCCATTCGTGAACTAATCAGAAATTCTCGTGATTCACACCACATAAGGTAACAAACAAACAATGTGTAAAATAGTATTTGAGGAATGGGTAAATTTTTAACTCAGTAATGAATTAGAGTGGGATTCTTTTCGTCTTGACACAAGCTTAGGACAAAACAGAAAAAGAAAGAAAAAAACATAAACAGAAAAATTTGCAATTTACGCGCATGACGCTTTGAACATAGCTGATCCTCGCAGTATGCAGGACGCATGTCACAAATGAACCCCTGGCCTTGCTCAGCGTAGAGTCTGGTAACTCAGTGGTAGAGCATTGGAGCTAGGAATCTGAAGGTCTGAAGTTCGATTCCTCTTGAGGACTCAGATTCTTTTCCTTGTCCCATGCTCGTAGGAGGACGAAAAACATCTTCCCTTCTAAAAAACTAATTAAAAAACTCACATTCCTTTCGAATAGAGGTACTCTGAGCTACAAGGACTGGTATTAACAGCTTACAAAGCTTAGCTTTCCTTGCAATGTGGTGCAGTACTTCCGCAATGACTTAAAACTAACACAAACTCATTTTATAGATCCTTGAAGGGATAAGATGTTCCATTTCTTTCACTGTTATCTAAAAAAATGTTGAACAAGTTTCGGGAGGAATATATATATAAATGATTGGCTGCATTTTTTCCTGTGACAAGTCCGACTACTTTTAACAAGCGATAATACAACAAAAGCAGATTTTTACCCGTCTTTCTTGTTCTTTGACTTCTCGTTTTCGTCTATCTTCTTTTCTGTCTGATTTCACTACAATAACAAAAACAAATAAAATATTTTCAAAATTCAAATTTGTTTTCGTCTTACACCCAGCTGGAGTGATGTGATTGGTCAAAACCTCATATGCTAATGGTAAATTACGACGTTAAAACAGCTGGATTTCCTCAAGCTCTAACACAATTGCTTTATTTTTCCCGCTTGGAACAACTTGCATAGTTTTCCTGTGCTTCTCATCAGTTACTAAATTCCCTCTGCTTTCCAATTACATAATTTCCCGCGCTTTGTAACAAAATTTTCCTCGCTTTTGCAAATACGCAATTTCCCGCGCTTCCCACCAGTTACAAACTTTCCCGCGCTTTGTTATCGCGCAATTTTCCGCTCTTTGCACCGGTTACAAAATTTTCCCGCGTTTTGCAAATAAACAATTTCCCGCGCCTCCCACCAGTTACAAAATTTGATTGACGTGATATAGGGTGCATAAGGTGCATCCGTGCAAAATTTCCTGCGCCTTGCGATAAAATTATTTCCCGCGCTTTACACCAGTTGAAAAATTCATTGCGCCTTTCATCGGCCTTGTAATAGTTTGCACGTTTTCTCGCATAGATTGTTCATTGCGACAAGCCAAATAAAAAATACTTATTTTTATAAGCAGAAACCACAAACAGCGGCGATTTAGAGTCTTACGTTGCTTGTTGAGCATCATTTGCATTCGTTTTTTCATCTTTTCCTGGGCACTTAACTGCAAACAAACGAAGATTATGAAACAAAAATCAAACACCTGAAAGAAAGCCCTTTGACTCGCAGATCGAATAGTTAATTCTCGATAGCAAAACAAATTCTTCTTACAAGCGATGAAAGAATCGTATGGTCTCAATAAGAACAAAAGTTGTTCAGATCTAGAAAATAAAAAGGTCGACAACTTTACAGTTTACCTTTTCTTTGCTGCCTGAGGAAGGTGTTGCTTTGGTTTTCAACAACCTACGTGTGACAAGAACATGACGACGATTATAATAATGATAATCTGTCTTTAATAAATCAGAAACAACAAACGTGTAACTTCACAATATGTTAATAAGAAAATAATAAGTACAATTCAGAATATACAAAAAATTGTAACATTGTAACATTATGTAACATTATGAAGTTCCTTATATACAGTGAATTTAATTGAAGAGGCATCTATTAAGGAAACAATGCTTGAAGCATTCGGTTTTAACTCTAGGTAATATAAAGTCATGCTTGTGCTCACGGAGCACACGTCTCCTCTTTGGAGGTAGCAAATCATGAAGTATATGATCATCACTGATTACGTTCTTAAAAAGCTTAGAGTCCCTATCTCTAAGTAGGTCAAGTATAGTTGTTTTCTTTCTGATGAAGCCAAACAAAGTCTTTGCAATCTGCATCGGATTCTTGAATAAACGAATTAATTTTGACCTTTTTTTTTAAATTAAGAGAAAAAAGATAGATATAAACTCGACAAACTGGTTCAGTCGGCCGTTGTTCCTTTTCCCTGGATTTGTCATTTCTATATAGAGTGCTTTTCATAAAACCAAAACTAAAGTCATTCCCTGACGGCCTATCAGAACGAAGGAAGATATGACAACGAGCTGATGAGAACTTGTCTTGAATTTGATTGGTTGAGAAAGTGGCGGGAGTTTCAAGGGCCAATCAGAGAGGAAGGTAAGAAAATCCAACGTAATCCAGGATTATTCTCTATACTCGATTGAAATTCTTCGATTATTAGCTAGCAGAGAAATTTTGACAGCTAGTAGAAACAAAATTTAAGCATCACTAAACAAACTCACCCCAATCCCTTGGACGGCTGCTTCTTTCGTTCCTTGTTGTCACGGTCATTGTCACGCTCTCGCCGATCACGGTCATGTTCATGACTGCGGCTTCTACTGCGACTCTGCTGGTGTCTATGCTTTTCACGCCCACGAGTACCGTGACGGTCTCTGTCACGTGACCGGCTTCTATCACGTGAGCGACTTCTCTCGCGTGACCTACTTTTCTCGCGGGATCTGTCTCGCGATCTGCCATGATAACGCCGTCGATCGCGGTCGCGTGACCGTGAGCGTGTTCTACTTCTCTGTTTCTTGTGTGACTGCAACCTGTCACGCTCCTTCGATTTCTTTCGTTCAGAAGTACTAATGGTTTTAATTTTCACAACACAGCACAATTACGCACACAAAAGAAATCGCATAACATGAAGAAATAGTTGCAAAATTAACGGACGGTTATAAATTTACATTTTTACATACCGAATTTGGTGTTTGAAGAGTACGTGTTGACAAGGCGAGGGATTGAGCAATCACAGAGGAGCCACAAGCACAAGGCAGGTGCAGGAAAGAAGAAGAAAAAAAAATTAGCCAAAAGAGAATAGTTGAACAGAAATAGTTTTATCCTTTTTTAGAAGTTCCTGTATCTTGTAAAATTCCCCTAGATTTTCCAAACAAAGTCACATAGAATGTGTCATCTCAACTAACTCGGTGGAACTGACAGGCAGATAAAGGACTTTTTAACAATAACCGATTTATTTATTTCCTTCTTCCCTCCTTTACCTAATACCCCTCTGAACCTGTCAAAACATTTTATAATGATTAATTTATAATAATTATTATTAATACCCTTCTGAACCTGTCAAAACATTTTGGTAGCTCTGAACCGCATGTACATATCTTTAAACAAATATTACAAAAAGATGAATCTTAACAGTTCACAAATTGCAAAAAAAAAACGGGGTCACCGAACTCACTTTCGAGTAACAAGCATACAAAGTTAAAATTAGGGGTGCCACTAAGAGGCTATAGTGTTGCTATGGTAATCTTGTAAGAGAAAAAAATGATCGCACCCTGTTGATTGATATATATATATATATATATATATATCATTCTATGGATCACTGATTTATTAGTATTATTATTTTTTGCCGCTTGAGATGAACGAAATTTTAGCCGGGAACTAAGCAAAAATAAGCAGCCTACCCCAAACCCCAAGCCACTACCATGGAGAGTTTTATCAAAACAGAGGCAGTAAATTTTTGCGGCGTTTCATACTGCAAGATTCTTATTTCAATGGCGATTTTGTCAAACCCGGTACTAAATTCGCAAAATTTTCATGCTACACCATACATATTCTTCAATCACTGGGGCGAAGAATTAAAATAGCGATGTCAACATAAACTTTTCGTCGCTCACAACATGTGGCTGCAAAGCTCAGTTAGTAGAAGCGCCTAACAAGTTTCAGAGAGGCAAGAGTTCGAATCCTGTCGGAGCCTAAAAACAGTTTCTTCTTTGCAATTCTTTAAATCGCAGCTCACCTCACGAGGATCATTTCTTTACTTGTGGACCATGGACAAAAATATACCCACAGTATACCCAACAATGATAAACAGTAAACCCAGCAATGACGAACAGTATACCCAACAATGACAAATAGTATACCCAGCAATGACGCACAGTATACCCAGCTAGGAACGAACCAGTTCGATTTTCTTACAGTCAATCTAAGATGGAAGCATTGGTCTAGCGAGCGGATAACAAAGTAAGGCAAACCGACCGGGAGGAGGATGAACGTGATCGTGAATCACCGCTCGCTTTCGTGGAAGGCTGATCGGTCGATGAATGGCTGAATTCTGTGATAAATTCCACTTTGCCGGCGTTTTCTGGTGATGGCGATCTGGACGATGATCGAGAGGAAGACCTAAGTGAAAAAGATAGAAAAGAGTTAACAATAGTCAAACTTACATCGTAGGAGCCTTCTGTTACTCCCAGGTCGCGATTGGTTTCAGTTTTGAATCTAATCGGTTAAGAATGTGATAGAGTTTTCTGGACCAATCACAGAAAGAAGCAATGCAAAACCAAAGCAGTCCTAGATTACTTTCCACACTACATTATAAATTTGCTTGATTTCACTGGTATACACTTAAACTCAAATTATGAACCTAATGTTGGCCTGGCTCACTGCAGAGTTTTTGTGGCTTAATGGTAGGTCATCGGAGCGTGGAATATGTCGATCTGAGGTTCAATTGCTTACGTACACTCCACGTTTTTTCTTTGATCAACGCTTATCACAAGTCCAACTACTTTCACTACTTTTTTAATAGAATGTAAAAAAATACAAACAAACAAAAAAATCAGAACTGTCACACTACATAACTTGACGATGGAAGTGCATCGCAAGTTTTTCTTTCTGTTTTGTGTTTTTACCAGGGTTTTCAACAAAAGAGAAAAGGAATAGTCGATCACTTTTACTAACCTTCTGTATGGTTCATATGTAGGGCTTGCTTTCCTGGCATAACTGTAAAAGAAGTGTAAAAAACATAGTGCCTGTGACAAATGGTTAAATCATTCATATCACCTTAAAAAAAACACTAGAAGCGGCCTTTAACCCCCAAGCAAGCGAGCGACCGAACAACGGCACGAAAAATAAAAAAGCGTGCGCACGAGCGCACCAACGAACGAACGAATACACAGAAAACGAGTGATTGCACGAATGAACCAACGAACGAACAAAAGCACATAAAAACGAACGAGCTCACAAACGCACCAACGAATTAGCTAACGAATGCACGAATGAAAGAGCGAACAAACAAGCGGACCAACGAACGCACGGAAAAGGAGCGAGCACACGAGTAAACCACCGGAAGAATGAAGGAGCGAACGCACGAAAAAAACCAAGCAAGTGCATGAGCACATCAAGGTACAAACGAACGAGGACATGCACGAATGATGAAGGTCTGGATGAAGACGTGCTCGCACGAATAAATGTGCGCATTGGTGCAAAAGCAGTGCATCTACCTACAGTACCTGGGTGGTGACAGTTCCACATCATGTGCTTTCCTCCTCTGTCTTTCTCGCAATGAACGTCTTTCGCGACGGGCACGCCGACCCTGGAATTTAAGTTACACATCCTCCAACAGTTAATTGAAAAAAAATAATAAAAGAAGCATGGACGATATAGTGAACCAATACTGAGCCTGTTCCAGGCGTTCACTTAGTAAAACGAAGCACGATAGTAGACAGCGCTATAGAAGCGGAGGAGTGAAAAGCCGAAAGAGATTTGGGTCGGGTCGCGTTATGAACACGACCCGACCCAGACTTCCTCCGCTTTTACACTCATCCGCTACTATGACTGTTATCGCGTCGTTTGCCAAGTCACTCCGTTTTACTGGTTAAACGCCTCAAACTGTTAACCAGTACTGTCGAACCTTCGGTGAAAACTGCTTCCTTACAGTGGTCACTTCTTTTGTCAAATCTATCTAAAACGACGACCTCTCCACATCAGAGATTTCAAGCAACTTACAGTAACAAGTGAACGTTCCTCTTCTTGCTGTCGAAGCCTCCGTTGCTCTTCCAACTCTTCTTTATCTTCTTTCAGCTTTCTGCAAAATACATTCAGACTTGTACTGCAGTATCACAACATCGTTCAAACTCAACAATGAAGCGTCCATTTGAAAGGCCACACTTCCGTGGATGTTAGTGCCACGCTGTACCGACTGTATAGTAAACAGCACCACGCTCAGTAGCTATCATTTGAATAGTCAAACACAAGGTTTTCAGGTGCAGACTTAACCCTTTACACCCTAACATCAGTATGCGTATTCTCCATACTGTTCTCTATACATTTTCCAACGCGCTGACGAGGAGAATTTGTTTAACAATCAAAAGCTTCTTTAGTTGGTGATCATTTCCTTTATTCTCATGACCTTAATGTGTGATTCAGGGTTGATATTGTAGGGAGAAATTAGACGCTGGTCACTCTTAAAGATCAAAGGGTTTAAGGTCAGAACAACCCTGCAGAGCATAATAAGTCTACTGTTTCGTAGGACAACATGACTGAGGATTTCATGCGACATGACTCTAGTATGGGACGACATGACTCTGGTATGGGACGACATGACTCTGGTATAGGACGTCATGACTTCGGGGAAGATAACTTTTGGGCGACTAAACCAGTCATCCACTAACTGGCTTGTGTTTGAATTGTAACATGCTTTGGACTTACTTACAGACCTATTATTCGAGTTACCCGCGGCAGATACCACTACCATAAAAGGCAACCTTATAACTAGTATTCAAGCTACTTATAAAGTTGACAAACCTGCAGAATTGTGCTGATGCCATGCCGTAATGGAGTCCGCGAGAGTCTAAGGTTTCTCTCTACAGATAGACCAAAGGCAAACATTTCTTCAGGTTTTTCATTCAACTAATTTATTCTTGTTATCGCGTCACCGTGTTCCCACCAATAGCGTGGCTTCATTTTTTCTACGATTCCTCCATTCGCTCTGACTAAGGGCTCACGCTCGAAACTTCAGCTTTTAAACTCTTTACGGTGGCCAATATACGTTATCAACTCAGTTGATAATACTAAATTACCCTGTTTCACTCTTCCACCGACGCGACACCGCAATTTCTTTAGAAACTTACCCACTTTATTAATTCAACAACCGTTAGAGTGTAGTCTGATCGTCCAGGGGGGTGTAGTCCTATCGGTAGTGGCGACTGACGTTTCGACAACCTGGGCGAAGTCGTTTGTATGGTGCCGGTAGTGTCTCAGCTACTACCGGTACCATGCAAACGACACATTGCTTATCCTAGCAGTATGCAGGACGCGTGTCATATGAACTTCGTAATAGACCTCGCTCTACGTGGAGTCTATATGGATCAGTGGTTAGAGCATCGGAGCGCGGAATCCGAAGGTCTGAGGTTCGATTCCTCATGGGGACTAAGAATTTTTTCTTTGTCCCACGCTAGTGACAAGACGAAAAAAACATCTTTCTCTATTTCTTCAGGTTATCGAGCTCAAAACTTACCATATCTCTTATTTCTATCTAATAACCAATCAGTTTAAACAAACCGGACTAAGAACATTTGACTGACAACTATTCACTTGACTCTGATGATGATTTCCGCTCAGGTTGTAAAAACGTCAGTCGCCACTACAGACAACAGTCCTTCTCAGGAATACACTAACCCTGACGATCAGACTACACCATCGCATTTTACCCCGGGTTCAAACCATTTACTGTATTTCAATAACTGTTGCTACATGCAGCTCCCCATTACAAATCGTTTAAAAGAAATAAGCCCATTCAAATGAATCGACACATTTACATTAACTGACCTACATAAGCTGTTCAAATCTGTGAGTTGACTAGCTTTTTTAAAAATATTTTTATGTTGTTGATAGAAGTGCAATAAATTAGTTTGCTAGAATTTACCTGATTTGTATCAATTTCATCCACATCTACTGTAACATCTACAAAATAAAAATGACACAGGGAATGGCAATCAGGCTTTGGGCATTGGGAATGCTTATCTGCTACCATCTGTGGCCATGGGTCGATTCTCAAATCTGGCATCTATAGATGTCAATTTTCTATTGGTTCTTTCCCTTACAGCATGGTTTCTTCCCAAGTTCTCAAGTGTTTCTCTCTCCAACTAAAGAAACATTCCATAATTCACTGGAATTATGAATTCCATATATCACTGTGCATAAAATTTTACCATTTTCAAAAAGTATTTACAAACAATTAAACCAAGGTTCCTTGGCGTGTAACATTAGCTCATCAAGGTAGTTTAAGTGACTCTATGCAAGTTGAAAGGCCTCATAACAAAGAAGGCTTAACACTATTCCACAGCAAAAAATAGAAGCTTATGCTTATGAACAAAAATGGCTCATTTAGGGGCACCCCAGCAGACTTGGCAACAACAATGATTAATTTCTATCCTGGTACAGTTTTGTGAAGTTCTTAACAGTTTGCTATACAGACTTTATAATTTATAGTATTTTCTAATACAAATTTTCAGCATGTTTTCCAGATTTTCTCACCGATAAGCAGCACCCTAACCCTAACCCCAACCCTAACCCCATGATTTGTTGGGAGAAAAGATGTAGTTTGTGTCCCCACATGTTCAATAACAAATATCTTTAAAATATGGGACCGAGTCTAGATAATCAAAAATTATGGATAATCAAGTTTCAGATAACCAAGGTTTGAAATTATCAGTGTTATCATATTAGGTGCTTATGATATGCCTTACCTATATCACTAAGGATACTGTCACTATCACTGTCACTGTCATCATCATTATCATCATCATCGTCCTTGTCTGAATCGCCGACACTTTTGCTGTTGTCATATGTAAAGCCAATGGTAGCCTTAGCTTGACTCCTGTACCATCATCAAGAAATGGAGTTATTCTCTAAGATAACTGACAGTGAAATATTACACAGCATTCAAACTTTCATGTTTCTTCATACCCCAAAAAAATTTGGTGAAACTTTAAGGTGTCTGGTAAATTTTTTTTTCTTGTCATGGCCACAAAAAAGGTTACAGCTTGGAGAAATAAGTAGAAGTAAATTAATTACATTTTCTCCATGCACTACTTTCAACAATATTCATATTCTCCCTACTGTTCTCTGTACATTTACTAAGGAGCTGACAAGGAGAATTTGTCTAACAATCAAGAGCTTCTTTAGTTGGTGATCATTTCTTTTATTCTCATGACATTAATGTGTGATTCGGTGGTGATATTGGAAGGAGAAATTAGATGCTAATCAGTCTTGGGGGTTAAAGGGTTAAACAGTAAGGACAGCAACGCCAAAGAAGGGGTCAATTAAAAATGAGTTTAGAAATTTAGAACAAATAGCAGGATGTGTTTACTGTCTTTTATCACACTACACCTCAACTTAAAGTATAATTTATGTCAACAATGATGAGTTCCAAATGAAAACCTAAATAATTTTCCATTCTCCGAACATGCAAATTTTGGTGATTTCACAATGTTATTTTGCAGAGGAAGGCTTCCATATGTATATACATATGCTTGTGCTATGCTATCATTCTGCCCCTAGATCTTTTGTTTCACTATGTTCTTGTTGCAGTCGCTGTCACAGTTTCCTTAAGATCTCTAATATAAATACAGATTACTTTAAACAGAACTCCACTCCTCTTCAGATTTTAAGCTGTGTTGCTTACTTTTCTTTGTCTTTTTTCTCATCTGCTTTCTTGGCTCCATACATTTCTTCTATTTCCAACTGCCGAAGATAAGACTCCTCTGAGGCTAAAAAGAAAATGAAATATCGAAAAATTCACCACAAGCTTCCTATTTTGTACACTCTTGGTCACTGGGCTGTGCATTCTTTCTTGCAGGGTGATAACTGACTTACTGACCTCCACTGTAATCTATCATTACCAATGTTCTGTATCTTTCATAATTTAATCTGTTTTCCTCTGGATCGGTCTCCATCAAGGCTCTAAGAAAAACAATTGTGTGCAATCTTTTCAGTATTGTCACATTTGCAACTGATCCAATAGACTTCAGTCAATGTATTTAGACGCAAGTCAAGAGAACAAGGTCTAGAATTTTGAGAGAAGGCATACTGGTAACATCCTGAGAGAACAAATGGAAAATAGGAAAAGAACAAACAAAACTTTCTTTCAAGGCTGAACTTTCTTCGCTTGGCTTTTGATTTCCTTTTTCAGTGTCAGCATGAATTTTTAAGTTTTGAAACAAGACTGCCAAAGAATAGAAGTGAAGGAGCCAGTATCTGCCAAGATCTCATCAGTTATTCTCCTCCCTTTCTGCCTTACAATTCATTTGATGCTAGTTTGGAGAATTTGGAATTGGTTACATCAATAATTGATATTTTTCTTTATTCTCATTACTTGTCTGCTTGATATTGTACTGATAGTGTAAGGAGAAATTCTGTCTTGGTCACAACTGGGACTTAGAGGTGTAAAGGCATTCACATCATAAATTTTTTTTTCTTGGTTGACACAGATCTCATTTCTGTCCATAATTTGTGCACCTACCCAATAGAACTTGATGATGGTTGTTCTGGGATAATATCAAGGTGGGCTCGAACATCAAACCTGAAAACGAAAAACCAACACTTTTCACTTCTACATCAATTTTTTGCTCATTTAACAACTAAATTATTCAGCATACACTATTAAATTGACTTAAGACACTGATGATGCAAATTTTAATTATTCTACTGACATAGATGTAAAATGTTTAGCATATGTAAACTATCAACTTACAATACATTACTTAGAATTCATCATTTACAATACACAGACTTGACATTTTAATATTTCACTTAAAATATATCACTGTTAACCCTTTCCTTTGATAAGATCTCATTACTAATTCACCCTACTGTTTGCCAGACAATTATTTTGATGTGAGTTTGAAGAATTTGTTATTGGATCAACTAATAATCCCCTTATTGATATTGTTCTCTATTTGCATTATTTGTCTGCTTGATGTTGTATTGATACTGTAAAGAGAATTTCTGTTATGCCATATTGGTTGTTCATGTGAGTAGAAAGGTTAACTGAAGTCCTCTTTCACACTTCATATTATAGCATCACATTTCTTTTGGAAATTTTATCTTTAAACCATTTAACTCGTGAGAGTGACTAGCTTCTAAATTCTCCTCATGGTTTCACCTTTAACTCAAATATAAATGTTGAGAGAATAAAGGAAAATATCTCCAATTTAGGAAGCTCCTAATTATCAAAAAAATTATCCTTGTCAGTAACATAGGAAATGTGAGGAGAATATGCATACTGATGCTAGGGTGTAAAGGGTTAAGTAATGCAATACCTGTCAATCATGTTATTTGAGTCACCTTGCCACGGCATCCTGGAGAAAGAAAAAAAATTAAAAATAAAAACATAATTTCCTTAATCAAAATGTAGTAATAAATTCCTTAACCCTTTAAGTCCCGTTAGTGACCAAGACAGAATTTCTCCTTACACTATCAGTACGATGTCAAGCAGACAAGTAATGAGAATAAAGAAAAATATCAGTTAGGTGATTATTGGTTGATTCAATTCCAAATTCTCAAAGCTAACATCATATGAATTGTATGACAGACAGTAAGGAGAATTACTGATGAGATCTTGGGAGTTAAAGGGTTAAGTGCAAAATACGAAGAGCTGATGATCAGCATACATGCATAAGCCATTTTTCGGGAGTCTTGGCTTGCCTACCCATTACAAGCTTATATGTGACCAAAATAAAATTTGTCTGTGTTAACTTTCTCATCAGTTGTAGCTTTCTACTTTATTCGATTCACAATTCTCATGAGTCTTTTAATCATAGTCCATTAATGCACTTTTATTTCTGGTTGTTGCTTATGGCTTCTCTGCCACCAAAAAAGTCTGTATTCACAAGCAATTTAATAATCATTCATTCTCACATTACAGTTTTCCCATCTCCTGCTGATGACAACTGTGGATCAATATGGATTTTATATTTTTGTCCATATACTCTCAGGAACTGAGTAGGATCTTGTTTCTGAATAAATATAATAAAGAGAGAAAAATTGACACTATTGCTAAGTAATCATCCAGCTGGATTTTGTTTATAGTTCTGAGAGGATCTGTAGTAAACTGTCTTCTCTACCCCATCTGGGTTATAAGCCAATGAAGCCCTGCAAATGAGGGGGGAACCTTTGCTGGCTGCCAGCTTTTGTATGTATTCCCTCCAAACAACTAGAGTACATTATTTTTTGGAACTCACAAGTTTTCTCACTTGAACCTATGTGTAAAAGAAATTCAGCCCAGTGGGAGCGCCAGACAAATGATAGGAATAACAAGCTAAGAACAATGACAAACATTTCAGAATTTTAAATCCTTTCATGCGTCTCGAAGCCCGCTTTCACTTCCAAGATTTGTTTGAAAATCCCTCCTTCTTTATCTTAATTGTTGTAAGATGAGGGAATTTGGTGTTAAATCTAAATAGCACCTTTTGGCTGATAGGTTTGTCTGCTCTCATCGCCTATATGCTGGTAATGAATCGAATTCATGGGGAGAAGTTACAAGCTAATTAATCCCTTCATGATACTATAGGGTACATCCTGCAGGTTGGGGTATGGCGGAGGTGGGATACGAATTCAAAATCAAAAGGGTTTTCGGAATCAATCTCGCCCCGTCTGGTTGTCCGAAACCTCGTGTTCATTGCCTTAGAATCTTGTTATAAAGTAAAATCATAAACATGAAGGTGTAATCCAACCATCCTTTCGTAGAAAGCTCTTCTTCGCTCTGCCCTTTTGCGGTAATCTACCATCATTCCGCGCAATTTCTTTTCTTGCCTTCTCGCTTCGTGCCACATTTTCAACGATTTGTCTCCAATAGAAAGTTTACCCAAATAATACTAAAATCTTTAAAAAGTCACTCTGGAGCATTCCCATCCTTGGGACTCCCGTTTCCTACGGGAAAATGTGGCAAATGCCATAATCCAAACCGTGCTCTCACCGTTTTTGCACTGTTTTTAAGCTCTTTTTTTTTGGTCAGCAGATCTTTGTATCAGCGCACACTCAATAAAAAGGTAAGAAAGAGCGGCAATTTCGTTTCGACAATTCACTTTCTAGGGATCGGTAGGTAGATCACAATTAGTTTTCTTTCATGAAAAGGTCTTCATCTTATCCATGATTAGGAAATTTACCACATAATCATGTTTTCCAAGTGTTCAAATTCTCTAATTAGGCCTATATTGGTTGTTTTTGAGATGATTTTGTTGTATAGACTCATATTTGAAAAAGCCCCAAGGAGGGCTGCCCGCTAATGCCCGGGTAAATTATTAGATTGATCACGCAGCACACGCGTGGTCGGACAGAGATCACGCGGTTGCCCTCGACTGAGTGTGATGGCGTTGGAATGCGAAAATAGCGCGTCTAGTTAATGGAAGCTTGGCGTTATACGGCGTTAAACGCGCACTTTTCCAATCTTCAACAGAAGCTGTTGTCGACAATGCAACCTGCCAAGTAAGTTTTCATCTCCTTGGTCTAAAATATTACGAAACAGAGCAAAATAGCGCAGACCATCGCGTTTCTCGGTTTGGCACGTATTCAGATACACGTAACGGCTTCGACAACACGGAGGTACACGTTCGCTTTTCTATTTTTGACATAAGTAGTGCAACTTTTGAGATTCGCAGATGGTTTTTGGTATGAATGAGGCAAGATAGCGGCGAGGCTTTTTCTGGCGTGTTGAAAATTTAAGTGAATTGATTTAGATTCACCTTAGATCGCATTACTGTCAGCGATCATGAAGTCTTGCATGTGCGCAAACCGAGTTGAAGGCTGTTAGGCTTACGCAGAGTCTCGCGAGACTCCTGAATGAAAATTTAATTTCAGAAAATTCATCGCTGAATGGAACCACTCAAATCTTGTGGTGTAAAAAAATCGAACATTTTCTATGCTAGAATGCGTCATCTGAAAACTTATCACTTATCTTGAGTTGTACGCGACAAGTGCCATGCCTTTGGACGGTGGGGTGGGGGCGGCTGGGGGGGAGGAAGAGGTAAGGTAATTGATCAGCAATAAAAAAAAAGCTACCAGCATTGTCACATAGTTATTGCTGGCCAAAATTCCTGCACACTCTGGATTCAAGAATTGCCAACAAGCAGGTACACATCATGATCAACACAAGCAATTCTTTGCTGGCAAGAAACTTAGAGGCCTTGTGGAAAGGAACCCAGCTTCAGGGCTGGGAGGGATCTGGTTCTTTTTATTGGGCAAAAATACCTGTGCTGCAGCCCAACTAACTTGCATGTGCTTGCAGGGTAATTCTAGAACTACACAATTCTCACCTCCAGCTGTGACCAACATGCATCTTCTCCTTACAATATCAATATATTTTCCCACAAGCAGGTAATGAGAACAAACCAACATATCTGTTAGAGGATGTTACCTCATTGAATGTAATGGTCAGACAAATGTAAGCAATACAGTTGTTAGAAATATTTCAAATAATGTTTCAACCCTGTAACTCCCAAGATCTCATCAGTAATTCTCCTTACTATCTGCCATACAGTTCTTGTGATGTTAATTTGGAGAATTTTGTATTGGACAGGGCGTGAAATTGCGCCTAATACAGGCGCCAATGCGACTAAATTTTTCACTTTGGCGACCAAATCCTGAAAGTTAGTCGCCAAATTGGCGACTACAACGTTTCATCATAACCTTACCAAGAGATATAGTGAATTAAATAAATTTGCAAAGATAAATCCGCGGCAAACTTCCTCGTTTAGTTTGTTTCCAAAACGTAGCACATGCATCTCGATCGATAACTAGACGCCATCTTGGATTTAGATGAGCCGGAACGTTGTATATCTTACATCCTAGTGTCCACTTTGTAGCACGTTAAAGATCTTTTCCCTAACTTAATTTTGGAGGGTCTATCTAGAACGCTGACAGCGTAAAGAAAGATTTTGTTTGTCTTTGAAAATGGCGAGCAACTTTTTTTGAATTGGCTACCACTTTGAAGAATTTAGGAGCCAAGTGGCTATCAGAAAAAAAAGTTAATTTCACGCCCTGTTGGATCAACTTATAATCCCCTAATTGATATTTTACTTTATTCTCATCACTTGTCTGCTTGATATTGTATTGATATTGTGAGGAGAAATTCTGTCTTGGTCACTTATGGGAGTTAAAGGGTTAATGTTGTCAACTGATCATTTGTTTCTCACAGGGATAAAAACTCAGGTACTATGGAACCAATGGAGGCTGACCTCTACAACAACAATGTAACCAATTCGAATTCTGTTCGTAAAAGAAAAGCAACAGATGGACAGCAAAGTGATGTTTTAGTGGTAAGGCTACAATATTAGGTCCATTAAAAGAGGCCTTTGCTTTGTTTCAAAATTGTAAGCCATTTGATCAGACATTTCCTCTGTTAGGATTCTTTTTTACAACAGTTCTGAAATGTATATCATTTGTAAAGTAATATGCAAATGAAAATATCATCTGGAATTATGGAAAAATTTCTTTGGGTTTTTAATGAAAGACCTCACCATTAAAGTTCATTTTTGGTTCATGAACTATCAGTTGAACCAAACTCCTTGATATAATATACTGTTCTTCATTTTCTTTGGTAATTTTAGTCTGGGAGGTTCTACTGTGCTTTTTTTTTTTTTACTTGTAACATAATAAAAAATTTAATTCAAATTAGAATTAAGTCCTTGAATAAGACACATGAAATGAGATTAAAAATAACTTGTTTTGGGTCCATTAAATCATAGATCTTCAGAATACGAACAACTATGATTATTAATCAGGTGAAACTCATAAAGATCATTTTGTTATCATAAATACAATAATTACCTCTCCCCCCCTCTACAATTGAACTTAATTTAACTAGAATATTAACAATATTTTTAGGAACCAATTAGCTAATTAAATCTTCTACAACTCTTAAAATTTCAGAAGAAACAAGCATTGAACATGATGACCTGAAGCAGATGTCTCAGTAACAGTTCTAACATATACATCCTCAAGTCCTAGATGAATTTAAAAACATTTTATAAAGTCCATTTTACACATGCAGATCACTTTTCCCTTATGATGATTAGAGAAAAAAAAGCATTCTTTAGCTGCAAGCTTGTAAAATAGTGATACAAACTTAGAAATTTAATTAATATATGAAATATTTTTAGTGTAGTTATACTATATATTTGCTGTTAACTCTAAAACTATACTTCTGCACAAGTCTTTGTTCCTTGACGTAAACAGAAAAAATTAACTGATACTATGACATTTTCACAAGTAGCTTTTTTGAGACAAGCAACATAGGGTTCTCCTGTTGTATCTCCTAAACTTGTCATTAAAAATGACTTTTTTTTCTTTCAAACTCTAAGATTAAGCAGCCCTTTCTAAGAATTAACCAATGTTATGACGTTTTCATAAGTAATTTTTTTGAGACAAGCAACATAGGGTTCTCCTGTGTTGTAACTCCTAAACTTGTCATTAAAAACAACTTTTTCTTTTAAACTCTAACATTAAGATTTAGCTGCCCTTTCTATCAGTTTTTACCCTTTTTTAGCCAGATGTAAACCTCTAATTTCCATGGTGAGAAAAATATGTTTCTATTTTTGAAGTCTGTTTGACAAAAATATTTTTGCAAATGACATTTTCATTGCAGTTGTTTTATAGTCTTGAAATAGACAATTCAAATGTAGACACACATACATGTTTGGAGACTTTCTCAACATCATATCTTTAGTTACTGTGTGGGAGTGATTTGAAACCTTTATCTCACTCTTAAACAGGAGTCAACAACTGTATCTTGGTTTCACTTTAAAAAGTAGAACTAAGAAATCAAACCTAACAGTCTTTCATTGTTATCGTACATTACATTTTTTAAGCAGTATGATGTAATCTTGGTGTGTAAACAATAAAAGACTTGTGAATAATTTTTAATTTCTTTATAGCAAGTTTTGGGTTATGGGAAACACTAAGATAAGAGAATGTAGCTTAGACAAATGTTTCAATGTTTACGGATCTACTTTCCAGTAATGTGCCAACTAATATGGGCCAACTGATTCAAAGCCTCAATATCCCACCCCCATGGGCATTTGACTGTTGTCTGAGCCCTGGTGATAGGGAATTGGACTCTTCTCTAGATTGGGTGGGAAAATTAAATTGGTGGAATACAGGTGTTCAAAATCAGACATGTAAATCAAGTGAGGCCAGGTATACCAAAATAATTTAGTTCAGTTTTCCGAGCTTTTGCTGATCTGCAGCATCATCAGGGAATGATGATCATTCCCTGATGATGCCATAGATTGGCAAAAGCTCGGAAAACTAAACTAAATCATCGTAGCATACCTGGCCTCACTTGATTTACACGTCTGACTTTATAACACTATGCTACTCAAGGACAACATCCAACACAGGTGTTTAAATTTAATTCTGGAGAAGTTTAAAGAGAGTGACTGCTTCCATAAGCAAATAGCATTGAAGATGCTTAAAAGCAAGAAATCAGCAAATTCTTCAACATTTGTTGATCACACAAAGAATTATTCAAAACATGCATTTAAGTGATGCATGTGAATGCAGTTTTGGCCTTTGGGAAGGAATTTATACAAAACCAATTTTCAAACATTCAGTTGCCCAGGGAGAAAGGGATGTTAAAGTTTTCAAATCAATCAACAGCTAATTCACAGCTTCTTACATAGGGAGCTATGAAGCTTGCATTTGCCAAGTGGTGGTGAAAAACATAGAGACATTTGGCAGACAAGTATCAAAAGGGAGGGAGACTTAATTTCAACTATAGTGAATTTTTGAAATGTAGAAATTCAGTTGAAGAGTCTGGAAATACATGTGTCAGTGACAAACACTGGCTGACCCTATATCAACACCCAACATCACAATAACAATTCCCCCTTCTGTCTATTCTTCATTTCTTAAGATGTTTTCTCTAAGAATTTGTAGTTTGATCAAATGATATCCCTCTAGGGATATATTTCACTCTTTTCTTGTTACCTTCTACTTGACTATGTATTGCTACTGTAAGGAGAAATTTCTTTTTGGTCGGCATTGGAGATCAAAGGATTGAAAAACACGTTATGAATGTTTGGTAGCTGCTAGTGTCGTGGTACAGAAAGTTGAAGTTAAAATTGCACAGCAGTGATAGGACATCCCACTGATTGTATGCCAATTACAAATAAAAGACACATTAAGAAATCAATCATAATCAAGGATTTCATCACATTATGAATTAATGAATAACAGTGTCACTTTCTTTGTTTGTAGGAGAAAGGTCTAAAATTTGACAGGCCGTGTGTATGGACAAATGGCTCTTGTCTGAAATTAGATGTCTACACCCAGACAGATTCTTCATTTGTGTCAGACAACTACACAAAATCTCTGGTAAGAGATGAGGCAGTTATGGATTACTTTTGATTTGTTTTATTGTTAAATGCAGGAAACTGCTACAATTAACCAATCAATGGCAGTCAATACTCTTATCAACAATGATATTCCTAATCACAGTGGTCAAAATGTTGTTGACCACAGTTTTTTACCACAATATCGACATCAAATAAGATAATTCTCTTAGTGCAAGACCATTGCTTGATGTAGGCAGTGTTATCTGTACATTTACCAACAACAGCAAATTGGCCAATGCAACGTTACTGCTAACTGTGTTAAAAAGGGAAATGTTTTGTGAAGGAAATTTTATCAACAAGTGGTTGTCAATCTGACTTAAGGGAGCTATATGTTAGTCTTTTAACTCTCAAGATCTGTTTATTAATTCTCCCCTCTAGTTGCTACCCATTTTGTTGTAAATATGTTACAAGAATTTGGTGCTAGATCATGATAAAACTTCTACCTGATAAGTTTGCATATTCTCACTACCTGTTTGTTGAATGAGTCAGGGATATTAAAGGGAGAAGTTACTTGTTAATCACTTCTGGGAGTTAAAGGGTAAAACAGCACTGGTAATGTATTTGTGGTTATGTGGTTAGTTTATGTCTTGATCTCCATTGTAATTGTTTTTTTTTTCTCTTTTTAGTAGTTTATTTTAGTAGTTTATCATATTGTCTACCTCGATTAGTCTTTTGTCAGTGAAATGGTCCAAGCCAACAGTAAAAGGCTGGAAAATATTGAAAAGTTCCTGGAGGCCTTAGACTGTAAGATTGAAAGTTTTCTGTCTGGTGAATCAACACGAGAAACACCAAGAAAGAAGGGCCATGTTCAAGACTCGTTTAGAAAGACGGAGGTGGGTCATTGAACACGTTTGATTGATTGCCGGGGATTGTGTCTGGGAAATTGTGCGGCTTTTATTTATGAATAAACTTCTGACATTCTCTGAGTTTTTCTAGCTTAATTCTCTGCAGGAGTCAAAAGTAATCAGAGGAAATTACCATCCTCCTTATTCGGTTTAGTTGCTCAATGCGAGACAGGTGCCACGTATTAGGGAGTTAAAAAAACCACGAAGGCAACGGCAACGTCATTAAACGAAAGGTTTAGTGATCAGAACAATGGCTGCACACGAGCGTTATGAATATTTGCAAACTTCTTTGTGTCCTCTGCAAAACTTTGCGTTGTCTGGAGAACGTGAACGACGACGGCTAATTTTTTTTGAATTTTTATGTCTAATTCAACGCTGTATTCCATGTTCAGTTTCGAAATAGTTTTGACAGTGAGAAACAAACTAAATGACTTTACAGTATCGCGAGATTTGTAGGTAAAATATATTTTGAATTTTTAACCGACATTGTCCACGGCGTCGCCGTTGTCGCTTCTCAAACTCCCTATTAACTTGGCGTAGTTCATTGTAGGATTCCCTGTGACTCAGTGGTAGAGCATAGCAACAGGAAATGCGGAGGCGTGGGACTCTTTCTCGTGGAGGCTAATATTTTTGTTTTCCTTCCATTTTGTTAGACGGCACATACACCTGTATTAATTCATCTTTCAGTAAAATATAAGTAAACACTAATCAACAATTAAACCCCAATATCACTATACATTTTTTTATACTGTTCTCTGTTACAGTTTTTAAGGTGCTGACGGGGAGAATTTGTTTAACAATCAAGAGCTTCTTTAGTTGGTGATCATTTCCTTTATTCTCATGACCTTAATGTGTGATTCAGGGGTGATATTGTAAGGAGAAACTAGATGCTGGTCAATTAGTTACTCCACCATACTTCTCTTATACAAATATAGCAAAATGAGTGCATAAGTTGAAATATTGTTTCTCAGATGAAAGTACGAGAGCCTCCAATACCTGAGGGAGACAGTGATATGTCTGTGCTCACAGACAGGAGCAGTTCATTTACCACTGCTGTAGGGAACCCCAGGGACACCAGTATGTCAAGTCCCGCTGACAGCACCAAGTCACCCAGCATGTGCTTGTCTCCTGGTGTGAGCTCAAATCATGCAAGCTCCCCGGTCACAACTCACTCATTCGTTGCATGGAATCAAGGTTACCATCAAGGCTTCGATACCATGGCAAAGCAAATCCCACAGGAAGGGCGGATACCAATCGTAAGGCAAGGGGCTGAATCAGTGGCAAGGCCTGTCATCATGGCGACAAAACCGGTACCAGTCTCCAGGGAGACAGAAGCAGATCATTCATTAGGTGACGAGGAAGGGCTGGTGCCAGTCATAGTGTCACTTGGAGATAATCCACCCTCTCATAGAGACAAAAAATGTGTGTCAACGGAAGTGCCTCTAAAAGATATCATAAACGGTGCTCCGTGCGCTATGGAAGGTATACAAAATTGCACTTTCTTAACCCCTTTACTCTACACATCTCAATATTAATGCTCTGCACTGCTGGTTAGGAGAACTGCCTAGGCGTGGTCATCTTTGTTTTTTGTTCTTGTGCAAGAGACTTTACCCTCAAAATCTTTACCCTTACCTGTCTGGGAGACCCAAGGGGGAGGGTACCTTCACTGGAAAAGTCCTCCTTTCAAGGGGAGTGACAACACTCAATTAATCCAACGGAGAGATGGGTCATTATTGTCGTGTTCAGACTTAACTCGCTTGATTTGTTGTCCACAGGTCTGGAAAACATATCATATTCTCGCGGCTGTTGGCTTGGAGACAGGAGCAACCCTCAGTCTCGTGTGTGGTACTGTGGCAATCCCAAAATTCTAGGGCGCGCCGAGGCTTCAGGATCAAATCCCGCCAAACTGTCTCTCAATTTGCTGGAGGCGTTTTTTGTTCGGGACGAGATGGCTGCGTCAAATATCAACGGAGCACGTGGCAGAGAGTTGCTAGATCCAATAAAAATAAAGGGAATTCAAGGTTAGTTGTGAACTCTGGGGGTGGGGGAAGGGGGCTGAGCGAAGCTATGTCTTGATTTGTGTATCGGAAAAATTAGGCAAAGTTCGTCATTTCTTATTTCTTTCAGTCTTCCCCATTCCCAGCCACACTTGTTTTCTCTTGGTTTTTTGACAGCTTTTTTGCGTTCCTTCATCACACCGAACTAAGAAAGATTGAAAGCTTTCTGTTCCTCACTCTCATTTAAGTTGAATTAACTTTTCGCGTCTCCAAAAATGTTTTGGAAAATGTGACGTGACGCATTTACGTTAGTCAGGTTGATTGCCAGCACAGGAGATGCTTCACTATTTTTGTCCTTCTTTGATTAACATTGTCAATCTTTTTTTGGTGTTTTCATCTTTCTTTAAAAAAAATTATTTGTTTATTTCTCTCTAGCTCACGTAAACTACAAGTTTCCAATTAGCGCCGAGAAAGAAGAGCTGCGATGGCAGTTTCTGAAGCCAAGGATTGATAGCAAATGCCGTGCACAGCGCCGTTTACAGCGAGAAGAACAATTGAAACGTATGAATATGCCCCGTGTGGTTACCGCCGAGCGGACTGCCCGTTCCCGTGTACCCCGGCTTGATCCCAAGGAAAAAGACCAGTTGCTGTACGGCTACAACAGAAACATACCGAATCTCGGGCTCGGTACACCTCGGGCGCAAGTTGCCGCTTTGGATGATCAAGGGACTGGAGTGGATGTTGGTGATAGCCAATTGAGTGGTGAGAATGGTTTCAGCCAGTTACAAGCCAATGAAGCAATCGTGGAAATTTCTGGAATCCCTGTGACAGTTAATGAATTGAACCGATAAATGGAGTACAGCCTCAGCTGAAATTTCTGGCTTTCTCACATCTGTAGTGAAGCAATCGGACAAAAGGGGGGGTTTTGTTTTAGAAGAGCCCGCGAAATTTACATCTTGAAGGAACCGGTTACTAAGCCTTTGGCGGTAAAATTTGATCAAGTTAGTAGAATTTTTGTTACAAATCCCTCTCGTTTTTAGAAGGAAAATGGAGTTTGCAACAAGAAAAGGAATATTAAAAGAGATAATCTTTACCAAGCTAAGGGATTGTTATGTATCGTAACAAAATTAGCAAAACTCAACCACGTGATTTTTCTATTCGTAGCCGTAAATTTAACAAAGAGATCGCCACATGTATATTTTTAATAGAGATACGTGTAACACTAATTTTTTTTTTCACATTTGCCCAACGATTAAAGTAACCTGCAAAACAGGTGTAAATTTTCTGTGCGTTTTTTAAGCGGAGGCAAGTGCGAGTCACGTGCGAGGGGATGAGCCCAAAAAAGATAATATGATCTAAGTACCCAGCCCCCTCTCTTCCATGTTATCTCAAGACCAACAAAATGGCGGAAGTGGTTGTCTGACGTCACCATCAGGGATTCCTTAGACACGATAAGAAAATTAATGAGCTTTATAAACTCCTCATTAACAAACCTAACTTCCATTACTATACTTTAGAAACAAGCAAAGTCATTGGAAGGTGGACATTCAGTTGTACAACACATTAAAAGGAAAGCTGATTTTCGAAAGCACATAATTGTTGGTGCGTTTTTAAAATAGTTTTCCTTCCGGCACGTGTTAGAGGCCTTAAGGAAGTGATTCATGAAAGCAATGTTACGTTTCTCAATAGAGCACGTTTAGAGAGGTAAGAAAACGGAAAAAAAAAAAACGTTCATTTATTCTAACATTCCTAAGTCGCTTTTCGTTTGGAATGCTTAGCAACCGATTGCTTTGCTAAGGAACGGTGGAACTTCAATGTCATTAGTACTCAAATGTTTACTCCCTTTTTGGCGTAGAGAACAAAGTTAACAAAGAAATCTGTCACCGAAAGTATCATATAAGTCGGAAATAGACTGTTGAACAACGAAGCGATTTTGATTTATATAAATTGGACTTTCCGAACATCATCAGAGTTAAAGAGACCATCGTTACGACTTTCTGTTCACACGTGTGTTGTCTTTCTGATTTCCTTTTCAAAAAAGGAAAAGGCTGTTTGTTTTTCTGTCCTTCTTAGATGGATTTTGATACCGTTGTGTATCAAAACAGTCACTATTTTTCAAACAGGTGGTATTTTCTAAAAAACAACCTGTCATTACATCTCCTATTTTTGCCACACGCCAGGCATTCGACTGATTATAAAATTAACGGAAAAATTCCATTTGCGTCGAGACTCGAAATGTAACCCAGCGCAAGATCGTTAAACTCCCAAACCAATATAAATCGCCCCGATCGACGAACTTCACAAGAGGTTTTGACTGTAATTCCCACAGGCCATTTCACAGTTCACTGAGTTTTTAGTCAAAGTGACAAGAAATGTAACGATTGATGCGTTCAAATCCCTCGAGGAATAAATTTGTTGTAAAGTAAAGCTCGGACAAACAGAATGAGTCTCATGAAGGCTGATTTTCCCACGCTTTTCTGTTTACGGTCTCCGTGAACTGAGCTTATGGCCCACGTGTTCAGAGCTCCCCCGCTGGCAATAATACAAACCTGCTTTGCCCTCACTCTACCCGTTACCAACGAGAATGACTCAAAAATCAGGCTGGTGTTATGTTCTCTGTTTCAAGGTGCTTGGACTGCATTGCTATACACCGTCGCGTTTCCTGTTTTGTTCCATGTAACTCTAAACATTCCCTAATCCCATCCATTAGAGTGCATACGCATTCGAACAATCCGCATAGCTCCAGTATCTCGCCAGATGTTTTACCCACGAATATGGAAAGTTTCACGGCGTCCGTAGATAAAAACAGATGAAACGCGTATCGTTATTTTCGCGATAGCCGATTTACGCGCGTTATTTCATTTTTACGCCGCCCAGTTTACTTCAAAATAGCTTTGCAGCGAAGAAACTTTTTTACTATCAACCCCACAAATGATAGATTAAAAAAAAACCGCTCCTCGGTTACGTGTTAATATTCCCACGATCCTTAGGCACTGTGCATATTCGGTCTTACAGCAGAAAACAATGTCCTTACGGCGCCTCTGTTGTTGTTGATGGTGAAGCGAACAATAGAGAAGGCAATTTCTGCTGCACACCTGTGTTGATAAAGGATGTTTGAGTAACGCTTGAGTAAAGCCATTATTTTGAAGTGTAAGATAGCTAGCGAATTTGGCGCCTGGAATAGGATTGTTCATTTCGTTTGTTATTCAGAAATCGGAAGCGCAAACGTTTTATCAACTTTCGACTTTCCATAACGATGCTTCTGGGAGAAGTAAGTGAACAGTTTCTGACGGAAACATGTGTCGCGCGCACAGATATTTGCGCGACAGAACAAGTTTTACACGGTGGTAGCAAGCTCCGCATAATTCTTTTCTGTGATGTCACCGGTGAACTCATGCGTATTAATTATTGCGGAGGAGTGGCAGATGATTTGGAAGGATGCAAAGAGAACAATAGCCGTAATATGTTCACCGACAGGAAACAATCAACAAATCGTGATATTTAATCAGAGCGTTTACAGCGGTGCGTTCAAAACTTGTTGAAGCTCGACTCGCGAAGGACTTTGTTGGAGAGAGTACTTTTTTTTCTCTTTTACGCGAAGGAAACATCGAAAAGACATGGCTATCAAGATGCAAGACGGTGTGAAGTATATCAAAGAGATGAACGCCAAGGCTAATGATATGGACCACGAAGGATTTGAAAGTTTGGAGCACGTTGAACGGGCTTTCAGAGCACTACGCGAACTTTTACCGCAAAACGAGAAAGGCCAAGATCTCTCAGAACTTGAAGTCCTCAAACTCGCAATGGAGTATATTCATGATTTGGAGGAGATTTTACACTTCGAAAGCGGCAGCACCTTTCAGTGAGATACTCAAGACGAAGAGGGAGAGTTAAGCAACTCGTGACAAACATTTCTCAGTTTACACGGGTACAATATCTGCCTTGATAGATTCTTGAACATAATTTCTGGGCCCATTCCAGAGAAAGAAAAATTTTTAAGATGCTGTTAGCGAAGGTCACTCGATCGTATCTTAGAGAAAAGTTTCTAGGTTTAAAACTTGAAAGATTGAAATTTGAAACAACATCAGAGGAAAGAAAACAAGTTGAAAATTCTTGAAGACAACTCACGAATGCCAATTACTGCGCCTAATTACCATGACAGCGACGAGATGCGGAAAGGAAAGTTAAATTTAAACCCGCTGTTCATGCTAGCGCACCATGAGCGAACAAGGATTCCTTAAATAGAGACTTAAATTTGCATCCAGTTTTATGGACGAAAAATATTGTTTAAATAATTTCTTATATACTGTGTATATTTTTTGTAAAGCGTAGCGCAGATTGTGTAGCCCTCGAGCGCTTCCAGTGCGAGAAAATATCAGAACTGAAGCCAACTCTGAATTAAGAGATTAAATCTCTCGCTAATTTAGGAGTGCACACATGATGATTTGGATATGTCAAAAGAAATCAGGATTTCTTATTGAATTAAGCAGATAATGTATTTTTTAGTGTTAGAATTGTTAATTGCAGGTAGTATATCGAATAAATGATAACTTTATTTTTTATATACCAAGGTGTGCTTCCTTTCGCTCGTAAATTCGGCACGGTGCGGGGACTTGAACCAATTTGCCATCCGAATAAATGCACTTCAACTTGGGGTTTATCTTGTCCCGAGAATGAAAACAATTGGCGCCAATTCCATTCTTTCGGAGATCCTCGGAGTATAAAAATTCGGTCAAAAAATTTTGAAAGTAAAACAGATGGATTTTCTGTTTTCTGTACTTTCTGGAAAAAACGCGTGAAGACCTCGTAGCTGTAGGGGAAATATAATTCGATCTAAAGTATTTTGAATTAGCTCTCAGGAATTAAGCGGAGTGTTAAGGTTGGCTACATACTGGTGTCAGATATTCATCTGAAATGTTGTCAGATGTAGCGCAGCGTGGCTAACTGAAGCAGCTGGGAGAGTGAGACCTGAAGGCGGGAAATTACAACAGTGACACTGTCCGTTGTAAACAAGCTCGTCAGAATGCCATATGGTTGCAGTTATAGGCATATTTAGCATACATTAAGAATGTCACATTGAGAGTAGATTTCCGAAGAAACGTTTCGCAGCGATGGAAGTTAAATCATTACTATAAAGCTCTTCTTCTTGCCCCTAAATCAACTATCTTCACCATTTGCTAATAAGAGTAGGTCGTTTTGAATCTGTTTGCGTTTAGACCTAATGAAATTATAATGTCTCTTGTCAAAAAAGGTAACGATCTTTGTCATGATGACGTCACCATGACTTCATTTAATATTCTAGTCACGAAACTTCGTAAAAACCATCTGTGGCCGAAAGAATCTAGAATTGTCTTCTACCAATCCTTTCCGGTGTCATCTTGCTGGGTGAGTATCATTTGCGGTTTCTTCTTTCACAAATTGTTTGGCCGCCAGCGAAATTCCAAAGCAATTACGGAACATGCTTGGTGCTAGTAAATATTCTACCTGACTGTAGCACACTTCACCTCTCAGAAGACCAGGTGTTCTGCGTGTTTTCCGGTGCAAAAAACCTGTTGTTCCTTCTGTTACCAAAAACGCATTATCTCTTTCTTCGATGAATAGAAATGCTTGAATTAATTGTGTGGTGAGCACGAGCCCGCTAGTTCTAACAATGTATGCTCTGTTACAAATGCCTTAATAAAACAGGTACTTGGGCCAGTATGTGTCGGTTTTGATTTATTTTCTTCCACGCCAGCTCACCGAGTTTTCTGGATTCTCTGTAGTGCATACCGTCGATATAATAAAGGACTCGTAAGCTTTAAATATGCGAAAAGATAAGCCTTTCTCAATAGTAAATAAAAGATAGTCTTCGCAAATATCAATGCTGACATCATAGTGAAACTAAACGATTACTCAATGGAGGTTGAGTGTTCGAGTGTGTGTGAGTGTGTGGTTTTTTTTTAATTTGATTAACTGACCGTAAGGCTGCGTAACTATCATGACAATTAACATCAGAGATGAGCTGCGCTATGCTGATTCTCAGTGGCTTAAAATAGGTTATCATGTGAAGAGTACTCGAATGTAGTTTAATTCTGCTACCTGAAATCTTTTAAATTTTGAACGTGATATGTAATTGTTTATATAGAGCCGTGGAGCCTGAAATTTAGCGTGAAAAATACCATAAAGGAATTGATATTACTATGCTTGGTTCAAACGCTAATCTGTCTGTTTTAATTATTCCGGTTCTCAAAGAGGGTAGGGTCGTACATTGAATTAGACCCGTCATTTTGAAGTTGTTAACAGTAAGTGAAAGCAATAAATCACCATTAATCTTGTAATGAAATATGAATGTCATTTTTCTTAAGTGACTTTTCAAGTTAATGAACATGGCTAAAAAAAGGAGTATCTACAACGCACCTTTTAGACTGAATAAAAGAAACGTGCTCCATTTTACTTATCACGCGCCGAGAACAAGTTTGGAGAGAAAACGGTTACATGGTTTTTGAAACAAAGTTTACACTTTTAAAACGAACAGGTTATTTTTTAAACAAAATAGCTTTGTTCTTCAACAGCTTTAGTTTCCGGCAATGATTTGTGTACTTTCGTGTGTGTATTTCTCTCTGAAAAGATAGAGTCAGTTTTTTGGGGGTCTAAAACGTCGCTGTAAAGCTGTCGGTAATGGTCACACGAAGGGGCAAGGTAATGATTTTGCTTTGGCAAGGAAAGACATCAATATTCTTGTTTGCATACTGTGTACATTCTTTCACTTGATTACAAAGAAATCGCACACAACAAATCTTCTACAACCTTCACCCGCGTGGCGCTATTTCGGGTGGCCCTATTGTTTGGATTACTAAGAAGAATTCCATCGCTTCCTGTTGTTATCGCCCAGGCAACACGAGTATTTTCTTTGTTCAACATGTTATCGGCACGCTGGGTTAATGTGGGATATTTTCAGAGTCTGCCCTTGAAATCCATAGTAGGCGACAGTAATATCTTGATGTGCACGTGGATATCTGGTCTAATAAAATCTATCCCCTCCCATGGTGCGCGCTGAAATTCTCTGTCTGGTTGTAGTAACTTTACTCAGGAACTTAATTGGTTTGTGTACGACTCCATCGCTCGATTCAATGATTACCTATTTCCTATTTTCATAAAATCGAAGTGATGTGGTTTTTACTCTTCATCGTCCATTTCATTTCAACCTTTATTCCATAATGTCAATTGTTTTATAAAATTGCCCTGCTTAAAAAATGACAAGCAGCCTCGCATGCAATTTCTGATGTCAGTAAGTTCAGTTGTCTTTTTTGTTTCAATGTTTGATTTTAAACATGTTAATATTCTTCAGCACTGGACCCTGCAGCAAATCACAAAGAACTTAAAAACAATGAAAGACTCAGGTTTCTTCGCTAATCACAGAGGGACGATTCTGCGTTTTTCATTTGAAGTTTTTCACTGATACTTCTAACTATCGTTTATTTGCGCTTTAACCACAAGCAATGAAACTGATGTGAATATTCAACAAGTTGCTCACGGAACTTGTCAGTAAGGAGGACTCTAGGGACGAAAATGAGGTCTCAGAGTAGAACTTTTGAAATATTTAGACATCAATTATTTGGTTTTCCAGCCAGACTTTGCAACTGGTCAAAACAAACTTCATTGAACGTGCAGCAACCTCTTAACTTCAGATATCTTTTTCATGGTTTATCTGACTCCTCCAGCCAATCCAATTGCCAGAAAACCATTCCTACCCCAGTGGGGGAAGACGGAAGGGAAACAAATGCACGTGAACTGCATGTGTGCGATCTTTCCCCGCCTTTCCAAGAATTCACGAAAAAAAGACTTGGCCAAATGAAAGCTTTTCTCGACGAAACTTCACCAAAGTCTCTTACCCGTTCCTTCATACAAGAAATAGAAAAAAATTAGATAAAATAAAAGAAGTGAGGTAGTTGAACTCTTAGGATCTTTTGTTTGCGATAAATTTTTCATTGCAGGAGGTCTCACAACTCAGTTTCTACTCGTTGCCAGTCTCTCCCTTGAATGTCACGCAGCGCGTCGCGTGACACCCCAAAGAAAACTTGCTTCATGACTAACCTGTTACCGGAAATTGTTTTTAAAAATCCACAAAGTGAGACAGGCTCAGCGGCAAAGGGCACTTTTCATAGGTTTTTATAGTCCCTCTTCTGTTCATTTCAACTAAAAGTTGGAAGATAAAGATTTTAGTGAAAAAACCTCTTACAGTCACGTGGAGACTACTCCAGAAGGCTATGGGTACTAGAAGGACTAATTTAATTATAAAACGCCTGGGGGATTTTTGCGGTTCTGATACATTCTTTAGACTAAGCGGCTAATTCTGCTCTATTTTTGAGGATATTCGAGGATTTTACCATGCCAGAAGGACCAGAACTTTACAAAAACAGCCAATTCGTGAACAAAGTCTGCAAAGGACTCGTTTTCAGTGGCAAGATCGTGAAGTCAGCTGTTAGCACTAAAAACCCCGATGTCTCCTTTCCCGCCATGTGTGATTATTGCATAACTTCAGAGTCTAGAGGTAAAGAAACTGCGCTGATTTTGACGTCATTAGGCTCTGATGGCAATGGAAAACAAATCAAACAAGAGAACGATTGCGAAAAGCAAAGACTCAGGATTCTTTTTCGATTTGGAATGTCTGGAAAGTTTACGTTTGGTGCAGTAAAGGACATGCATAAACATGCGCACTTGAACTTCTTTACTAAGGAGAAACCAGTCATGGTGTTGAGTTTTGTAGATGTTAGAAGGTATGTTGGTTTAGTTTAGTTAGGTTAACTGTTGGTTTTTTTCTCTGGGATGCAATGGGTCGTAGAGATACTACCTCAGCTGCCAAGGAAAGTAAATTTAGCACCTCTTCATTTGACCCCCAAAATGGAGCTGGCTCAGCTATAAGCTCCGCAGAGTACGATGCAACGCGACAAGTTCCTCTGCGTGCTGAAATATGTTAAGTTGCATGCATCCCTCGCAATACAACTAGGAGTCCTGAACTGTTGCAGTACTGTGTCTAATTTTTTTCAGCTGCTGTGTTTAATTCTATAATTATGGCAAAAGCAATAAGAGCTTGAAAATGAGGGTTTGTGTGCACACCTATTGTATGCAGTACTCTGCAGTTTGGCTTGCTATCAATAAAATAAACCTGCCTTCAATTCATCAGAGAAATTTCAGCCTTGTTAGAGAGGTGAGATGTCAGCAGATTTCTTCCCTTTTGATATCACGAACTATCCTTTGGGTGGGGCTGAAAAGTAGCATCTCCTTGGGGTTACTAAGCAAGTAAAAGTTTTTACTTTTTAAGTAAAGTTACTTCATAATAGACCTGGCTCATGGTGGAGTCTCTGTGGCTCAGTGGTAGAGCATCAGAGTGTGGAATCCAAAGGTCTAAGGTTTGATTTCTCATGGGGACTCAGAATTTTTTCCTTATCCCATGCTTGTGACAAGCCAAAAAAATGTCTTTCTCAATTTTCTTATTGTTTAGATTTGGTCGATGGGAAGTGACAGATGAATGGTCAAACAACAGAGGACCTGATCCAATGTTTGAATACCAAGAGTTTAGATCAAACATTCTTGATAATCTACAAGAAACAGTATTCAACAAACCACTATGTGAAGTCATGCACAATCAGAAGTACTTTAACGGAATTGGGAACTATCTTAGAGCTGAGATCATTTTTAGGTAAGAACCTATTATTTCAAAGAGTCACTGTGTTCCTATGAAACATTGTTAGCCCACTGGACTTGAGATTGGAATGTGAAATTTCCTAACCCTTTACACCCTAACATCAGTATGCATGTTCTCTGTACTGTTCTCTATACATTTCCTAAGGTGCTGACAAGGAGAATTTGTGTAACAATCAAGAGCTTCTTTATTTGGTGGTCATTTCCTTTATTCTCGTGACCTTAATGAGTGATTCAGGGTTGATACAGCAAGGAGAAATTAGATGCTTATCACTCTTAGGATGTAAAGGGTTGAGACTTCCTTATCATAGCTATGAAGATTTTATGTGTCTACTAATTTTGATTGGAATTGTAGGTCTCTCTGAAGAATGTGGGATAAGTTATGTTAGTTACATGTACATAAATCTTTATTAGAGAATTTACCAAACCTTTTTCCCACAGGAAGTTATAGAAATCTAACAGCTATTACAAAATGTGGCTGAAAATAATACAATTGAACTCATTAAATGCATGATCCTTTGTATACTAATTTATACTCCACTGTTGGCCTCTTATGTATGTTGCAAACTCGGACCTCTTTTACTTGCTAAAGAAAATGTCCATTTTTTCATTTTCCTTAATTGAGGATAGCAAAGGGTTGGTGGGAGAGGCGTGATATGTGATGTGTTAATTTTACAGAAAGGCAAGACAGGTGTGATTTGTGAATTTATAAACCACATGAGGTGTGATTTGCCTCCTGAAGTGTACAAATGTTTTTCTTTCAGTTCTTGAAAACCACAAGATTTCCCTTAAACCTCATACACAAGAAGAGATATTTAAAGTTTTCCCTTTTAAATTTCAGGGCTGCTGTTCCTCCATTTAGCTCTGCAAGATCAGTGCTGGAAAAGCTCAAGGTAAATGAGGAGGAAAGCATGTCCAAGGTAATTTTAATGCCTGAGAAGTACATTATTTGGGAAATATAAGATTAACCCTTTAACTCCCAAGATCTTATTAGTAATTCTCCTTAATGTCTGCTATATAGTTCTTATGATGTTAGTTCAGAGAATTTAGTGTTGGATCCACTAATAATCCCTTAATTAATATTTTTCTTTATTCTCATTGCTTGTCTGCTTGATATTGTATTGATAGTGTAAGAAGAAATTCTGTCTTGGTCACTCATGGAAGTTAAAGGGTTAATGTGCTTTCAGGGAAGGCTTGCAAAACAGGCTGGGAATGAGTATCAAGACAAATATTAACATGGAGATATTGTTTGATTTAATAACAAATTCTGAGAAAAACCAGAAGAGAAGTCTAGTGCATGCGTCAATTAACCCTTTAACTCCCAAGATCTCATTAGTAATTCTCCCTACTGTCTGCCATACAAATCTTATGATGTTAGTTCAGAGCATTAGGTATAGGATCAAGTAATAATTCCCAAATTGATATTTTTCTTTGTCCTCATCGCTAGTCTACTTGATATTGTATTGATACTGTAAGGAGAAATTCTGTCTTGGTCACTCATGGGAGTTAAAGGGTTAAGTGAATTGATATTGTGATCATGGGGAAAAGGAATATAAAAATAAATTTATAATTTATATAGTGCTTAATTGCAAGCTTTAAGAAACAAATGTTTCAAATAAATGAAATGCTGGAAAATCCCAACTGGCAGGAGGCTGACCAGTTGGCTATTTACACAGTACAGCTGAAGAGTTAAACTTGGGGGGACTGAGAACAAATCCAGTGAGTAGCAGGGTGGAGGACTTGAATCCAGGACCACCACATTTCAATTGCAGTACCCTAACCACTCGGGCATGTCGACTCCAAAGTTTCAACCTTGCTAACACTGTCACTACATGTAAAAGAACTACCAGTAACTAAGTTCTCTCAAAGTGCAAAGGGGTATAAGTTTGTTAAGAAACAGTAGTGCTGCGTCGGTGGGAGAGTACGACAGGGTTATTTAGTATTACTGGCCACTGTAAAGAGTTTCAAAGCTGACCTTCTGAGAACTATAGCCCTTTGTCAGAGCAAAAGCTCTGTATCTCAAAGTGTCCTTGATTCTGATAAGGGAGTCAGACTAAAGGTATTTTCTGAGCTTTTAGATCGTAATGAATTTTGGTTGTCCTATTGCATTTTAGGTAGCTGCTTTTATAGTTCAATTGTGTTTTTAGTGAGTTTTGTATTTTTGCCATTTTAGGTATCAAAAGGAAAGAAATGTAAAGTTAAACATCCAGACTTTCTAGAGCTTTGTAATTTGGTGCCCAAAGAGGTGATTAATTTACGTAAGTCAGCAATCAATTTGGTTATTTCTATCCAGTTATTACTGTTTCATGATATCATTTTTGTACTTCACTGGGTTGATTTTGAAATCCCTGACTCTGGCTGGATCTCAAAAACACACGAGAATGGATTACTAAAACAAAGCAATCAATCAGATTTCAAGGCAGTATCACCCCTGAATTACACATTAAGGTTATGAGGTTCAAGGAAATGATCAAGAACTACAGAAGCTCTTGATTGCTGTACAAATTCTCCTTGTCAGCACCCAAGGATATGTATAAAGGACAGTTTGGAGAATGTGCACACTGATGTTGAGTTGTAAAGGGTTAAGGTTTAAGCTAATCAAGATCAGTGAAATTAGAATGCAAAAAAAAAAGACATTTAGAGATAGATCTTACTATTTGCGCTGTCAAATTTTTGCCTTCTGTTTTGTTCTGCTCCTTGTATCTAGATGGTAAAATTATGCCTCTATTTAGTTAAGTGCCAAATGAACTTTTTATCATTCAATTTTGGCAATTTTGGGAAGAAATCATGCTTCTGATTTAACATCCAGCCCACACCATGCACTCAATTAATTTTGAAATCATGTGCATGATTACAATCCACCCAGTCAATTGTAATTATTTACTAAGTCTTAACTTCGTTTAAAATTAAAATTTCCTTTCAGCATATGATCCCACAGGAAATTATTCAGATTATTCTGCATTCCTTGAGTGGCGTCAGTGCTACTACAAACCAGAGATGAGGAACATTGTGGACCATGATGGCAGGACCATTTGGTTTAAGGTATGCAGCTTGCATCATTTTAAAATACTGCATTTCTTAGAATAAGCTCCCTGGCCTTTTAGCCAAGAGGAGATGTGCCTATTGGAAAGGGTGTTTTATTGGGGGCAAGCTCAATGGTAGCAAGGTGACTGTAAACCAAACGGTTGAATCTTTAGGGAGGGTATAACCACCTAACACATATTGTATTCTGCTGAACATTAACTGATGAACAAGTTGACTTTAAATGCAGTGATTTAAGTGTATTTGTGTAAATAATAATTTTCTTGGGCATGTTTTAATTTAATTCAACAGGGTGAAGCTGGACCTTTGGTGCCTAAAGGCAAGTTATTTTAATTTAAAACTTTTGATTTAAATAGTTAGGAAGTATTAAAAGAGCATTTAACCCTTCAACTCCTAAGAGTGATTGACTTCTAATTTCTCCTTACATTTTCACCCTTGAATTGAATGTAAAGGTCATAAGAGTGAAGAAAATGATCACCAACTAGAGAGGCTCCTGATTGGTAAACAAATTCTCCTTCTCAGCAACCAAGGAAATGTATAGAGAACAGTATGGAGAATATGCATGCTGATGTTAGGGTGTAAGGGGTGAATGACAATGTATGACATTTTACAAGTATTGAAGTTCACGTTTATCACTGTTGCTATGTTGACAGAAGACATTTTTGAGTGCAGATGAACTTAGTAGCCATTTAAAAATTACAGAATGTTCACAATCCATGGGTTATGGTGTTTCCTTCGGTGTCAAGCTATACTTACACACTTCGTGAACAGGATTGCTGTTATACAATAAAAAAAAATTCAAACGGATTTCAATGTAATGATGTTTCAGTTATTTCAACACTTGTCAGGAGTAAAAATCTGCTGATAACGGAGCTCCAGCGTAAGCGGAGCCTCATACCCAAGAAAGTATATTAACCCATGAAAATCGGGAAAATTTGGCCCTTAACGTCACTGCCATACACCCATCCTCCCGTAATAGATGTTTCTCTGTATTTTTGTTAAAAGATGCAAAATCAAGAGGGATGCGCACATCTAAAAAGAGGAAAACAGAAAAAGTTAAAAAAGAAATAAATGGAGATGAGGAAACGAAAGCAGTGAGTGAGGTAATTTTGCATAGTATAGCACACGTTACCTCGTTAAAAATCGCTTTCGAGGTTGCATTTGAATGCACGCACGCTTCAGATATGAAAGTTGGAATCAGCTTGTACCTGGTAACACCTTGTAACAATGTGTCTTGTGCGCACTGTTCTGTGCTATCTGTTCCAAAGCTTTTTCGGTGTCTTTTTCGCACTGCTCTGTACTATCTATTCCAAAGGTTTTTCGGTAACCCGCTTTTTATTTGAACCCCACAGTTTACTGAGCCTTACAATATGGAAGTGGTGATCAGTAATTTTTATTTGAATAGTCGAACAGTGGTATAGGACCATAGGCAGGACCACATGAGAGTACTGCTCAGAAGCTTTATTAGAGTGGTTACACAGTACGGTTTTATCCACCTTGTGCAGCCTATTAAATAGTTTCCACATAAAAGTGCCACTCAGTAGCTTTCTTTTGAATGGTCACGCAGAAGGGTCTTCTCCGCTGACATAAAAGTTAGACCCGCCTTGTACAGGAAAATAACCAGTGCCACATTTAAGTACTGCTCAGTAGCTTCCACGTCAGGGGTCACTCCGACTGAAGTTACGAGAATCTACTTTGTATTTGAGAGCCAAAACCACAACTTACATTTTGGTTCAATAAAATTTTCCAGGACCATGCTCCACCAAAGAAGAAGAAAAAGAAGACTCCGTCAAAAGCAACAGTGAAGAAAGGTAAGAGCTCTCAAAGGAACCGTTACCGAAGCGCGCTGTGACCCTGGAAGAATGGACGCCTTTGTGGAGGGAATGGGAGGCAACGGAAATTTTCTCAAAAGCCTTTCATTTTCGGTGGCATATGTTAGACGAATTTTTTTCCTTGTGTGGAAACAAACTATTTGGGCACTCGCTGGAGAAGGGAATCCTCTTGCAGGGAGAGGGCGAGGGGGGAGGGGTTCTGTGAAGTTTATGTTTGACTCTTACGTTTCTCTTTTGCTACCTCTCGCCTGGCTGCTTGGAAGCCTTAAGTTCCCTACTATACTGTTACCCTCCCTCTTTATTTTATTAATCGTATCTGATTTCCATGCTTCGTCACAATCCAAACCCTTTCCTTCGCACTGCCGCATACCTATTAATCCTATCTGTAGGAGGGGTCCCTGGAGATGACAACCCGAAGGACAAACTGGGATTCAGTCTTTTTTTTTAATCAGAGGCTATATTTATTATTTTGTTTTTTGTTCTTCATATCCAGAACCGAAAAAGAAAACGGTTGTTGGGAAAGAGAGTAGAAAAAAGAGGTCGTCTGGAAAGGTAAGCATGAATGAATATTTTTGGATTACGTTTCCTCTCTGGCTGAGGGAGGCTGTACACAATCTAGTTTTCAAACTGCCTACTGAAACCTTTCCATTTTTACTATTTTCTTCTTGCAGCAGCAGAACGCACCAGTCCGAAGAAGCCTTCGTCTTAACAAAGATATTCGCAAGTAGCTTAATTATTCGGGACATGTCGCCAAGATGCATTGTGGTCAAATAATTAGTATTTACAAAAGGAGGGAAAATTTCATTAATTTCTAAACTGTGTTCAAATTTTCAGTAAATAAGAGCCAAAATGGATGACTCCCTCCCAACGAAAATTCGATTGACGAAAGAAAAACAGTTTTCTCTCGACTTGGTAACGTGATGTGAAAGGGAGAATTTGCCTAAGTAAATGTCACTAAACCTGAGCACAGTAAACAAAACATGTGTTTCGCCCATGCCCTGCTCTCGGCCTAAACCCGGGTCCAGTCTTCAGACAATTTCTACGTGACTTAAACGTCATTTTCATCCGCCTGACTTCATCTTCCAGTGAGCACAAAGTAAACACAGTAGGGAGTAATTTAACAATGACGTTAGGCATGGCGAAGAAATAACAAGCCTGTAAGTACAATGCCGTATGTTCATTTATATTTCAAATTTTTAGGGAATTTTATCACGTTTTCCAGTGCTTACAGATGAGTTTATTAGCTCAGGTAAAGTAACAGAGACGCGTAAATCTAATTTGACCGTTGCGTGAGAAATTTTAGGAAAGAGTAATGATTTGTCGGGAACGTCATTAACCAAGCCCTGTTCCCATGGTAACATTCTTTAAAGTTAATAACAAATAGTATTCACTACTGTAGTTTTTCTACGGATTAGAAAGGATGAGAAAATAACATATTCAAACTCTCATGACTTTTTTTGCCTTGTTTTTATCTGCCGAATGAAAATAAACTGAATTTTAACGGTGAACTACATTTGTGTTGTAGACGGTATCCCGTTTGCAATCTGGGTGAAATTTCCAAGATAGTGACGTCATAAGAAGCAAAATATTAAAAGGAAACCGATCCGTGATTTTTTTAGAACCAGTTGCAAATCAAGTCAAAGAAACGCGTCAGTTAAATGTGCGTAAGTACATTTGCGTGGCTAATTGAGGCCCATTTAGCCAGTTCCACATTTTGAAATCTTGGAACAAGGCGATTTTCACAAATTGTGGGAAACGCTTTGAATTGAGACTTAGTTGCGTAGCGTCTGGTTTCTGTAATGTTCGCTCTCCTTATCAGATATCAGTTTAGTTTGGTTTGGTATATTCGGCTCAGAACTCTCCTTACGAAGTAGTAGAGGTAATTTGCACTGCTTTTGACCGTGACAGTTAGTATAACGTAACTGAAAAAAAAACCTCAAGATTATCGAGTGCGCAGAAGGCTCTATAAACAATAAGGAGGTAGATGGTGAAATTTTAATATCAGTTTCGTAGAAGCCATGGAAAACGGGCGAGGAAGTCATAATGGCGACGCTCCGTTTCCAGTGTACCCACCAGAATTGATGAAACACCAACCAAGTGATAAACATGAAACAGTCGATGTTCGACTGAGCTGGCGCAGCTTCAGTACGTCGGCCGGGAGTCCTTCGCGATTGTTCGATTTCCTTCGACTTTCGGAAAGCAATGACTGTTTACAACTCCCTTCGCCTTTTTCACCAAGCCCTAGGAGATTCTTTGACAGCATTGAGACCGGTCAGAGCACGACAGTGGAAGTAAAGGACCACCGACATGAAACAGAGGTCAGTGTTAACACGCAGAATGGTAGAATAAATAGTGAATTGGTGTGCGACATAGAGCGCGAAATCGAAGCGAAAGAAGTAATGGCTGTGAATTTATGCCAAGAAGACGAAGAGAGCACAGAGTGTCACACCATTTGTATAAATTTACCTTTAGACTTAGAAGGTCCATCAAGCGTTCAACAATCGATTGACAAGGCTAAAACTGAAAACCAAGGTACCACAAGAAACGGCATAACGACTAGGAAGGACTCCACCTCAAAGATTGAGGAGCTGAGGGATCCGGAGACCTCAGCTTTGTTCCGATCTCCGAGACTGTCCCATCCTTTTCCGATTCCAAATACGAGTCGTTTGGCTTTACGAAGAAAAGTCAAACGCGAAGCATCGCAACCGCTTCCGTCTTCAATCGTAAATGAAACTAGGAGAAATACGAAGGAATCTCTGACCCCAAGGAATCGATCACTATTGCGACCCACCATGAGCCATTTTAGTGCGACAAAATCAAAGAGAGTGTCATCCGTGGCGAATGCGTGTGAGAATGGCAGATTATCATGCGCTAACAGAAGTCCCAAAACACCTGCAATGAATGGCTGGCACTGTCCTTATACCAACAACACGCGAATTCGTCGATCGGCCGTTCGATGGAATCGTACAACTTCTGACATGCTGAAGATGGGACAAAAGCAGCGAGCATCGTGCTTGCAAAGGGACAAATTGGCGAACAGTGCTTGGGAAAATGACGAAATTTTCCTAGAAAGAAACAGAAAGAAAGCTGTCCCCACCTGGCCGAGAATTTCTCAGCCAAATAGCTTAACCTGTCCCGTGTCTTCTCAATTAACCAGGAAATTTCATGACATATCCAACGGGTTTGCGTCATGCAAAGCGAGTCAGTTCCACCCCTCTGTAAACTCAGGAGTATGCTTCAAAAAGCAGAACTCTTTCGTTATTCCCGAGAAATTGCGAGGTTCTCCGATTTCAACGGTGGAGAAAACTCAGAAATCATCGTGGATGTTAAATTCACAAGGAATGAGCGATACTCTTAGGGGCCATAAACCGAGAAATTCCAACTTCAAATCGACAGACGACCGAAGAGAGGCAACGGAATCGTTGCAATGCACGCAAATTTCTACTGCATCACTGCCAAAAATCTGCCGGCCTCGACAGCAAAGACTGTTACGTCGCACAGCGATCTCGTCGGCAGAAACATCTTCCATGACGTCACATGCCCTACGACCCACTTCCAAGTCCCAAGCAGCCAAAGAGAGTCCTTCGTCATCATTGCAGATGTCGCGCAAGAACATCCCTGGGATGGTTCCCAATGCCACACCTTTCCATCTGAGGAATCCTTCAACGGGTTACCTCGCTATTCGTCGCCAACTAAAACGCCAAAATTCCAGTTCTTTGTCAACTTCAACGCGTAAGGAGATATGAACCCAACCGGAAGTTGAATCCAGAGTCTGCGGGTAGTCTGGAGTTAGACTTCAAGCTTGTTCCCAGGATCTCTCTTTTTCCTTTATGAATGAGGTTCTCTCATTTCGTACCAAGTTCTATTTGTGTGTTGGAAGTGCGCCGATCGCTCGAGTCCCGGAAGAAGACCCAGGAAAACTTCCTGTTTGAGCAGCTCGAACGAAAAGCAATTGCAAGTGACCTTAGCATCCAAGAGGGTAATAATTAAAACTGGGGTTTGTTACAGAGAGCAATTTTCAGTCGAGCGTCAATAGTATTCCACATTGTATTGCGTGTGCTTTGAATTCAGACTGTGATTGGTTCAGAAAACCCTTGCCAACCTATAAACCAATCAGAGCCAAAACCAAGATAAATTAACGCGTACCATTTGCGCTTTCCTGCAATCGAAAACAGTTAAGTGGCTACCGAGCTCTCATTGGCTTTTGATAGTTTCCAACTCTTGCTTTAATTGGCAGCCCAGAGTTAGGGAGAAACACCAAGAAAACTTGGTGAAAAACATCTCGGCACGAAAGTTGTTTACTGCTAAGGCCGTCATAAACTCGAAACCAACACGAACTCACCCGAGTTTTTAAGAGGATACAAATTAAACATGTGGAAATTCACTTCTACAAGTTCGTGTTCAGACTATTTTATTACAAGTAAAAGCTTAACGTAACACCAATACAAATAAGAGCACAATCATCACCAATCTTACACAAATGTTCTAGTTATTAAAAGTAACCTTGAGGAATGTCATGTTGGTCTTTGAAAAGATCGAACTAAACTTCACTTAATCAAATAATGAATTAAATTCATATTAGTCTCATTAGCTCCAGCAGGTTACTTACAACAAGATTGTTCGTCGTATAAATTAGCAAAGAAAATCTTTAAAGAAAGCAAACCTTGCTGGGTATAGTCTTGATGTTCATAAAGTGCTTATGTTTAGTCATCTGGATTTTAAAAAATCGTGTTTGAAAAAAGCATTTTGCTAACAAATCTTCGAGGTAAAACCCTTGCGAGTAAGTTTTTGACCGAGAAAATTTGCCAAACTGTGTAAAATTTTTTTCATCTACTTCGCCAAGGAAAATTGCCTGAGACAACTTGACACTGTAAATGCTTCTTTAAACCATGTAACTCCTAAGATCTCATTTGGAATTCTCCTTACTGTCTACCATATAATTCTTACGATGTCAATTTGGAGAATTTGGTATTGGATCAACTAATAATCCCCAAACTGATACTTTTCTTTATTCTCATCACTTCTATGCTTCATAATGTATTGCTATTGTAAGGAGAAATTCTCTCTGGGTCACTCATAGTTATCTCCTTGTGATGATGCTGAAGGTGAATAACATTCGCTCGGGTGAAATATATTATAATTAGAGCTTAATAGTAATGTGAACAATTCAAGGCACGGCACCCACAAAGTACGATGCAATTTTACGTTGTTAAGTCAGTGTTAAGGCCGGAGAGGATATTTACTACAATTTACAATATGCTTATTAGGTCTTCATCTTTCCGAAGCGACAGAGCATATTGGAACGTGAGAGAGGGAGTGGGAGTCTCAAACCATGCACATACCCCTGGGGTTGGGATTCTCGAACCAAACACTTACGCCTAATCAACTTTCCCAGAATGTCCTACTGAGCGTGCTGTACCGATTCACGACGAAACATAGAGCCATTTTTTTAGTAAAGACGTAAGATGTATCAATAAACCAAGGAAGATCGCGAGAGTGATCATTTTTCCGAACCAGCGCGTTCAACAGTTTCCCCACCTACCGTGAGGCGAGTCTGGGCCGCAAAATTTTGTTTGAGTTCCTACTTTCCCCACACACCCTGCCCCGCCACCTTTACATTGGTAAAGTACCCAATTGCCGTAAAATTTAAAATAAACCTAACCGAACAACGACGATACAGGGTTACAGAGTACACGTGTTAAAATTACAAATACCTTTCTAGAAAAAATTTGAACTAAAATTTTTGCCCAGCACAAACCGAGACATGTGTCAGGAAAAATTACCACGGACAAGCCATTTTTTTTCAGAGTGAGACGGGTTAACACATCACCTGATCATTTTAAAACTATTTCTCGAAGCCTAAGCCTGAAAAACATTTGCGGCAACTGTCTGAGTAGTTCTGCGGTGTAAAAAGACATTACGTGATGCAAGACCTACTATTACGTCTGCATCTCCCTTCAACGGAAAAAATCATCGTTTACACATCTGGGTACATGGTCTAACATCAATAAAGAACCCTTTTCGAGCAAGATTTGTTCTTTTCCTTCTTTTAGAACATCTGGACTCATAACTTGATCTAATTTTTCCTTCTCCATCCACGCACGGCTTGGAGCTGTACTTTCATTTAATTGCGCAGTAAGGGTGTTGTTGACGACAATTCAGGTTCTTTCCTAAGGAAAACAAAAGAGAAATTATGAAGGAGTTAAGGCAGACAAGTCGAACAAAACCACTTTTAACATTTCTAAAAAAAGACCCGTTTGAGGACCAGCTTGGTAGAGGATTATAGCTTGTTTGAAACTCGCTTCCTACCAACGTTCACCTCGCGTTCCACACGCGTTCACCTTACAATCAATCCTCGTTCACTTCGTGTTCAACTCTCGTTATCTAGCGATTAACTCTCGTTCATCTCGTGTTCAACTCTCGTTATCTCGCGATTAACTCTCGTTCATCTCGCGTTTAACTCTCGTTCTTCTCGCGTTCACCTCGAGTTGAAGCTACCTACTTGCGGGGGTTTGATGGGTATGGCAGCATTTGGGCGGCGTCTTGTCTGCTGTTGTTGCGGTTCTCCCTGGGATGGCTGTTGTTGCTGTTGTTGCTGCGAGTGCTGTTGTTGTTGTTGTACCATGGCAGCTTGTGGAGGATAAAATGTTCCTCCTCCTGCCATCTGGAGCCCGTACATCTACAGAGGTAATTAGGTAAAAAAGTTAAGCCTGCACACAAAATTGACTTGCATGGCTGCTGACGGTTCCTGGGGTGTACGCGACTCGATGCACTGGTACTCTTTTTTCCAGGAAAGGAATTTAGTCCTTACCGTTTTACCCTTCCTCCCCATCCACCTCCCCCCCCCCCTCCAGAAGAGAAGTTAAGTACCAAGTTGAAGGTGAACGGCTACAACTGAACTTCTCATCATCAGCTTTAAGCCGATTTTACTCTTACGTGAAAGTATTTACTTCAGTTCTGAACAAGAGATCCTTTGGCTATTTTTCAACAAAGTTGTTACGATTATGGGAAAATAAAGTAGAATCAGAGTTGATTTGTACTGTTTGCCATTGCCTTGCCTCTCCTGATTGGAATGAGGTGCTCTGAGAGCAAAATATCTTGTGCAAGACAAAAGCAAAAAGAAAACTGACCCAGGCAGAATTTGAGCCCAGACAATCGCACTTTTGATAAAGTAACCCCGTCCTTCAGGGGTGCATCCTAATGAGAAATTAGTTCACGATTTACCAACTCACCTGTTGTCCTATAAATGGAGGCATTCCCATCATTGGATATCTGCAAACACAATCAACAAACAACCACAGCTGTAGGATTCACAGTTTAGGATCAATATTACGTCGCTTCGATAGGAGTGAACAAACTTTAGACCCTAACTGCTTGTCTGAATGAATGCAAGGTTAGGATGCACCATGGATAGATCCAGATCCCTCTCGGGTTATTTTCATTACAAGGTATACGCCAACAAATTAGGCGTTTAAAAGGAGTTCCGAGTACTAATCGGAAATTCCTACCAATTTTTTAACTCATCTATTTCAAACGACTCTGAAATTGTAAGGGGAGTGAACGAGTCAGCTACGGTTCAAACGCGAAAAATTCCATTAACGGCTCAAGCCTCTAAATATGACCAATTTCATGCAAAATTACCAAAAGAACTTACTGTGAATTGGTATAAATCTGGCCTGGGAAAGACTGGACACCAGGGAAATTTGGGTGCGGGACAAATCCTGCTGTTGAATGGGGGCTCATTCCTGCGGCTACCATATTTGGTTGAGGTACCGGAGCCATCGGACCTTGCATTCCTAAAAGACAAATCACCCAGTACTTAGACCCTTGGATTCTGCCCTCTGATCCTCTACCATTAGCTGATTCATGTCTGACCCGAGTCCTGCGTATTGCTCGGATCAGCCTAGTTTACCATAGAGTTCTCGTGGCTCAGCAGTAGTACACTGGAGAGCTGGATCCTAAGCTCTGAGGTTCGATTCCTCAAGGACACTCAAATTTATTCTTTTTATCTGTTTCAAGCTCGTGACAAGAGCATACACGTCTCTCTGTTCGTTGTTCGGGGAAGGGATTAATTCTTCATTCATTTGTTCGTTTTTGATACACGTAGAATAAACACAACCTTCACCTTGCGGAGCCTGTAACTGTAAATGAGTAGCCAAAGCCTGTTGTTGTTGGGGGCTCATTCCGGGCTGAGGAACTCTTTGGGGTGATACTCCCTCTGAGCCCATTCCTTGCTGAACAGGCAAAGCCCCTTGTTGAAGGGCAGCAAGCTGTTGTATCATGCTCTCATGCTGGAGAGCCCCCATTGGTTGAGGACCTGGCCCAGCCATTGGTATCCCAGCAGGCATTTCAGGCTGTTCTGCTGAGAAATTTTATAGAGTGATAAATCAGATTGGTTTTAACTGCCTTTTTCTTTATTTCTCAAGGCTATCGAGGCAAAACGGTAAAAATTAATATAAGCTAATTAGCACCTGGGGCTACTGCCATTTCTTGCCGCAGAATGACATCCGGTTGCTGTGGAATAACTGGCATGGGAACAGGTTGTGTTGGTGGAGTTCCCGCAGGTACATAAACACCCTGAAAGGCTGAAAGTGACAAATCAATCACTTTTAAGACCATACATAGTAAATGACGTCCTTAACAACCATCTTGTGCAACACAGAAAAAGAGGAACCACATGGAAGTACTGCTCAGTAACTTTCATATCAAAGGTCAAAAACTAGGATTTTATCTGCAGACAAAGTTAGAATCACCTTGTACAACATGAAAGTACTACTCAGTAGCTTTCCTACTCACACATTTGCTCATAGTAAGCAGCTTGGTCTGGGTACATTGTACCCATCTGTGGAGCCATGGCCTGGTGTACCTGCAGGGGGACTTGCTGACTTGCTCGCTGCCTCTGTGATGAGTATCGTTTGGGTTTGGCAGCAGGAGCACCTTGCGATGCTGTAGCATTTGGTGATCCAGACGCACCAGCTCCTTTCTTTGGTGAAGATTGCTTTGATCGCTTCCCATCCTGTTTTCTAGAGGCAGTTTGCTTTTCATCTGTAATGATTGTGGTAAATTTACAAAGACTACGATGAATCGTTTCACAAACTCAATGTGCAACCCAAGTTGTACACCAACATTCATTTAGAAAAGAACCACAAAACCGCAAAAGATAACTGAAAACTGGTGAATGCCAGTCAGTCAGTCAGTCAGTCAGCCAGTGAGTCAAACAGTTTTTCAGTCAAATGGTCAGTAAATCAATGCGGTAATTAGTCAGTCAGTTAGTCTGTAAGCCACGAAGTCCGTCAGACAACCAGTCTGTCCGTCTGTCAATCAGACAGTGAGACGGTTGGTCAGTCTGTCAGTCAGTCATTCGGTGAAGCGGTCAGTCAGTTAGTCTGTCCGTCAGCCAGTCTGCGAGTCGGTCAGTCAGCAAGTCAGTCAGTCAGCCAGTAAGTTTGTTACAACTCATCAACCATGCATAAAGCCAGAGAACCCTTTACTTGAAATTACAACTCACTTGTTTGCTCTGTTTCAACATAAGCTGTACCATTCTCTTCAACAACCTGCGTAAAGAAATGGTCACCCCATACAACAATTAGAACTGCTGATTACTACCTCTGATAAAAAGTATCAAACAGTATTATTCCTCTGTTACGTCATTTTACCGCAATAAAGCAACAGAACGCGCTTAACATGCCACACTAGTAAAACGACAGTGAAAAAAATTCGGACGGAAAGCGGAGCAGCAAAATAAATTGCTGTACTTACCGATCCAAACTTTTATTTGTCTGCCTCACTTAGGCTTCACTATTCAAGCGTCACACTTTTAAGTGGAACAGGTTCTTTTGTTTGTCATAAGACATTAAATTGATTTCGTTTGTGTTGTTTTGGTCTTTCGAGCACATGTTGTGCGATCAATACAATTCTCATATGGCGCCATAGGATGCATTTCAAAAAGTAAAAGCAATATTCAAAAAATGAATCAATAGTGGATTAATAAATTCCTAAATCGACGGTTTGACATAAAACATGAACACAAATTTTGCCCGTCGTTACGCAACTTGTAAAACATCCGCGCCTATCATATCTCAAAAGATCGATCAACCCTTTAATTCCCATAAGTGACCGAGACAGAATCTCTCCTTACAATTTCAATACAATATCACGAAGACAAGTGATGAGAATAAACACAAATATCAATCAGGGGATGATTAGTTTATCCAAGACCAAATTCTCCAAACTAACATCAGAAGAATTGTATGGCAGCCAGTAAGGAGAATTGCTATTGAGATCTTGGGATTAAAAGGGTTAACGTGTAACTCACCTCTTCATCTTCCTCGCCTTCATCTTCCAACTCTTCCGGCTGCTCATGATCTAAAACCCCATCTTCAACATCTTCTTCATAATCCTCTTCGATTATCACATCTCCATCATTTTCTTCAGCATCTTAAAGCAAAGACGGCATCTTAAAAATTGGGATGTACTCTTGAGTGGAGTGAGAGACTCGGTGGCCTGGTGCCAAGCATCCTTAACTACTCAAGGAGAGTACTAAGCTACTTCGCTCGCTAAATACCACCTTGACAATTAAGTGTTGCTATTTATGACATCTAAACTGAGGTGTTTTTAAAAAATCCAGGAAGTACATAAGAAAACTCTTGCAGACTCTTGCTCACCTTCAAAGTGTTCATCTTCTGCAGCTTTTTTTCTCCTCTCCTGTTCTTCCTTCATTTTGGCTTCCTCTCTTTCACGGGTGAAATCTGCAGCATTCTTTCTTGGTTTCTTCAGCTCCTGCGTCTGGCCTCTCCCTCGTCCTCTGCCTCGGAGTTTACTGTAGCTGTGAGTTGCAGAGGACGGCTTGGCTTGTTCCTCTCTTGAATGTTTCTCTTCCTCATTATTTTGAATGTCATCTCTTGGAGCTTTTTTAGATCTTGCTTCCCTTGAATCGTTCTTACTTCTAGAGGAGGTCAAGGAAAAGAGAGGTACGTGTTAAAATTACCTCCAGATGTAGAAAGCAAACATGCATACCATTACAACTTACTTTATTATACTCTTGTTCTTAAACCCTCCTGGTTCAATACACTTTTCATGAGTTTTTTTTTTCCATATTCAGTCTATCATTGGTTTAATTTTGTTAAAAGATCAAAAGTACAATCATCTCCGTGTCCTGTTCTTACATCACATCTAACAACAGCTATTTACGTGGATTGATCAACGACTGAGTAAAAAAATGACAAATCAGTTATATGTCGCTACGCTTTCCGGCAGTAAACGAGGAAAAACGTCACTAACAGCACAGTGTAAACACAATGTTGTATCTAAAGATTTACACTTCACCTGTCTTTTTGTGCACTCCCAAAACCTCCGCTTTGTCGTTTCTGTCCCTCTCCATCATGCTCGTTCTGCCTCCTGTCCACCCTTGAACCTCCTCTGTTCCTGTCACCAAATCCCTTCCGGCTTCCTCCCTGTTCGTCTTGATTGTCTCGTCTTTCTTCATCATCTCTTCTTCTAGGTGGTCTCTGATCTCTGTTTTTCACCCTTGCCTCCTGCTCACGATCAGGCCTTCGATCAAAATCCCGTCTCCTCCTGTCGTCATATCGCTCACCTCTGTTATCACGATCACGTCTTCGTGTATCATCGTATTCCTGATCATCATCATCATCCCTCCTTTGCCTGCGATTTCTCTCATTTCTCCTTTGAGGTCTCTCTTCAATCTCTTCACGATCCTCGCCCCAGTTTCTCCGTCTATCTGACCTCCTATCTCTGTCTTCCCTGTCTTCAGCATCATTTCCATCATAATCCTCATATTTATTCCGCCGTCCCGTATTTCTCCCGCGCCGTCCAAATCCCCCTCTTCGACTCTCCCCGTCCTCTTCAGAATTTTCCGAAGTCTGTCTTCTCCTTCTTCGTTGCTCAGGAACTCGGTTTTCTTTATTTCTTTCATTTTCCTGGAATTCTTCTTCATCCATTCTCATTCTCCCCAATCTTCCTCTTCCACCTCTGCCCCCTCTGCCCCCTCTGCCCCCCCGTCTGCCCCCACCTCTGACAAATTCCTCAAGATCATACCTCCTCCGCCCAGGACGTCCACCGCTTCCATCCAGCCAGCGTTTTGTTTCCTACCATTTTAAAAAGAAGAAAAATGCTATTCAGTCTTAGTTTTAAAAGCTCCAAATATAATTTACAAGCAATTTTTTTACAGTATCATTCTGCCAAACTTTAAAATTCACCCAACATGGATGGTTTCATAAAGTGTATTCAGGGCTCAAATGTAAACTTCGTAATACTTTTACTACTTTCAACTTATTATTTTAAACGCTTTTTTATCAAACTAGTCAAACTCACGGATTAGTTAAGTGCGTTTGATGCAGCGTAGGAATGAATAGTTTTTTCTCAACATAATAAAATCCAGTGTCTAATAAAACCTACACCCATTGAATGGCTCACAGTTCTGATTTAAGTAACTCATGTCGTTCAATCAAATTGTTCCAATCTTCACATGGCACTAAGCCGCAAGTGAGCTAACCCTCAGCAATTCACTTAGCCTGTGGAATTCAAATCTCTCACATAAAATCAATGGAAGTTGTTAGCCAATCTTAGACGACGCCAAAACCCTGCAATTGCAAAACATTCAGAAAGAAGCAACATAACTAACATGCATTATCTAAACGTCAAACGTAATAAAATTGACTTTTGCTATGATTTGTATCCTTACCTCTATTTCTTCTCTAGTTTTGGGTCCCTGTTCATCTTCCCTGTACATGTCATGTTCCCAACGGTCAGTTGTTTTGTCCCACAACTGTCTTGTTGTTGGTTTCCTTCTGTTAATATAAAAATAAAAATTTATTGACTTCAAATCATCTGTTCAGGGTTTTCTTTAAGGTTTTAAGTAACCGGAGCTCTTTTAAAGGTAAACGGTAAACGGTATTCATATCTCGAAATCCGATATGGCGGACGAAACGTCATATCATTTGTACTTTCAAAAAGACAGTCCCTATCAGAACGTTTTTAAACTGACTTTGAGTCAGAAGTCATTTTATGTTTTCAGAAAAGATAGGCAGTGCAAATTTATATTTTTATTGAGCCCAAGTTTAGACCTGATAAACTTCATCTCTGTACTCGAAGCAATGAGAGTAGCCAGCGAAACCTTGCAGAGAAGCCGGCGTACTTCGCCGGCTGCCGGCTATTATCTACAACCCTGTCTGTTAAACATTGTAAAACCACATATTATATTGACAAGTAACCATTGAAAAACTCAGCATCCTAATTGTTTATTCTATTTTACACTTATCTTAACATAGTAAGATTTTTATCTACCAGCAATTTTTTTATTGGTACCCCTGCAGTATCTTGTAGTCTGAGATACTTTTTGTGTGGTCAAGAATGTAAAAATTTAAAAGCTTTTTTTTGACATAGATAGGTTATTCTCAGTTAAAATTGTCGATCAAGGAAAAAAAAAATTAATGGGATGTTGTGGTGTTAAAAAAACAAAAGTAAATCAAAAAAAAACATTGATGTGAATCTGTTAAGCTTCAAACCAAGACCGCAGGAACACGACCATTAGAGTGCTTGTCAAATACAAACTCACAGAATCACATGACTGTAATAAATAGATCAATAATATAAATAAAGTCATGAGAGCACTATGGACCTTTCTTCATCAGGTGTGTCAGTCCATCTGTCGTCATGCCCCCAAAAGGCATCTCTACGTGGAATAAAAGCTGGGTTGTTCTTTTCTTCTTCTGCCTCCTGAAGAAAGAATTCAACTGTCATTCCATTTACATCACTTATTGACAGGTTTGCTTGGAAACTAAGTTAGGTCCAAATTTACACCATTTTTTTTTTTATAAGTTATAAAATTGGCATGATAAGCGTTATTACCTCTCTGCATCAGAAATTAATTAGAGGTTAGCCAACTTCAAAGAAATTGGCTTGCTGATTTCTGGAACCAAAGTATTCTTGTACATGCTTGAAACTGATTAAAAAACCTTAAAATTTCATAACTTTTTTTGCAAAATACTAACCCTTTCTCTCCAAAGACTTCATTACAAATAATCCAAACCTTCTACCTTGATGTAAGTTTGGAGAATTTGGTATTGGGTCAACTAATAATTCCCTACTATTCTTGCTTGCACTTATCTTTCTGCTTAATATTGTATCGAAAAAGGAGAAATTCTGTCTTAGTCAGTCATGGGAGTTTAAGGCTGAAGTGTATGCTACACTACACGAGTGATTACTTATATGTGCAGCTTATACACAAGCGTGGCCTATACATGAGTTATTATGGTACTTTTAGAGCAATAAGCTGAATTATCCAAGCCTTTTGAATGATTCTTACTAAGGGTGAAGTGTTATGCTACACTACATGTGTGATTACTTATACTTGCGGCTTATACACAAGTGCAGCTTATACACGAGTAATTACAGTACTTTTAAAGTAATAAGCTGAATCATTCAGGCCTTTCAATTGGTTCTTACATACAAACACATAGATGATGTCATTATTAATAGTTCTTTTGCTTCTGCATCACATAAACAAATTGATTCTGAGTTGCTGTGGGTCTGTTCAGTAATGGATCACAGAAGACATCCAAAAGTGGTAAGAACATCAGTAACACACTTGGCTGCACCTTGTGCGCCAATTTTTTTTTTGTTTGTCACTGCATTTTGATGTCATTTGTGATCTATTACCAGACAGACACATGGCAACATAGAATCTATTTGTAAATCAGACCTCCTCTGGATTCTGAATAGATGTGTCATGTATGCTTGCTCAAGTGTCTCACCTGTCCATCCCCTCTTTCTCTTGCATTCACTTTATTTTTACTTTCTTCCTGCTCATTTCCCATTTTGTCTTCCTCTTCTTTTACTTCAATGTCTTTGTCTTCACCAACTCTTTTGTATTCTTCATCATGTACTCCTGCCTCCTCTTCACTTTGCTTTATTGAATCACAAAAATAGTAAAGTTGATGAACAAAAATTGATTTTAACCAAAGAATTAACAAGGCCTTGCTCCAGTGGTTTCAAAAAAATTCTTATAAGCTATGGATCATGATTAAAAAATGATTGCTTCCTCTTTATAGCCAAAGCACACCAGTGTGGTTAATGAGCAAGATAACTTATCGTTTTCACATTTTTTCAATTTAGGAAATAACTTCTTCTTCAGTAAAATAAACATTCAGCAAGTCCCAAAACAGAACAACAAATTCTTAGTGCAACTGTGAAAGTTCAGGTTATTGTATAATATTTTGTGGTTTAAATTTATCTTTGTCGAAGAACTAGCTTGATTTTCATTTTCTGTCCTTCCAGAAAATCCAATAGAGCAACAAAACAAACATGAAAGGAAGTAAAGTTAAACTGGTTCAAAAAGGTTTGAGCCAGAAAAAAATTGTAACCAGATTGAAATCACTATGGCCATTGAACTATGGCCAGGAAAATGAAAAAATTATCAAAGGTTATTCATTAACCCTTTGACTCCTTGGAGTGATCAGCATTTAATTTCTCCTCACACTATCAGCCCTGAATCACACATATAAGTCATGAGAATAGAGGAGATGATCACCAACTAAAGAAGCTCCTGATTAATACAAAAATTCTCCTCATCTGTACCTTAAGGAATGTATAGAGAACAGTTTAGAGAATATGCATACTGATATATACAGCTTTGGGTCTCACAAATACAAAATCAACTTACCTCTTTGTCACTGGCGCTGTGCTCAGAGTGAGACCCTGAAGACTCTGTCCCCGTTGTGTATTCATCACTGTCTGTTTCCCCTTCACTTTCCTCCTCACTTTCCTCATCTGAACCATCTTCTTCCACATCTTCACTACCAGCAACAGCTCCAGGCTTATCATTTGCTTTTCCATCCTTATTATGTTCAGGCTTTGCATTATGTTCAGGCTTCACCTTGTTATCCTCCTGATTAGTGCGTGGCTTTTCATTAGGTATCTGACCAACTAAACCAAATATTTTCACTTTCAGGGGTGACAAACATGACATTTCTCCTTACATTGTCAATGTGTTGTCAGTAAAAAAGTTTCAAGAAAAAATGTATCAAGGACATTGTTGGATTTAATTCTAAATTCTCAGGGCTCAAATAATAAGAAATGTATGGTAGAAAGTGGGTAGAACTGATATTTATAGGGAGTAAAAAGGTTAATTTAAATGAAACTTGCATGAGTGAATATATAGATATTTTTATCCCAATGAAATCACTTCAAGGATGATCACTAACATTTCAAGAGCAAAATTATTCATCACAGTTACTTTGACTCAGATAAAAACTTCATAAAAGATCAGTCACCTCCACTTATTAAAGAGTTTGAAAGTTGAATGCTGATAGACCAAACGAGCAAACAAACTATGAATCACAGAGACAAGCAAACTGAGAACAAAAGAAATGAAAACCAGATTTGAAATAAAAACTTCCAAAATGTTTTAAGACTGTGCTCTTATTCCAGTTGGAATATCTACACCCAAAATGAAAATAAAAATATAAAAAGTGTCACAAGTGTTCGAACTTGACATTCAAGAACGTTTGATCGCGTCAGTTACTTAACTGCGTAGCGTTCGAAGTGTCTATCAAGCATAATAACAATTCTAACCTTCTAGAACCGCGTCCTCTTCTACGGTGGAGAGCGTTGTTTGTCCCTCCGATTCTACCTACAATAAAGTCCAACTTTAGACGAAATCTTTGCAAATTGCTTCCTTAGGAAAGAATTAAACCAGACTACCTTACTACGATGAAGCTTAATGACAGCAAAATACCTTCTCGCCAACACGAGGAGTTGTCTGCGAATCGCTCTTATCTAGAACCACAGAATCTGTCATGACTAAAATTGATTTTAACTGTAAGTTTACTATCACTTGCGTGATTTCGTTGAAAGTAAAAGAGGAATTTTTAGCGAATTAAAATTTTGTCGACACAGCACGCTGAAGCCGCCATCTTAAAAAGCTGCTCAGAGAGTTGATGCGCATCTCACAAATTGAAATACTGCTAGAGTGGCTATAATGAAGGCGCACGCAGATCTACTTGATATCTAAAGGTGCTGAAAAGCAGACTGAAATATAGTGACATTTCATTTGCCGAGCCGAGAGATGAATGGCAAAAGTTCAAAGGAACCGAAAGTGTAATGCCAGGCTTGCAAAACTCTCGGGCACTTTTCGAGTAAGTTTTGCGAGACTTAAAGGGTGTTTCTCGAGGCGCTCGCAAGGACTGTGTATCCTCTCTCAAAATTTGCGTCCTTCTTATTAGGGCTGGTTTTTACCTGGGACGGAATCAGGGTAATAAGAGCACTTCAGATTTTTATTTTCCCACACAGATTTTCGTGCCAGAGCCCTACAGATATCTCGGGCGTTCGCTTCGCTCGCCAGCTCAAATCTCGTGGGGCTTCGCCGATAGTGCCACAGGGTTATTCAGAGCTTGCTTGCAGGCTATGCAGGAGTGATAAGAAGCACATGGCAGACTTCTCTTTTCAAACAAACGTCCACCAAACTACCAGCCATACAGGGTCAGGATAGGCTGAGTAACGCATAAAATGTACGCGGCAACGGAAGTATTTTAACGTACATCGGGCGGCAGTAACCCTCCGGGCTCTTTTGTGTGCCGCTCCAACCCGCCGCCGCTCAAGCGCCGCTCCAGTAACAAGAGAAGGACAACACACTCGTAGTGGAAACAAATGAACAATTTCAATCTTTAATGAAATTAATAACAATAGACTCTCTCAGTGTAGCGTACGGGAGAACTTTCAAGGTTAAAAGATGGAATCCTAAAGCTTGGTAGAATACGTTAAACACAGGCGACAGGTTTGACCTCTTTCCACCAATCGTCTGGGTAAAAGTATCGTTGAATCTCAATCCCTTCCCTGGGTACCGGCATTTTGAAGAAACCAAATGGAACTCGTGGTAGCGGTTTTATAATTAATCGGGTAGGAAATGTATGGTAAAATCTATAATGCAGCCAAAATAGCCATGACTCCCAACCAGCTCTTTTCATCCATCCACGATAGTTATTAAGAACAAACAAATCTACCTTGTAGAGAGGCAGATCGTCGGTGGTAATTTTAAGCGAACTAAGGCTGGTCCACGATTCTTGATTCACTTTCAGTCCTTGTGACTCAAAAGCTGACACAAACTGGTCCAAATTCATCGAAGCTATCCATTCTGAGCCATTGAGACCAATGTCAACATCATAGTCCCATGGCAAAGGACCCTGAACGCGGATTGCTCCAAACACTGATCCGTACATTAGCCAGTGACCTATGCCAAGCTGTTCGAGAATCTTGTGAACTTTGTAAGTCAGATTTAAGAACTTTTCTCCTTGTGTTTTGCTGAAGTACTGACATTTTGCAGGTTGTAAAGGATTTCTTCCAGTGTAACTCGCATACCCTCTCATGCTAAGAAAGACATAAAGTGTTACCGGGACTGATATAACCAGAGTGAGTGCGATGATGTGCTTGGCACGAAATAAGGGTTTTGGACACATGTTGTGTATCATCATCGATTCCTTTAGCTTTTCAGGACAGACAAGAACGTAAAGGCTGTGATGCTGCAAATGAAGAAACCAAATTAAGTTGATGAGATTAGTCTCATCACAGTCCTTCCGTTATCTCCCTCTTCATTATCATTCAAAGAAACGAAATTTATAAACGTCGATAAATGAATAAATAGAACGCGTTGACAAAACAGGTCAACATTAAGAAACTTCTTCTGTGGGCTAAACCCTACTTTGACTTTATAACTAGCATAAGGTCGTGGAAGTGTTTGGGTTAGTGTCCTAATAGGAGATGTTTAATTTAATCCTCCATGGTCAATTTACCCGCATGCACACTAACCGATGAAGTATTTAAAACGAAAGTACCAGAGAGATACGGTTAGTTGTGTCATTTTTGGTCAGACTAAGGGAACAAAGGAAAATTAGGTAAAAGCTTTAGGTACCTTCTGCTGAGCTTGTGATTTCCCCAGCTATACAGTCCCCCTCCACTAATAACGTCTTAAAGATAGATCTAGCGGAAAAACGAAAAATACATCGTCTTTTACAATGAGGTATTCTAAGGCTGATTCTGTTCTTAGCATTTGCTGTGGTCTTAAATATTGTAAGATATCTAAGTATCAACCGAGTTGATTCGTCATTCGCTTTGAAGAGGGCTAATACTCCAAACGTCAGCTAAAGAAGAATTTTACGGTGACAAATTTACGTTATAAACTCAGTTGATAAGACCAGATTACCAAAGAAGAAGGAAGCAGTGTAGGTAACAACTATGGAGTTTGTACTACACCAATCTAGACTAATTTCTCTCCCTGATAACCCGGCCCTGTGAGATACCTTGAAATGGTCAAATTCACGGGAGACAAGAGCCCATTACTGCGGGAGACTATTCCAAATGAAACGTCACACGAAGGTTTCGCCGCACTGTGATCATCAAGTTTAAAGACGTGTATTGAAATACGTGTATAGTTCATTTAAATGCGCAATCCACGTGTCTTTTTTGTTTCCTTGGTGTACCATTTCCTTTGGAACTGAAAGTTAATTAATTATTTCCCTTTGGGGTGTTGTATGTATAAGAAAGAGCCCTGGAGCATCAAACACCAAACAGGTGTAAAATGGCTACTGTAGCAAGAACAAAAGACAGGCCTCAGGCTAGGTATGTGGATAGATTCACAACACATTTTATGCAAGCTCTTATCGGGTCGTATTTTCGAGATTGTCCGGCGAGGAAGAGGTACTTGTGTTTGTGCAACTGTTTAAATACAGTGTCTCGCATTGGATAAATCAACGCAATGAATGTGATGTTTATGGTACCTGTCTGTCAAAACTTTTACACGACATCTTTGTTTTTCCAACTGAATCGAACTCGAAGCTTAGAGTCATCACCTCCGTGTACCTAGAATTTGGACTTCATTCAGAGATCGCAATGATACGTCAAGATCACCAGCACAAATATAATTAGCGAGTGTTAAATTACCTGGGGGTGTAGAGCGATTTTTTGATATGTCCTTAAGCAGGAGCCCATTACTTATGGGCTCCTGCCTTGAGCTAATGTTTTAGGGGTTTATGATTACCATGAAACCCAGGAAGAAATGAAATTACTCCAGAAAAAAAAAATTGGATATCAAAGTAAAGACATATTCGTGACTTAAATCGTGTATTTGCTCTTTAAAGGCATTACATCTTTCGTAAAAATGTTTAAGACTTTCATGGAAGTTTAACTGATAGCTATCAATCATGTCCAATACGGTATCACTTCGCGAGGTATATTTTCAATTACCTGTCTTCTTCTCGGGCAATTTCAAAGTTACGGTGATAGACTGTCACCACGCAGGCGAAATTATGTGACAGTCAGGAAGGTGATCAGGGGGGGTTAAGTTATATAGAGATCAATCGAAACATAAAAGAAAGTCAAAAAAAAACTTGAACGTTTCGGCTGATTGTGTTTTGAGGAGGAGCTTTATAGATAGTCATATACTCCTTACCCTCCCCCCCCTTCTTTGTGAGGTAAACTTTTTTGCAAGCTTATTATTCAGATTTGCCAAAACGCGCGAATCTGAACAATCTACAAGGCAGAAATCCTTTTTGTAGTAAGTACTAGTCAGAACCTCTCTGTGCTTGAATAAGAGCCCCGCTGAAACACAAGCAACAAAGGCCCCCTCCCCTCTCCTCCCTTACCATGAAAAACTGGAGCTAAACCCCAGCTTGGCTAGCACAAGCTCTTTCCCGAAAGATCTCGCGCGTTCGCCTGATCCAACCTGGTCCCAGGGTCTATTTTTTTTTCCCGCCCGCTAGACTGAGAAGAAACAGCCCGCGAACGTGGTGGTACCATATGGCAAGATATCTCTTGACTTTAGCTGGCGGACGGCTTAGTTAACCGCCGCACAGAAAAAAAAAACTTTGCTCTGTAATAAATGCTCAAGATCATATTCTGACGTTGAAGTGTATCTATACTTTATTTGTTGTATCCCAATATAAATAATCACACGATTAAGTATGTAAGTGTCCGTCTATCCCGAATGAAAATTAACCTCAAGAAATAATAACTCTGTGGCCTTTTAAAGACTAATTTTTTTTCTTGTCACGTAATCCTCGCAAAGGGCGGATTGCGTGACGTGTCAAAAGCCTGGGCTAAAAACTCTGATGAACTAAGCTGGTGTGATCTTTACCATTCTTTCATGTAGGATATCTAACATCGTAATTCTCCCTACTTCATCACTGCTGAATCAAACATTTAGATAATGAGAAAAAAGAAATGATTGCCAACTTGAAAAGCTCCTGACTGCCAAACAGATTCTTCTTACCAGTTCCATAGGAAATGTATAGAGAACAGTAAAGAGAATTTGCATTTGAATCAAGGAGGTGTTTAGGGTTAATTTAAATTAACCAAAGATGAAAACAATATATGCAAATAACATGAAAACGAAGCCCAAGATCAGCGGTTGCCGGGAAAACTCCCCCAGGGGAGTCGCCCAGGTCCGAGATTATGACACCTTCCTGATTTATAAACTTTTAGTTGAAATTATGTTTTTCTTATTAACTCGGATGCTTCTTAAGACTTCAGAAAAATTTTTATGAATACGATAGGTTATATGTTTGAATTCAGTTCAATCAAATAAAACATGTCGTGTTATGATCACATTTTTAAAGATAGCTCAAGAAAGATTTATGTAGAGGGCAAAACCATTGAAAACTTAGTATCGCCTTCTTCGTCTAATGGGAATTTCATAATAATTTCCTGTAATTTTTAAGGCTCGGATGAGTCGTAATTTTCGGTTTCCAAAAATATATCGTTTCGCATCAAAATCTTGAACGTCACTTAACCATTTTGTGACAGGTTCTCAAAATAGAAATTCAATTAATGATAACTTTGAGACCAAGAAAAATGTCTAGGAGCGAACTATTTCAGTCCTAAGAGGAGAGCTTGAATAACTTTTACTTCAAAAGTTTTCAGCACCAAAAAATGAGTGGAACTGAGTGAAAAAACAATAAAGTTGTAGTAAAACAAACGAGAAACGATACCGATCACTGAAGACAAAAAAGACCTTTCTGTTCTTCATTTGTGCGCGGCAATTTAGTAGCTTGTAACGCAGCAAACATAATATTGCGTTACTTACAGGTGACAGGTTTCACTTCTTTCCACCAGTCGTCGGGGTAAAGGTATTGTTGAATTGTAAGGCCTTCCCTTGGAGCCGGTAATTTAAAGTAACCAAATCGGACCATAGGTAGAGGCTTTTCTACTAGTCTCGCCGGATACGTATCGTGTAAATTATAATTCAATGCAAAGATCCACGTTTCTAGCCCGGCGCGCTTCATCCAGCCACGATAATTGTAAAAGGCAAACAGGTCTACTTTGATATGAGGTTGATCATCCTTATAAACTTTCATCACGTTGCTTGTGATCCACCTTCTGTAATAAACTTTCAGACCATTGTCTTTAAAAGCGGCCAAAAACTTGTTAAAATCCATTGTGGCGAATGTCCCTGAGCCGTTAAAACCAATATCTACGTCATTGTCCCACGGCAAAGGGCCGTGCGCCCGAACAGCGCCAAAAACAGATCCATAAACGAGCCAATGTTCAATACCAAAGCCATCAAGAATCTTATGCACTGTATGCGCCATCTTCAAAAGTTGTCCTTTCTCTTTCGAGTTGAGGTATTGACACGGTTGAGCTGCGAAGAAAGGATGATTTCCAGTGTAAAGACCATAGTTTTTTAAGTTCATTGTGACATAGAGTGCCACCACAACTACGAGAACTATGGTGAGCAGTATGTAGCGACAGCGGACCTTAGAGAAATAATTCCGTGTAGGATCGCCAATCCTCATCTTGTTTTGAACCGAAACGACTGTGTTCAACCAAACTGTGTCCTATTAAAGACAGTCTGCGGATACACGATGAAAAAATTTCGTCTTACGAAAAGCTGCGGGAGAAAAAGGAAATAATATTAGTAAGCGTGGTTATGCATGTTGGCCAATATATTAAAATCGTCATGCACCGTCATGATAATAAGGGAAACGCGGAAGCACCTACGAAGAGGTAAACTTGACTTGTATCTGTGCACGTGGCTTCATGAGTTCGCGCTGGAATATCAAGATTTATTTAATAAGTCGGCCGCAAAGTTTAGACGCCATGGGAGCTTTCCTTCGCATATTAGATTAACAAAGGTGACATAAATTACAACGTCTGCATCAATTGGAAGCATCTGTATGAATTCAGATTACGTAAGTCTTCCCTCACGCCCAATTTAGCTAAAAATGATGGTTCTAGAGCGCTTTCTGGAAAGTGGCCCTTGACTTACGTGGGCCGGAAGTGGTATTTGAAATTTTTATGCACAGGAACTGTAATGCGAGTCAAAGCTTAAAGAAACCACTCCACACTTGTGTTTTCTGATCGTTTCATCGTTTCAAGTCAATTCAATTCTGTAAACAACTCTTCAGGACCGGCGACATTCCGAAAAAGGCTTCAGGAATCAGCTTTTCCTCACATACGTTCGTAACTTATACACATTGGGTCAAACCAAAAGCAGCAATCGCTCCTGGTAAGCAAGGGCGAAATGTCGTAAATTATTGAATTAAACTTGGCTAGACAGAAAGAAGAGCGTCTATAAATAGACTTTCCTTCAAACAATGAACTACATATGTACTATGCCAAGAATCTAAAATACTTCAAGGAGTTTGAGGGGAAATGTCTCTTCATGAACTGAATTCGGCTGGAATTTGGATAAAGCAAATTTGGATAAGATTGGTCAGTCCAAATTTATCTTGGTCAGCCTTCGAATTAAAACGAATAAAGGTGTTACCGCACTGACGAAAAAGTTGTTTATTTCGACAAATTTTCTGTCATCACCAACAACTGCAGAAGGATTGTCGCTACTTGACAAATTTCGTCCGAAGCGGTCAAATCTTCAAATGCACATTACACAAAGTTTGTCCCGGGCAAAAGCTGGACAAACTCGACGACATAAACAAAACCGTAATTAACTTGTCGACCATTTGTCGCAAAAGTTGCGACCAGCGTGTAATTGAACTGAAATCAGGCAAAAATGTGAATGCAACCGACAAAACATATATTTCTCACGCTAAAATGTGTTCTCTGATTTTGTCCGCTAGTGCGGAAAGCCTCTAATTTCTAAACTGTGATGCTGCGTCGGTGGGAGGTGTTTTAACACAATTTGGCTTAACCAGCTGAGTTTATAATTCTAATTAGCCACCGTAGAGAGTTTTTTGAGCTGTCGTCCACTCGGAAGCAAGTCTTCTATGTCACAATTAACCCACTCGTAACGTCTTGGCGCACTCATTTAAACAATATCATGATGAAATTTTTCTAGGTTGCGTTTTTCCTTTTTCCCGTTTATAGTAATTGCGAGAATTCAATATTAATGTGCTTACAATCACTTTTAGTGAGCCAGGGACTTAAACTACCTTGTTACTGATTTAGATCACCCGAGATGCAAGCAACGAAGTTTCGATCGAACATTTCTAAGATATAAGCGAAAAAAAAAAGGATAATTGGTGTACTAACCTTTTTGAAAACCCTGGTTAAAATGTGGAATTATTCATTCACTGCAAAGTGGATTTGGACGTCTTCATCTGACTTGGCCTGTTTTGTAGGGACAAAACCATGAGCAAACTATGAGTTAAAGAAAAACTTTACACTTCTGTTCGTTGTTTACGTGAACAACAAACCCTTGTCTCCACTGGCTGTCGTCAAAATTTTTTTAACAAAAAGCTTTATTCTAGTTCTTTTGTAAGAAAGATTAATTTTAGATAATGCCTAACTGTTCCACGGGACAATTCACGCTTAATCACCATGCGGATCGTACAGGCACAATACCGTGGTTTCTCTGACGAAAAAGCCGAACGTGTTATGCCTCCGGCATATGAAAGTCATTGACGCGAGGCAATTTTAGAGTAGTTTGGTTTTGAATATTTGATATACTGACAAAGCAAAAAAGGACCCTTAGTTTCTCGTTAGGCAATGTTCGTATTATTTAGATAACAGCTATTGTATAGTATAACAAACACACCTCTTTTGGGACTGAACAAACATGCAACGGAAATATAAATTAGACCACCACGAATACCGTACATATTTTCGTGCATTTCCATATTTTGCTCTGCTTTGCGCGACAAGCTCTGAAAACCCGGTCTATAATCCGCTTCATGCAGAAGAGCTCTCGTTTCAATTTATTTATCATGCGCAAACAGTATAGATTGACCGGGGTCACTCTCTTTTGTCACGATTATAAACCAACCTCATGAGAATAGCAACTTTCCCACGGCCAATGCAAATATTTCAAATGTTCAAACGGTTGAAAAAAGAATTTCAGTTTTTGGACTTCGCGTTTGTCGTTACCTTTTTCGCTGACCTCGAGATGCTTAAAAAATCAGCCGGTCTTTACGGAGGAAGGAGATGGTGATTCCGTTTTGGCGCGCTCCTTCCTACGTGATCAAAATATAGAGAACATGCTCACGGTCTCTAATGAAAATTCAATTTGGATTTCATCAGAGAACACCGCTGGATCACGAAAAGACGGGTCTCACTACTTTTGATAGACAAGAGTGCGGAAAGTGTTCGCTACAAGAATGCTTTAACGAAGCGCTGCTTTTTTTCGAACTTTTAAACGCAAAGAAGCTATTCGGTAATTACAGCCTCCGGGACCGGCTTTCATTCTTTTGTTATTAATCCAAAATGAAAATTATTCAGGCCGCTAGGAATCTCATCGACTGCACCTGAGGAACAATTGAATTTGACCTGGATCGAGGATTACCAAAATTAAAGCTTCAGTACGACTTTTGCCCCATGAAACACTTAAGGTACTTGGTAAACGGTGTTCAATCGTAACTAAAATCTATAAAATTAATATTCTGATGTAAATAGAGATGGAAATGCTCTGTTGCCAAGCAAAAAAAGCATCCGCTTAAACCACTCAAATTCAATAACCGAACATCAAAATCTACATTAACATTTCTGCTGATGTCATACTGTTTACTGTTTCTCGAGATTATGTTCAGACAAGTCGTGTAAAAATAGCATTTCCGAGTCGAAATTACGCCTGTCATCCACCCTCAACCCCTCCCCACAAATTGCCGTTATATTTACAACGCGCTTTGCTTGATGAACCTTGAAGTTCGAGAAATATTTCGTTGAATTTGGGCATAAAATGATCAGTAAACTAGTTCTGCTCACAAAGAATTTGGCTGGCCTTCAAAACATCGCCATGATCGCTTGGAACCTTTCACTGTGGATATTTCTGAAAGACAAATACATTCACTGTAATTCACTTGCACTTACCTGAAAAATTTAATTCCATTCACGAGCAAAAGGTTAGCACCCTTTCATTTTGCGACACCTTAAATTTGTCTACGCGACGTTTAACAATTAAAATTTACCGATGGTCTTTCAAAAACATGGCGATGGTTGGAAGAAGTTTCGATACCCACGATGCGCAAATTCTCTCCGATTATATGTGACAGAAGGCACCAACCGACATCTCAGTAACGGTAAATCCTCAATCATGTACCTCGATAATTTTAATGAAAATTTTACGTTGTCAAGGAAGAAATGAAAGCTAATATTCGAGTCGAAATTACCAACTCTTTTGTCCACATTAGGCATGTCATTTTCTTCATATGCATTTCAGATTACGAATATAATTTTTCGACATACAAACCAACTGGAAGTTAAGATCTTTGATTGGCGCAAGACTTAATGAGAGCAGTAAGTTTTTAACTAGAGTGCGTTGTCAAATGGAGCCTAAATCAAACAATAATATTATTCGTAAGATTAATGAATGATCACCTGTTTTAAGATGGAAGGGAGATATCTTTTAAAGCCGTCTCCACCAAATCATATCAAATCGCGGAAACACAGCATCTACAAGTTGATGATCAAGAAAAAATTTAGGGTTTAAAATTATATCCAAATTATTCCAAAACAACGCGCCATTAAACGTAAACGTGTCAATCCACTAACGTATTCCCACGTATAGATGCTAAACTGTTGGGTACGTAATATCATTCAAGTACCTGTGTCGATTCTATGGCCCTTGTCTGAGGTTATCAGGGCCCTAAAATTATCAAACATCAGTAAAATGAACTTTCGAAAGCATACTTGTCGAGAAAGTAACCCGATCTATTGAATTCCATGTGGAATATAAAGCGAAGCTTTCCATCGAGGTTCTCTTCTCGCTCTATCTAACACACCATGTAATTCCATAAAGTGAAGAGCGAAGGCTATTTTTTTATCATTTGATAGGAAGTCTGTAATCAAGTTCAAAGGATAGGTAACAAGTCAAATCTACGTACCTCGTTTAACGCGCGCGTGTCGAAAAGATCACGCAAGGAATGCACCTCGCGATATTCACGTGATTGATAACAGAAGAGGGGATTTGGGAACAAAACATAATACGTTGAGTATCGTTTACTAATTTTCTCGACGTAAATTGATGTCGTTTTTGCGCAGTTTTATATTTTATTTGTCGCTTTTCTATTCGTATCACATGTGCTTTCACATGAAACTGAAATTGCCTGGCAGGGATAGGAAAATTTTAAAAATACAGTGTAAAAAGGATGGATGCAACAAAAGAGTCACACAACACAACGATAGGGTAACGCCGAAAAACAACAACAAAAAAAACAATGGTTTTAAAAGATCGAACTTCCCTAAATCTACTGCCTCGTGCGCAGATTTTTTACTTCTTTTTTCATTAAAAACCAATATGACTTAACCTCTACTGACTGATGATGTAGACGAAAAACCCCGTTTGACAGTAACTCGAACAAGATCCTTCGACCCCATTTTTTCAGTCATTTATTAACAACTAACTCGTACACCGCCGCTAACTTGAACGATGTTTTGACTATCTGGGGAGATTGAGTCAGCAGGGTTCCACTGTTATGATATAAATTTGCAATATTGGAAAGAGGGGCAGGGAGGGTGGGGGGTTGGCGGGCTCCTTCCTGAACAGTGGCGTTGCGGCTTAGCCTAGAGGTAAGCCTAAGCCCTCCTAAGTAATCTCTGTCATTTTTTCCAAGCACGATCTCCACGTGCTACAAAAAAACGTTTACCATCTCACAATCGGGACATTTGTTGACAAAACAGCGATGCCCACTCGAGCTAACTGAATGCACGTGATTTATGGGTTTGGAAGCCCACTTCGCATTTCTCAGACAGAGAGGATGCCTCACCACACACGATGCTACGTTTGATGTAGCGCTTTTCCAATAAAGGAGACCTGAATTATTAAACCCCCGTGCGCCTTAGTCTCCCCTAACGCCATTTATCGAGATGCTACGCTACACGGCTGCAAAGGGCACTGGGCAAGCCTGAGCTCGCGCTGAGAACAAATGAAAGTATCAACGATTCTACAAGTCGTAGAGAGATGAGAGGAAGGACAATGCTCAAAATACCAATAAAAATTCCTTTTACTTGTCTATAAAATCTCGACATTGGTGTGCAAGTGGGTAATACAGCCAAACTTTTCACCAAACCGCACCTCGGGTAAGGCGTTCATAATAATAATAATAATAATGAACTAATGGACACCAAATGTTAAAAATGACCAATTTCAAAAAGATTGTCCAGAGTGTGGCCGGTGTAAGACTCTTGTGATTGTAGAGATACGTTTCTTTAAGTCTTCTAAAATTCATCATGTACCGGAGTATTTTTCTTCTTCTTGCTCTTCTGGAACAGAAAAAAAAGGAAACAAGACATGTTAACCAAACAAACCAAATTCTACGAACATAAAATGCACCCAAATCTTTTTATAGAGCAGCGGTGATGACTCGGTTCAAATCAAGTACGTCATTCCTTCAGCTAGAGGGTTTTTAGTCTAGTCTTTCCTGTTCCTCTTTTTTCACACTAAAATTGAACTTTTCGCTATCAGATTGGGTCTTAGAGCCGCCAAATTGGATCTGCAAACGGCAAACGCGACCACAAAACAATGCGCAACTCCCTCTAAAGCATATATCAAAGTATTTTCTTCCTTTTTTTTTTCTTTCTTTTCCTGTAGGATTGTCACGCATTGCAAATGGCAAACTTTCGAGCTCCACAACTGTGAAGTAGCACACTTACAGGAGCGACCAACAAAAAATTTCTCCCAGCACATCAATACAACTCCAAACAGAAGGGTGATGTGACGACAGATATAAGATACGATAAATTTATCATACAAGATACTGTTTGATTTAAAACCAAATTCTCTGAGCTGAAATGACAATAATTACAAATACATCTAAAGACAACAAAGTGCAAAAGGATAATACAAACATCTCACCTTTTTTGTCTTTGTCTTTGCCTTTGTCTTCTTTCTTTTTTCGTCTTCCAAGTCAGCCTTGTATTCCTCCACAGCTTGAAGTACAATGTCCCGTATCTCATTCGGGTTTTGAGAGTCTATATTCATGTGTCCATTTACTGGCTAAAAAAATAATGAAGATACGCTTTTGTCCCCTTTTAAAGCTGAGAATGTATAGCCTGCGTGGCTAGCGGTATGGTGCGTGCTTTGAAGCCTAAGGAGCGAGCCCGTGAAAATGAGTCGGGAATCGCGAAGGCTTCCCTTCCTTAAAACGTACGCACGATACCGCTCGCCATGCTGGCTAAGAATGTAGGAATGAAGAATTAAAATGTCTACGAAAAAAAAAATATACATCACTGGGCGCTCTGAGCGTACGCTTTTAAAATGACAGTTTTCTTTTAAGTGCGAGTTGACTTGCTACCTGATTCATTCCAGATCCTGGTGACCCAAGGTATAACTTGACAGTTGGGTATGCTCGCACATCAGCTTCTGAGCACAGATGGTACTCCTGTTCACAATCCACTTTACCAGTTTTGACGTGTCCCTCTAACAACTACAAGAAATTGAAATATAAACACATCAGTTCAGCCTCTGACGTTTACTCGTGCCTTATTATCCGCGCGAAGTCTGGGAAGGAGAAGGCGAGTTTCTCCCCTTCTCAGTGACTTAGAAGCTAACAAAGGTGCTCAGGTTTCACGGTTAAATCCATATTTGTCCAACTGAAATACTCGTAAAAGGCCCGCAAAAATGGCAAATCTCAGTGCCCCTTGAGATAACACCTCTATTGCCTTAAAGATTTTAGAGTGAAGCTGCTGTACAGCCTTAACGAATCATTACCTTACTCTTATGCTATTTTTGCTGTATCGCACGCTCCCTCCCCCCCCCCCCGCTACAGAGTGATATGGAAGAACGATATACGATATACTACTAATATGTTCTTTATATATATATATTGAGACGAAGTTGTTTCCAAACTGGCTCACCTTTGCCACTTTTTCGTAATGGGGAGCAAATTGTATGCAGTGGCCACACCAAGGGGCGTAGAAATCTATGATCCAGGGATCCTCGCTGTCGACAACATTGTCCATGAATGCCTGGTAATTCAGCTGCGTTACAAGCGAAGGAAGATACTTGAATGCCCAGCTGTATAGAGAATCTACATCCCGCCAGCCGCGATGGCCCCTGAGAAAATTCACAAAACGGAATCGTAAACCACTGTGTTGACCCGAATTCGAAACTAAGATGACAACTGTTCCAGAAAAAAATCTACTAAGTACTCACACGTAGTTACGGGATCCTTGGGAATAGTGAGGATAAAGACGAATGGTGGGGTATGAATTCACTCCTTGCTCTTGGCAAAAGGATCGATACTTTTGACAATCCACTGACCCAACACCAGCTTCTCCTTGCATTTGCTGCAAAAAGAAGAGTATAAAATCAACATCAACTTGTTGCCTCTGAGAGATTTTCATCGGAGCATCCAACGAAATCTACGACTGGCCGCCGAGTCGACAAGCAAGAAATTCCTTAACCCTTTAACCCCTCAGAGTGATTAGTAACTATTTCCTCCTATAAGTATCAGCCCTAAAACAAACATTGAGGTCATGAGAATAAAGGAAATGATCACCAACTAAAGACGCTCTTGACTGTTAAACAAATTCTCTTTGTCAGTGCTGTAGGAAATGTATAGAGAACAGTGTGGAGAAAATGGATACTGATGTTAGTGTCTAAAGGGTTAATTGTCGAGTAGCAAACACATTCCATGTCGCCGTGCTTCTTTACAGCAATAGATTTCAGATGACGGCAAGATGTGCTCACGAAGCGCAGCCGAGAGCGCCACCGACGCTCGTACCACATTTCGACGTCTTCAGTGATCTATCACTGAACAGACCCACGACAACATGGAGTCTTCCTTTTATATGATAAAAAGCAAACTGTTGTTAATGGTGATGTCACCTGTGCGTCTGTCTTCTAATAGATCATCACTTACAACCAATGAAAATGGGCGTGTAAATCGATTCGTCAAATGAAGAAAATTAATTTAATGAACAAGTTGCTTTCCGCCCTTTCATCAAACCAAAGAATTGAGCTAGCTACTATATTCATATGCAAAAAGTCCGTAACTGATACGTGCTTTAAGTTAAACTAATTACGAAGTATTGTAGGTGATTACAGTTTCTCGGAGTGTTTTCCAATTTTATCGTAATTAAGAGGTTCTTTAACATCCCGCTGGGCTTCCTCATAAAACACTATCATTTCTTTCTTATTTTTTATCAATATCGTTTTTAATTATTATCATAATTATCATAATCATTAGTACTACTTTTAACATCATCGTCACTATCATTCTCGTTATTAATAAAACTGTTATATTCATTATTATTTCACTTATAAATATAAAATCAATTTCATTATCATCATCAGCATCATTTCATCAAGCATAGGAAAATAAGTGTTTCATTTTCAGCACCTTGGCAAGTTTGTTCCAGTCAGGAGCCAGTTCATTACACGGTCCACACCAGGGTGCATAAAAATCTACCAGCCATGTTTCACCGTTCTTCCTTTCCCCAACCAGTGATTTAAATGTTTCAGGCGTCAGCTGTACAACCGAAGGTTTCATGGTGTTCTGAAATAACGAGACAGAGATTATTATTATGGCTACTCGCCATAACATGGCGAGGAAACAACATCGAACATTTTTAGCCTATCCTACCGCGGCACTTTTCAATTTTTCTATTGAGAGTCGAGAGGAATCCTAATACTCGCGCCATTCTGCAAACCACTCAGATGCAAAACTTACACCAATGCCTCTTATGCGCAATGACGTCATTTACTGAAAATTCACCGCCTTCTCTGCTTGTACTAAAACACTCATAAATCGTTGTTACTTTTTTGCTGTTTTCGTGAAGAAGTTTTCTCTTGATAACAGTGTTTTGAGAATATCTTCCGATTAAAATTCAACAGTACACTTAAGGCCTGTTGTAACTTGTTCACACGCGTTTTCCCGCGCTTCATGAGGTTTGTTTTTACTATGACTGCTCATTGGCTCCTTGTTGTATTTTCCTTTGTTCTGATTGGTTGTTGTGACAATTTTGGTTTTGCTTTTACCAAATTTAATCGAAATACGCTCTTTTCCCGCGCTTAGCCTAACCTTAGCTTAAGTTCGTTGACGCGACAGTATCGTGCGACGTGTGATAAAACTAACCTCGATAAACTCCACCAAATCAGCTGCTGTGTGGTGGCCCGTAAATTGATGAGGAAGGCTGTTATTGTATAATATCGTCGTTGGATAGGAGCGTATGTTATACTGAAATATAAAGAAGAAAATTATCCAAAAGTAATTATGTGATACATGTGCGATATCGTTGCAGTTACATTCTCTCACTGATTACTAACAACACATACACAAGAATACAAAACTAAGATTACTCACGATTACTTAAAGCGGATTTAAAGGGCGGTAAACCTGGGTTACGTTGGTTTTGCTGATCTTTGCTCTCTGGTTGGCCCTGGAAACTCGCGCCACTTTCTCGACCAATCAAATTCAAGACTAAAACCAATCGTTACTTAATAACTCGCCTTTTTCCCGCGCTTCAGGTAAACTTATTTTTTTTACTTTGAGTCCTCATTGGCTTTTTGTAATATTCTTCTTTGTTCTGATTGGCTACACGAGTGCAGTATGTAAGCCGAGTCACCACGAGAATATTACAAGAAGGCGTTAGAGGAACGGCCTGTTCAGAAGATCCACAAGATTATAGTCACGTGTGAATGCGAGACAGAGGGTTTCGACGTGACGCGTGATAAAAGCCAAAATGTGACTAGTGAACTTTGCGGAAAGGCGAGCGTGATTTGCCTTCTAAAATATATGTGACCGGTGAATGTTTTCTTCCAGTTCATGAAAATCTCAAGATTTCCCGAAACATTTTAAACAGGCGGAGAGATTTGAAGTTCTCCCTCTATATACATGACGTGTGAAGTTTTCTTAACTTCGTGCGTGAAATGGGATGAGGGTGTCCCCTTTTGCTACCCAGAGAAAGATGGAAGAGGATGGCGGAATAAAAGTTTTTTCAGTATCATTGTTAGGTCATGTTCTTACCATATGACATAAGTTAGAATGAATAGTACAGTCCACGGTACCGAAACCAACTTCGTGATCTTCAAATGATCGAGCTGCTTTTCTGTATTCAGGCAAAAGACGCATGCAAGGCGGGCACCACTGAAAAAGGAAAGTAAAAGAAATGAAAAACACGTCTTTAAACAGCTGTAAAAACACATGCACGAAACTCCAGTGAACTTTCTAGACAGAAACATTTCCCACGTAGGTACCGTCTCCTACATCTGCACTGTACTGGTTAGCAAGTGACGTTAAAGAACCCACGCACTTGTCGCGAAGAGTAGGGAACGTAACTCCCTGTGATAAGGTGATCTGACCTTGTTCTTGTAAACACAGGCCCCCGTTTGAACCAGCTTTAAGATAAACTGGGCCAACCTGTCAAAATATCGCCAATACATACAAACGTACAAAACTGTTCACTCACTGGAGCAAAGAAATCAACGAAAAATGGCTGATTAGGTTTAGTGATTTTAGCCGGGAAGTCTTCAGGTCCTAAGGTCTGCACGCTGGAAGAAGCACTCTCTTTGGCAAAAACAGCAATATCATGTGCAGTGAAGCGACCTGTTGAAAAGACAGAAGAATACATCAAATGAGGAAGACAGAAAGTTTATAGCAGTGCGAAAAAGGAAAATTTGAGTACCCCACCCACCCACCACCTCACAGAATCGGCTCCGGATCTACATGGGTTTGCGCTTCAATGTTTTACCACTGTGTTACAGAGAAGTCGTTGGTGACCTACGCCATTTGTCAGGTTAAAGAAAGACAAACGTCCTGAATGCTGTTGGATCAGCGATTTCAACAGCATCGTGAGTGTAAATAAATAACGAAAAGGGGGTCGTAAAGTATAACATGATAACAAGCACAGAAAAAAAAGCAGGATTAATTTGTGACCAAACCGATTGGAGACAAAAGTGAGAAGGTAAGTATTCAAGATAACAGGTATTTTTACTCCTGAGTATGCGATCAGTTAGCGAGCCACCGTAACTAAGGATGTCAAGCGATGCTACCCCAAAAAGAGATTTGTAGTTAGGTTGTGAGCGAAAACTTCTTTTCGAGGGGAGGAATGGGGAGTAGGAAAAGAGCTGCGTGACATTCCAACATCCCCAAAAACGGTTGCGAAGGAGAATATGTCGAATATCAATTACCATGATGCCACTCATAGTATCCATGTATTTTGAACAGGGCCACCATGGGGAACTTTCTGATATGAACTCGCCGACATATCTCTACTTCTTTGCTACAATCAACATGACCAACCTATGGATAAGAACAACGAACAACAACGTCAGACGATAACCTCTTACTGGTCGACCATTTTTAAAATCACTAAGTCGCTATCGCATAATTCGTTGACCCTTTAGCCCCTAAGAGTGACGAGCATCTAATTTCTCCTTACAATATCTCCCAAATTCACAGGTTTAGGTTACGAGAATAAAGGAAATGATCACCAGCTAGAGAAGCTCTTGATTATGAAACAAATTCTCCTTTTCAGAACATTGGGAAATATCCGGAAGACTGTAAGGAGAATATGCATACTGATGTTAGGGTGTAAAGGGTTAATGGATGGGAGACGCGGTGGCCTGACGGTCAGCGCACTGAACCATGGGTAAAGAGGTCTGGGATCGAGACCTGGCCAGGTGATTGCGTTGTGTTCATGGACAGAATACTTTACTCTCACTAGACCTCTCTCCACCCAAGAGCATAAATGAGAATTGGTGAACTGTCAGAGAAATCTAATCAAATGCTGTGGTGGAGAAGGAAGGAAGGGGAGGGGGGGATAAAATGCAATGGACCTGCATCCCATCCTGGGGAGAGAAGCAACACCCTAAGTCACTCTGGCCAAATAAGTCACTTGGCTGGGTTATGTCAAGTCTTTCCCTAACCTTAACGCATCAGTGAGCTTTTTGACTGGGTGTGGTAAAACCAAAACTGAAGAGAGATAGGATCTTACGTTAATATCTGAAGTAAATGCTGGCAGCTTTCTTATTTCCATGCTGTTCATTGGCCCTCTGTCAAAATGCAGCACCCAAGGAAGATCAGTAGTACGGGAGAGTTCTTCCCTAAGTTCCTACAAAAATAACAGTAACAGGAAATCTCTTAACTACTTGTAGAAATTCTGAGATTTCCTAGAAAGAAGTAATAAACTAAGAACAAATAACACTTATTAAACAGTGAATTGTTTCAAGCCAGTGCTAACAGTTGATCTAAAAAGAACTGTTGTCAGTCAAAAACAAACAGTGACAGCAACAGTCATCACCTGACTTCAATGATGACTTCTCCTCAGGCTGTTGAAACATTAACCTCTTTTTTTCTATTCATAATCTCTTTGTTTTTCACTTGTAAGCTCTTTCTTCTACTGCAGTCTTTTTAAGGAACACTCTTAGGCAGATAATCAGACAACTCAATCAGAGAGCATTAAGGTTGTAAGTTGCCGTCAACAGTACAAATTTTTGTCTTATTACATTTCATACATCATTCAATGTTGAACAATTAGCAAACTATACATCACCTCAAATTTCTTCAAGTCTATATTAACAGGATCAGGAAGCTTCTTTAAAATCATACTGACAATTTCATGGGCATCTAAACTGTCAATAACCTATGACAAGTATAAGAAGCAAACTAAATTTGTAAATTATGATAAATAATCCCTTGAGGGTCACTTTTTTTCCAAGGGTTGTTGGAAACACTGTGCCACAGGTGGAAGACGCAACAACCTAGAGCTTAGCACACTGAATTTCAGACCATCACCAGGTCACAAAGCAGCTTACGTACCTCTCCTTTGCCTGGTTCAACATCTCCCTTAAAGTACACCAAGTCATCACTGTAGCCAACATCTTTACACAGCTGGGAACTTGCTTCACAATCAATAGTACCAATATTCACCAAATTATCCTGGAAATCACATACAGCATTAGGTGCGGACTGATAATAAAGCTTCCTAACTTATCCTGCCATGATTTTGAAGCAGATACATCAGAGAGTTGTTGTCACTTAGGATAAAAGTTCATGCTGCTGTTCAGATTTCTTAGAAATGTGGATTTGCCAAGACCCATTCAAAGACCAGACAGTAACACTGCAAACTTTATATATCCTTAACTCTTTTCAGAAACTTCATAAGGCTACAAAATCCCCCACCAACAACTCCTTTCAAGATGCAGGAGATTGGCTCTGCAGTTTAGCCCTTATCCAAAATCACTTAACTCTTAACTCTGCGTTGATCAGCAAGTAATTTCTCCCTACAAAATCCATGCACTATCCAGCAAAGAAGTTATGAGAATATTCAAACTTATCAGGTAGAAGATGTTTTCTTGATCTAACATCAAATTCTGGAAGCTAATTTACAATGAAACATGTAGCAGCCAGAGGGGAGAAGTAACAATCAGATCTTCTAAGTGAAAGGGTTAACTAACCAGTTGATTGCAGGTCACAAAGATACATGAAGCACATTCAAACTCCTCCAACTTTCTATGGTCAAAGGAGTACTGTTTTTATCTAGGGCTTCAACCCTCAGTTTCTTATACTACACTGGCACTCTACCAATAATTTGCTAACTTAAAGACACCCAGGTGGCAGTCAATTTTGTTGCAACAGAAGCATACATGCTTCTGATTATAATCATTGCAAATAATAATGTTATAATTAGTTCTTACCAGAATAGCAGAAAGTTTAATTCTGGTATCTGAGTCAAGGCAGTCTGTGTGAAAAATAAAAAAGTACATTCCATAACTGAGAAATTTATTTGTAATTAATCCTATTTGGAAAACACACAAACACAATGATTGTAGAAATACTGGAAATTTACTTCAGATCTGCAAGGAAAAGAATCCTCACCTCCTCCAGCAACACAAAAGTCAATCAACCAAGGTTCGTTGCCTTTGTTTATCTGCTTCTCAAAGTTACCTGTGATTGTAACGCAAATCAGATTTAAATAAATGCTTTAATTTGCCTTAAAAAAAAAAACCCTAAATGTCTGGTCATCAAGTGAAAAAATCAACTCTCAGATCTCAGGGTAGCAAAATAATAAAGAGGCACATACCTTCCCATAAATCAAAAAGGTTAACTTCCAGATTGTCCAGTATGAATTTAACAAGGGCTTCTGTATTTCTTGGACCACGATGGAATTCATGCTGTAGAAAAAGATAAAATAGGCCTCAATAACAAAGAAACAATTTCAAATTCAACAGAAGATATGATGGTAAATTTTACAAAACATAACTTTTTTAAGAACAATGAAAACTGTATGGACTCACTGTAGGATAAAGCACAAGGGAGGGGTAGCTAGGGATCCCTTGTCGTCGACACAAATTCCATTCTTCCTGGCAGTTGACAGCACCAAATCTGATCACTCCTTCAAGTTCCCGAGCAACTTCTCTCCACTGTGAAGAGAAATTTCCAACAATTACATCAAACTGTAGGAATTCCAGTCATCCTTACAAGATTCCTACATGCATCAAAACTCTATTGAAGAGTAACCTCCTTCCCACCAGGTTTTCACACAAACTGGAAAAAAAATATTCAACAGCATGACAACAACCTTCTGTTCAAGCATTTGCCAATTTGTTGTTTTTGAATGCAATATAACAAAATTACAACCAAAACATCACAATTACTCCAAAAATTAAGTAGCCATGCTATGAAGACAACTTACTGTTGGTGCTAAATCATGGCAATGTGAACAGAAAGGTGAATAAAAGTTGATAAACCATATGTCTTCACTTCCATCAACTGACACCTCTAAATAACACAAATGAAAAAATTTTAATAAGACTAGTACTTCTAGAATAAAGCCCAGTATATCTACTGTGATTTCATGTTCTGCATCCTGGACTCTGGATTAAATGTTATGAGAATTCTGGCTTTGATTGGAGCTACTTTGATGTGTTCTTGACTAAAAGAGAACCCACAAAATTACACTTCTACAATAAAACCTTCACACAAAAACATAACCTCTTCTTACAAGGCTAAACTACAAGTGTCACTTAGCTGTTGGGGAAATCTGTGGTTATTGAACAAAATGATGGTAAGGCAATCATGCATGATTTAAGGTCACTGAACTTACCAAAATCTGAATGGCTTAAAGTGATAATCTCTGGGTCATCATCATAAATACCTGGAAGAGATTATTAAAAAAAAACATACAGTGAGTGTGTGTTATGAACACAATGTTACTGGTGATTACCCATTGCTGACTTACAAAATACACTTAAAGGGCTCTGCTCAAAAGAGGTGGCACTTTTCAGTGCCTAGCTGTTGAAAGCAAGTTTAAGGTCTGTAACAGAGGACAAGACATCCCCTGCAAGAAGAGCACAAGGATGAAAATTATTGTTACCATTCTGTTGATTTTTTTCCTCTCTTTTTGTTGGCCAAGAGCCAACTACATTAATCCCAAATAACTACCAACAAATTATCGTTAGCTTACAAATAATGCTGTAAAACTAGTCCAATAATTTTCTACTACTGAAAATGTAAATAAATGTTAATCACCAAATATGGCAAGGTAGTTTTGAAGTAAAACCAAGCAATCTGATTGGTTCGTAAGATTTTGCCAGATACAAACTGTGTATTTTTGTCCAAGAAAGCCAGCAAATTCAAGATAAACCAACCTGGTCTGAGTGCCACGTATTAAACTACTGACTTACCTTGCTTGCTCATGCTATACAGGGAAATATTAGCCCTTAGCCTCTTTTATATGGACCCCTCTGTGCTAGGTCTCTACTGCCACAACCTGGCACCAATATTCCCTGGTACAGCCCTTATGTGCCTTATGCTCCTTATTGGGAGGCATGGTGACCTCATGGTTAGTGCGCTCAACTCAGGATCGAGTGGTCCAGGTTTCGAGCCCTGGCCAGGATCATTGTGTTGTGTTCTTAGGCAAGACACTTTACTCTCACAGTGCTTCTCTTCACCCAGGTGTACAAATGGGTACAAGCAAATGTGCTGGGGGTAACCCTGTGATGGACTAGCATCTCATCCAGGGGAGAGTAGCAGTACTCCTAGCCACTTCATGCTATGGAAACCGGAGTTAAGCGCCTGCCCCATGGGCCACCTGGGCCTGTATAAAGGCTTACAGCCCTTATGCTCCGATAGTAAGAGGTATTTTGACTCAGTATGATTATTTTTTTTCCAACTTGGCAAAATCGTTTTTTGTTAGGTTAAACAACAACATGTGAACTTACCAAATTCTTCATTAAAATAATTCCAACTCTGGTAATGTCCTCCGCCAAAGTGGTCATCTTTCAACCCCTCTTCCCCATATAAATCATATTTTTTCCGAAGTTCTTCATCTATAAGTTAAGATAGAATGGAGTTAAGAAATGCAAGATAATCATTCACTTTTAAGGAACATTGTTCAACATTATGCTGGTTCTAATCAAAAATATAACAAAATTCTCAAACATGATTGGTTATCACCAGCCCGACTTGGGCACTGAGAGGACAGTATATGCATCAATGCCTGTGTAATTCAACAGTATGCATCATGTGCATGCACTATTGTTGTGCATTTCCCTAAGTTGACTATTTTTTTTTTTAATGAAATGTATGATCAATGGCTAGTTTGTTTCTCAAATTTTGTCATAGTTTTGATTTATTGTTAATGTGACTTTGTGTCATCCAATTCTGTCTGTAATCATAGTTGTTTTTAACAAATTGGACTCCGCCTTTGTAGTTCTCCAGTTTTGTCACTCACTTATGATAATACAGATTGAATTGGACTCCACTCAGTCCTATTACCATCGCAAATTTACCTGTGTTCAATTTACCTCAAATAGTCTCATTCTAATTTTTTTGTTCCAGATTATGAATGGCTTTTTTTCCTAATGAACATCACTAACACTGAATTCTATTTTTATTTGTTTGCGAAAATATATTTGGACTTGCAGAGTAAAGCTGCTTCACAAATTTTTCACAGATGTGGACAAGTAAGTTTTGTGAGCTACGTCTAAATTTAAGTGAACAACATAATTTGTGTTCCTAAAATTTGCCATTAAGATTGTCTTCCATTAGCCTGAATAAATTTCTTTGACATACAAATAATAAACAGAACATTGCATGCTGCGTTTCATAAAGCTAATTATCTTCTCATTTTAATAACATCCCTCAAGCTTGCATCACTCTTAAAAGATACAATTCGGCCATCTTGAACGTTATTAGCAATGATCTTCTCATGTTTCGAACCTGTGATTCATTTCTTCGTGAATAATAAAATGTTTTACTAATTTCGACGAAAGCTTTGTCATAGGCGACGGTTTCAAGAATCACACAGTATGATGTTCAGTTTTATCTCAACCAAAGCAAATCACACACCAACACTGTCTAGATGTAAATACTATGTTTTTTTAGCTGCACGAACGAATTAATTTAAATCTACGAGTAAAATAAACTTTATGAAAAATAATTAATACTCAGAGAAATTAAAAGAAATAGGCTCACTCTCATTAATTTTCAGTGTGATAAGCCAAAAATGCAATGGAACTCATGAAAAAATCACAACTTCCGAAGCGCTGTTCAGATTTAAAAAAGAGCTTCAATAGAGCTTTGGAAAACATTGAAACCAGCTGATAAAATTATAGAACAGGACAACTTCAGTTAACACGTGAAAAAAGTATATACTCTGTTGAAAATGTCGCCTACCTTTTAAAACTTCGTAAGCCTTGTTTATCACAGTAAACTTGTCGTGTGCCTTTGGATCATCCTTTGGAAAGAAAATATTTCGATATTTACGAAGTACAGTTATTAAAATCAATGATTAAGATATGGCGATACAATCCTTAGTCTCACGCGTACGCTTACCTTATTTTTGTCAGGATGCAGTTTTAGGGCTAACTTTTTGAACGCTTTCCGAATGTCCTTATGACTAGCGTCTCTGTCTATTCCTAATAATTCATAATAGTCTTCGGAGAGTACTGGACAATAAAGAAAACTGGAAAATAAGATAAATAATACCGGCGAGTTCATTCTTCAATAGTAAAGTTGTTTGAGAGATCTGACATATAACAACTGGTTCCCAGTCTCCATAGTCGCGCCGATGACACGTCGGTGCCTAGTTTGTTTACTGCGCATGTATTTATATGCAAGCTTACGTGTCCTTGTGTAATTTGATTTTTTAAATTATTTTTCCAGAACTCTTCTTGTTTAAAATTTTGCTCTATTCCAGATTGGAAAAGGAAAAATAGGAATGCACACTGTGTAAATCGAAATCTACTTTGCCTAAATGTCGCATGTCAGTTGAAACAGAACGTCTCGGTTGCTAGCACACCACAATCAACGACTCTAAAAAATGTTCATCACTAAAAATTCCCCCTTGCCAGTAGTCATCTGGCCTACGCGCTCAAATGAAATGCGGGCGAGGTACTGCGCGCGAAACTCGATAGTCTTCCTTCCTATTCCGTAGGGTTTGCGTTGCTAGCAATTTTTTGGAAGTTTCTAGTTTCTAGATTTTTTTATGACTCTAAAATGAGGGATGAAGCCACGAAAGGACTCTCGATAAGGAACGTTCAACACCCATGGCTCCGTGGCTCTGCCGCCCAAATCTCTATTGGGGGATGGGCACGGTCCGCAGATCTGTCATCTACAGACACTATCCTTCGACATTCCTCTGGGGATTGCACAAGACTTGCACTTTCGTGGCTAACAGTGTAGCAGTCGTGGAAGAAACTCGTATTTCACATAAAAATCTATTTACACGCGTGATGGCAAATTTTCTGTGACCTTACTTTATCTATTTTTATTCATCCAATCTTTTAAAGCTCCCATAGATTTGGTTCTGACTTTTCTTCCGTCAAAGAAGGGCTTGAAGCGATTCACACGACACTGGCTGCCTGTGAGGGAAAAACGGTTACTGGATTCCTTGCCCCCCGTCGCTTCCAAAACCCAGCTCGCGTGCGTCACGGTTTTGCTTGCAGTTAAAACGAGGGTCAGTATCATGTCGTTACCCTCAGGCAATGTAAGAAAATTTGATAGTGATCAAGCATGATCACAGAAAACTGCATGCACGATTATTTTTGCGAATAAAGGCGTGAGGGGAGTGATTGGCCAATGAAACAAGGAGCGGTTCCGGAAACAAATAAACTGCTTAATGGACGCGCGAAAATAATTACAACTGAACAAAGAAGACGAAAGATGATTAAATTATGAAGGGTTAACCTAATACAGTTATTTTGTAGAACAAAGCTTGGCAATGCACGACATTCGCATCATTTTGCCAGTAATCAAGTTAGTGATCAATAGTTTAGTTACCGCGGTTACAAAAGGCTAAAGGGATTTTCATCAAGCTTCATCTAGGTAAATAGAAATTTATGAAGACGCTGAAGAACAAACAGAAGGGAGAGAAGTTGACACCGCGGACTTGGTATGTAAACTCATGCTTCTTTAACTGAATCTTCAGAGTGAAACAGGATCCAATATTAAGCTGGGAGCTAAAGCACCTCATTTCCTCTTAACTTTACGACAGGATCGAGTTTGGTTTAAAGTTACGAGGCAGGGAGGTTGAACACACATGCAAGTAAAACAGAGCGGATCGGAGTGGCCAAAAGACTTAGGTATTTAACCATTTTCAAATGAAGACATTGCCAAGGCTCTAGCGAAAGATAAGTTATCGCCACTTCTGAGTTACTTGCACGCGATACGCACCTCTGAGCCGCTCTCTAAAACTAGCCCGTCTGCCTTGCATGCTGATACTGAAATCAAACATTTCCGAACGATAACGCAGGTAAACACCGACAAAAGACAGCACAAATTACTTTCTTTGTGTAATGACCTTCCCTAAGAGGATCAAAAGTGAAATCTGGGCGAAATTTTCTTCAGTAGTATAGTTCTTCATCAAATATCCAGCATTGAAGCTGTTTTTTTAACATTTTTTTAACGGCGAACTGTCCTGAAAATCCACCATATTCGTGACTAACTTTTGTGTGCATAACTCAGCAAACAAGGTTGCATTTTTATGACCCTCAATTTCTCCTTCCGATCGCACTTCAAATATGTGTGATAGTTCGACGGTTTGACCAAAACTTTCTTAACTATGGATATTTGAATCCGAGACTAATGTTGAACACTGATTTGCAACAATTCTGCGATGGGAAAGCATCTTGATAAAATTTGAGGTTATGCGGTTAATCTCTTGATAAATCAAGCACAACCTAACAAGCACTGTTTAACAAAATAATTTGATCGGCGGGGCGTTTCGTCGCGTTAGTGTCTGTCTGTTGTATACACTCAGCGATGCGATCAGCCCAAGAACAAACTTATTTTTTGTTGCTGTCCGATAATAACGCGAGTCATCGATCGTTAAAATTTTGTCAATAAAATCAGTCTAAAATTTAAAGTTAGTATTTTGGGAATTAGTGTGTTAAAAATTTCTGAGTTCTCCCTTGATCCTCGATTATTTACTGGTCAAATGAAAGCCCAAGGGGTAAAATACATTTCTTGGGGTTTATAGACAGCACTTTCTAAAGGTTTTACAGACGTAAATTTACCTGATACCCCCATAAGGCCAAGTAATATTCCTAAGATCTCCACCCTCTCCCCCACCTCGTTGGTATGACGACTGACCCCCCTCCGTCTCCCCCTGAAATCCATGTAATTCCCGAAAAATCCTCTGGCCCCTCCCCCCACATGATAATACAGTGTGCGTTATGTTTTTAACCAATGAGAGCGTGCGTATTATCTCTGATATTTGATGATTCGCAACGCGTGACATATGCCTCTGTCACGTGTACGTCATCGTAAGTTTTAAACGAGAAAAATAAATAAGTAAATAAATAAATAGGTAACTGTGGAACACAGTTATAAGAAATTTCCAAAAAAAAAATTAATTAAAGGAAAACACAACTGGGTCTAATATATTAGTTAAAACGGAATTTCTTTTACCAGTGTACGAGGAAATCCACTAGGCTGATTGAAAATAAACACTTGGAAAGTTATATTTAGTATATCTTTTTGTTTTCACAACACATCAGTATTTACAAGATGGAACAAGACTGAACTCCGTCCGTACACGTGCGAAACAGGATCAGTTCACGACGACTATTTTCCGAAAGTCAGTGTTTTACTATCCAAAACCGATAGTAAAATACTGACCTAGCCGGAAGCGAGGTGATTGGAAAAGATGACAGCGCAAGTCACCAAGATGGCAAATGGTCGGAGTAATTCTAAACCCTTAGCAACTGGATACAGAAGGGTTATTAGGAGGCGAACTCTTGCGAAATGGGCTAACATTCATCTAGAGACAGTCTGTGTGTCGATACAAGACGTAACAGACCTCCACGACAGCGGAATAGCGGCGAAATTGCTGTCGGTTCTATCGGGAAGAAAGATTGCTGTGCCAATATTTCAACCCCACAGGAAGAAACGACAGGTAGTTGGTTGGAGGAATATTTGCAGTTTTTTAGAAAGCTTGGAATTCCCGGAAGAAATCACAGGTAAGAAGAAACAGCGTATTCTGTTGGTTATCTTGCGTGACAGCGAGACGAAACTGAAATATCCAAACACCATAGTGATTCTATCGGTAAACACTCTCTCGAGATTATTCCATTGATAATATTATGGCCGATCTTATTTAAAAGACCGAACACTATTTCCTATATGTATGTAACCGGTGTCCTTCATAACGTATAACGTCTTATTTATTCTCGTGTGCGAATCGTCCTAAAAATCAAGGCTTTCGCCATTTCTTCTCTAAGAAGAGTGAACGCGTGAGACAAATAAGCTTATGCATCTCTCAAGATGTTCGAGTGAAATCATCGAGCTTCTCAGATGTTGTTTTCATTGCTTCCTTGATTGAATTCTTTTGGAATATTTTTAACGCTGAATTAAGTACTTTCTTCAACGTGTCAAGGCCTGCAATTAATTTTGACAGAAACCGATAATACAAGCTAGAAACTTCCATAATTTCTGTAATTTATACTAACAGTATTCACTCTCCAGTGCATCACTCCGCGATAATTTTATCAAATCTTTTCGTCGAGAAGAGATATGATCTATCCATGTTTTGTCTTGTATCCGTGTATCAAAACAACCCAAATCACGAGGGTGACATTTGCAAAATATAACAATATAAGAAATGCAAACATTTGTTATTGTTTCCATTCAAACAAAACAACTGATGCAACGAACGAATTAAGAAAACGGGCTTAAAGATTAAAAACTGCTCTGGTTTGACAGCTGTTATTCCCAGCTGTTTCCAGGTGAGGTTTTTTCCCCTTCACAACGATATGTCACGTAATTATTCTTTGTAACGCAAATGGTCTTCGTCACGGATATGACGCCTAATGTAACGGCTTGGGAAAGGGCCCAGACAGGGCTCAGAGAGTGAAACTGTAGATTGCAGCCGTAGAATATATGCACGAAACTTACCGCGCCTCACTCCCGGAGTTCCGCGCAGTGCGCTAACACTGTTTTGTTTATCGTTGAATTCCAACCTCAGACAACGACATCTGTTGCACGAGTCAGATAAATCTGCCCGTAGTCCATAACACAGTCAGCTGAGCATACCGATAGAAAACACAGCTATTATTCCGATCTTCCTTTGCTAAATACATTGAGTTTTCAATTTTTTGCATTTGAATCTGTGACCAAAGCTTAGTGACAAATTCATGTTCTGACTGTCATCATTTGCAACTCGCCGGGAGGTTCTGGTCCTAATCACTTCGAGCATGATTTGAGAAAAAACAAAAAACAAAAAAACAAAACCAAAAAAAAAAAAGAATTTTCAAAGATGAAAACTAGTCGGTTGATTATACCAAGATTCATTTAATATCCAAATTTTCAAGTAAAATGAAAGAAATCCACAGCATTTTATTCATCGTTTGCTTTTAGATCTCGCAACTTTGTTATTTACTCGTTTGAACAGGTGAAACGAGGGAAACAATAAAAACCATACCCGAGCTGAGCTGGTCATGTTCTTTGATATTTCATTAGTTTCCTTTACTGTACTTATTAAATTATTTGACTGTGTTTTGATTGCCTGGAAAATTGAAAAAAATATCTTTAGGCTTGTGCAGGAGATGGAGATGCAAGTTTGCAGTTCACGAAAGTCGCAGCAAGCGTGTTATGTTACCTGTTATACACGTAATGGAAATGTATGGAAATTATTTTCAGAATATGTATATTTGTTCCCTATGCAAATATCAAAAACGCTTTGACATCTGCATGACATGTGCTCAAAGCCATAAACTTACACCGACACTCTCTCGGTGTTTACACTTGTTCGCTCTTTCGAACGATTCTCAACATGATTTACTGCACGGGAGACTTTTAAAGCAGCAAGAAGTCGCTCCATTGGGACCTAAATGGCAAATTTTGTTTTTCATCCTCGTGGATAAACACAGGCGAGGGACGAAGCAAAATTGCGAGGTATTCTTGATTTTATTACTTTTATTTTCATTCCGTATGTATTATCTCTGTAACTGTGATATATAAAATAACTTCCATCACTCGCTCTTGTGTCGAAATTGCTTACGTCTTTGAAATTCTCGTTGTAAAGACAGCAAATAAAATTCTTTTGTCGACGGCTGCTGTTCCCTCACGGTAGGTTCAACATTTTAAAATGCAGCGAAATGAGTATTGTTTTAAAATTGTATTTCGGCCGTGAACATACAGGTTTTGTTTTTGACGAAGTAGAAAATACTTATAAATTGGCTGTTTCATTTTGATATTCCATTTAACACGGAATTCAAACGAATTTATTCCGAGAAACACACAAAAAAAAAACACAAAGGCGAATTTACAGCCACAAGTTATAAATGCGATTTTCAAATCGCATCTGCGTGAAGCTATCACACTTGATTCTGAAAATTGAGCATCAGGGATTTGCTGATAAAGCGACATTTTATTCAAATGTTTTTGTTTTGGTTCGTATGTTCTTATATCCAAGAGCAGATAAATGCGTCCTTTCATTTTGTTCATGTTGTTCTTCACGCTCAAGGCGCACAGTTTCTAAGAGCCAAAGTTTAACAAACAGACTTTCGGCGTGGTGATAATAAATTTATTAATTTCTATTTATCAGGCGAAACACAGCTTGAGTCCTCGACTTTTAAGTTCGGTTAAATTTGGTAAATATGTGATAACTCTTAGGGGAACTAAAAAATTTTCGCTCTTTTGTCACTAATTTATTATTTATGTCTATCTGCGACACTTGCCTCTGGATAGCATGTCTTATGCTAATTAAACTAAGTTAGGATATATAGCCGTGTTGCCAGCTTTCTAGTTTAAAAAGCGCGGGCTTTAAACTTTAATGTTTTTCAGGATTTTTTCACGCAATAGAATTGTGAAACTAATTTTTTGGCTGAAATAGAAACGCCATAAATTTTTTATCTTTCTACCTGTGAATGATCGCCTTGACTGGAAATTGGCGCTCACTCCATGAAAAGGAAAACAGAGGGCTTTGATTCGAAGTTTTTAGAGTATCGTTTTCTTAACGCGAAGATGAAATTTAAAAAAAAAACGGAATTTTTCAAGGTTGCAAGTATTGGATATAAACTAATTTAAACGTTCTAGGTGAATATACAAGGAAATCATACGTTTCAATAATTGATGCAACACGCCGAGTTTGGGAAAACTCGTTTGTTATAAAGAAAATATTTGAAAGCAGTATACAGTTTTTTCTTGCGGCAACATCGACACGACAGAGTTCGACTTTGCCTAAAAGATGCTTGGAAGATTTTTCTTGTCCTGTCGTTCAGTCGATGAATCGTGTACAAAGAGGAGCTGTACGCTGTTTAAATAAAGTTTTTGGAAAGGACATGAATGATGAAATTTGACAGGTACTTGTCATTGTTACAGATCGGGTGATTTGAAAAGGAAAGAACTTCGGTTTCTGTCCAGAAAAACAAATAATGATATGCATTGTTTCATCTCCAAAAATATGTACCTATATATGTATTGTATAATCAATGAATGATTCAGAATAAAACTGTGATGTGGTTGGCCTCATGTCCCAATTGCGATTTCCCCCCCCCTCCCCTCCCACTCATGCTTTTTCTAAAAGTTGAGTTCGAGGATTTTCACCCATCAAGATAAAGTTTTTTTTTAAATTTTGGATCTGAAGTACCCCTCAAGCAAACATTTTTGCTTTTTTAGTGAATTGATCGAGAACTCCGAATGGTTTTGTTTTGCTAAGCTCTGTGATCGGCAATTTTCTATCCCGCGTCAACCTCTCAACTAATCAGACGGAAACAAAAAAAAACGATGGCGACTTGGCTGCTCGCATTTTCCCGCGTGTCAGAAAGTCTTCTCCTTTCAGCTTTCTATTAATCTGATTGGCCGTTCTGGTCACTTTGGTTATTGGTTTTCGGCACTCGATACAAATACGCACCAAACTGAAATTTCGACCCGTACTTTTGTGTAGAAAATTGGAAATTTCTTAAATCTTATCTAAATCAGTAGGATATCATCGGTAGCTAGTCGTTCATTATAGTATTTTGTTTCATTCGCTTCCTGTAGAGCCACTTCAATTCACTCAAGGAAACATCGAGTTGCTTCTCGACTGGGTTTGGCACCTGGTGATATACTTTTTGATAACACCGCTTCAAGACATGTTTGGTCAAACACAGAGCTCGCCTAGAGAATTCATTCTGTCCTGGGTTCATGAAAAGCTTCCTACTCATAATGTCACAAATTTTGATACAGACTGGCAAAATGGCGTGCTACTCTGCGAGCTTGTAAACGCTACTCAGTCTGGACTAATCCCATCAAAGCTTTATGCAGATAAAACAAACGGTGAAGGAAACGCTAAACTCGGCATGCAAATTGCGCATGAGGCCTTCGGAATACCGCAAGTAATTTCTCCGTTTGATCTAGCGTCATCGCAAGTGGATGAGTTAAGCTTGCTGACGTACCTAGCGCTGTTTGTGAAGTACGAGAGTCTAAAACAAGGCCCTGGGAAGAAGGCGAATAGAGGTAACCCGGTAAATAAGGATGAAGAAATTGCGCATGCGTGTAAAGCATACGGTTCAGGACTGAGAGCTAGTGAACTCGGGAAAGTGGCGGAATTTGTTGTCGAGTTGAACGGTGCTAAACCCACTGATATAACCATAGCAATTGAATGCAAGCCAGTTCGAGGAGCTGTTCATGAAGACAAACCGGATCTCAGCGTGAAACCGCTGAACAGAAATACTTACTGTGTGAAGTATTTACCAACACGACCTGGAGACTACGTCATCAGTATTCTGCATTGTGGGGCTCATATATTGAGGAGTCCATTCTACTTGACAGTTCCAGAGCAAAACGGCCTCAGTTCTCTGAAGACGCCTCTTAGAAATCAGCGGAAAGACCTTGTGGATGGAATTTCAAATAATGGACACGAAGTGTCTTCGAACAAGAACCGCTCACCAACGAGTCAGAACGGCTCGCCGAGCCTGTCTTCTGACGATGAGGGCAAAAATTACCCACTTACCCCTCCCTTTCTGACAAATGGATCTATATCACCTGAACTTCCTACGAATACAGCTGAGGGACCGGGGCTTATCGCCGGGGAGGTCGGCCGTGTAGGGAGATTCAGGGTCGTAACTGATAACACAACCAAAGGCCCTTTGAGCGTCTGCATCAGCTGTCCAGCGGTTTCCATCCCAGTGCCCTACGTCAAAAGTGTGAAGAAGGGCACATTTACAGAGCATAGCGTGTTGTACATCCCCACGGAGCCTGGAGCTTACGAAGTGTTCATAAAATGGGGAGACATTTCTATCAACGGAAGCCCTTTCAAAGTCTTCATAAACAACGTGTTGGAGGACGGCGTCGACGCGCAAATCGGAGTGAAAGACGATTTAGGCGGGCGTGGAAGAATTCGCGTGTACTACGCAGCCATGTCGACGAATCTCAAGGTGCGAAAGGACAATGAACTGTTGGAGAAGTTCTTAAAGGCAAAAGGGATTTCAAACCGATCGGATTTTGACGAGTGGATTGCGCTAGATGTAGCCATGAACAGAGCGCAAAGAGATAAAGTTTTCTCTAAAGCTGGTACTCGAAAAACACCAATGCTATTTGCTAATGATGTCTTCATCGGAGGTTATGAGGATGTTCTCATTATGGATAAGCAGGGATTGTTTGATAAGTACTTGAAGTAACTTTATATCTCGACCAGACTGTAGCTGAAGAGGAATTCTCCATTGATGTTTCATTTTCATATTTTGGTAAATGGTATGAATAAAAAAGAAACGCAGAGCATTTTTTGAGTCTGTGATATTCAAAATTGCCTTCAAGCTGAAGGTATCTACCAAATATTTCTTTGATGAGAAAGAAAAATAACACGATGGCAAAAATAAACAAGAAACGAAGTAGGATGGCTAAGGATGGAAAAGATTGACAGGGATTGGAAACGACTACTAAATATTAGTTTGGTAAGATAGAAAAACGCTGAAGAAATAATAATTAAGGAAGAGAAAGCAAGGATGACTTAGAATGGAGAAGATTGGACCGGATTGTTAATGACTATAAAATATTAGTTTGGTGAGATATAAAAACACAGGAGATGCAAAGATAAACCAGGATAGTACAAAGATGGCTAACAATGGAGAAGATTGGACCGGATTGTTAATGACTACAAAATATTAGTTTGATAAAAAAGAGAAACGCGAAAGGTACAATAATGAAGCAGGAAGGAATAAGGATGGCTGATGATGGAAAATACCGACACGAGTTAAAAATCCTAAACTTAACAAATTCAATAAGATGATTAAACGTGAAGTAAAAGGATTGAGATATATCCCTCTTGTTAGAGTCGTAGAAAGTGTGAACGACCTCAGAGGGTTTTTGGACAGTCTCATTGAGTTTTCTTTTACTCGAATCCTTGAATCTCCATACTGTTATTGGAAAAGGTGTGTGTCTGTAGTTCGGACGTTTGGCCTGGTAGTTCTCGGTATGATACAGCTTTGCGATTAGATTTTGCAAATCGAATGTTTAAAGCGAGTTAAAAAATTACGATTTCGTAGGAAAACAAAAATTTATTTATTTGAAGTAACGTAAACGAATTTGCTTAAAATCGTAGTTTATTTATTCTATCTTGGCTAAGCTTTAATTCGTCTTTTTGCCCATGATTCGAAAGCGTTCTGTAGGAATGCCAAGAATGACTATTTCTTAAACGCATCACGGCTTTGACCAGTGGCGTAAATGAAACACTTCCTATTGAAATTAGAAGTTGAAAAACTAAAAGAACTCTGTACAAGCTCACCAAGTCAGCTGGGGTGGTGTGGGGAAAAAAAGGTGCTAATATGTGTAATTTATTTATTGTTTGCTTAGGCGCGATTGTAATGCGTCGATCAATCCGAAGATTCAACATCTACCCCCAGGAAACTCCCAGGCATTTGAACTTTTAAAGATTGGTTTATTCAAATTTGTTCAAACTCCCGCTCCACCGGAGCAAAATTGTTGTTCAAATTCCCCACCCAAGTGCCGGATTTGATGTTCATTTTTTTTTGTAGCAGGTGAAATCAGCGACAGTGACTTTCTACGGATTGACTTTATTTACTTTTAAACACCTCGATATTTAAAGATATGACACTTGTATTCCGCTGGAAAGACTTGACACTTCCGGTTCAAGATTGAAATTCTTTTCCACCCCCTTCAGGGCGCGGACGACGGTAAAATACCCGTATGTTGAAGCTTCGAATTGATCGGCGCATAATTCTAATATTAGACTTAATTTATTTATGGTGCGACGCATCGGAGAAGATAATTTGATTTGAATTAGAATAAAAAGACAACAACGACAAGGTATGAAATAAAAAAAGACTATTTTAATAAGCTATTTAGATAAATGCTTAGTCGCATAAAGTTCAATAAAAGTATCATTGAAGTTGCTCGTGTTTTCTTTGTGCAAACCATATGGCTTCAGGAATTAATTGACAGAGGATCTCAATGGGATAATAAACTAACAGTAAAACGGCCAAAAAATGTAGCACCTAGGCGTGAAAATTGAACACTTATTTAAACTATAAGTCGTAAAACTAGTGAACCGTTAAAATTCTCCCTTTCCACAGTATGTAATTTTGTGTTAACCGTTAGCCAGCAGTAACAGGTATACAAACAAATTTTAATATAAACTTGCTTTAAACCAATGCTAGTTCCTTTTCATGTTATTATTGATATCATCTTCTGTAACAATCGTGTAATTCAATTTTTTAGTTGCAAAGTGATGATAAATAATCTATATATCCATCTTTAGCCGTAAGTTGGTCAAAATTTTAACCGTTAGCCGTAAAAGCCATTACCCCATTAAGAGATTTGCACTCACCATTGGTGGTGAAACTTTGTTCATAAAGTAGCTTATATGGGCCGATATTAGTTTTCCCTCGTGTCACAAATCTTATGTTTTGAAGCTCTAATTACAAATTCTAATCCTAATTAGGAAAACTTTGAGAACTGTTAAGCTTGTTATTTTTTGCTTGCGTCCAAAAATGGCATTTGAATCACGTGACCGTGAAGGTGTGGGGCCGCGTGATATGGTCTGATAAAACTTTGTTGAAGCAGAGAAAAAACGATTTAGCTCAATTGAAGTTGAGTTAACTTTTCGTCCCGCAACAGTTTTGTGTAAACTGGCCGTTTCTGTTGTTTAGCACATAGGGAGACTTACTTACAGCAAGAGTCATATTTTCGTCTACAAATTAGTGTAAAAAAAACACAAGTCGGTTATTGGCTTTGTGCGCGTTCACGCTTTAACCCTTTAGAGTGACCGGCTTCTAGCTTCTTCCTACAGTATCATCCTCGGATCAAATATAAAGTCATGAGAATAACAGAAATGATCACCACTTAAGAAACTCCTGACTGTCGAACAAATTTTCCATTTTTTCTCCCTTTGTTCTCAAAGGAAATAAGAAAAAAACAGTGTGAAGAATGTAAATACCAATTTAAGGGCGTAAAGGGAGGTGGAAACAAAATAATATAATAAGGAAAGGCAGAAAGGATCTGACGGAAGGAAAGACACTCATTTCAAACAAGTGCGTCAAAATAAATCAAAGTCTTCTTCTCAGTAACGTCAATCGACGATACGTGAAAATCGACTGTGTTGGAAAGACGTACTGGTGATTACTTCACCTGGTTTATGACTATACTGTTTAATTCTCCCTACCAGCATAATGCATTACTGCGCTGTCTGGTATGGAGAATCTACGTTCGGATGTAAACAGTTGGGCAACATGTTGATACCCATCGTCTTCAAATGCACTTCTTGCTGATTATCCGTCGACTTTGATTTTTCCAGGAGTTCAAGGAATTCATGCATAGCACAGTTATGTGGCTACTTGTTACCTGCGTGGAAAGATTACATGCAGTTTAATCATCATGTGTTGAAAAATACATTCGCAGATGAAAATTATCGTGGTTACGCTGGATGAAACAAGAAAACGGGGAAAACATAAGCTCATGATCTCTTGCGTAATAAATTTGAAAGGAACCAACTCGGATTGGATACTACCCACCCCTCCCTCTACAATAGCATGGTAGAATATTTTCGGGCATTGTTTGGCGCGCATGAGCACACGTGCTTCTTACACAGGTCCCAGTAGAAATTTTTTCGACTAATCCAGAATAATGTGAAACAAAGCCAATTTAATCCCGAAACTTTTTAGGTACTCATTTGCGAACTGTCCCAAAGACAGAACCTTTAAAATTGATCGGATGAGGTCAAAGCGGCAAAAATTTATTTTTAATGCCATAAGTCATCTGCATTCGTGTCCCGGTTAAGGTCTGTATCGGTGAGTTCTTGGTGCACGCGAAGTGACTGTCTCGTGTCACGTGACCTGACTTACTAAATACACCGGTCAAACGTTTGCGCATGTGCGAACTTTGTAATGATTCGGGTGGCGTGCTGCTGGCTGTGGGATCCAAGTTGTCTCACACTAGTTACTAACAACTACAAAAGCCAGTAAGTCACAGTGTTTCAGAACGGGAAACCATTTTCGGCAAGGCTCAAAACGGAATGGTAAATCACCAGAATACCAGTACTTGAATAAGGTGTGTGTCCCAACAGTGTCGGTTTTCCTTTTAACTTCTTTTTTTCCCTTTTTACAGTTTTCTTTGAACTTTTCAATTATCTTTCTCTGATATTGCGAGACAGCGCTGACAACAGTTTCTTATTTTTTCCTCTGAATTTTGGGCGGGAAATTGGTGTGCGGGATGGGGGGGTCTGGGGTGGGGTGGCCAAAATAAATCCCCTCGCGCATGCCTGACGTTTGACCGCTATGTTGAATCGACAGCTGTGTCTGCTATGTTGACTTACTAAAATCTTGATCCAATTTGAGCATCATGTGCCGTACGTGCTTCCTTTCTGACGCGAATTTCTTGCGCCAAGGACTCGTTTTCCCTCCGCACGCCGTCGATTTCATTCACAAGAGAAATTACTCGCCCCTGATGATCGCGCAATCTACAAAAGATTTAAGACAATATTCATAGGATTAGACGTTCAATTTTAACCTTCAAAGAATCAAAAAACGTAAAAGCAGAGAACTATATCAGAGTATTTTCATGCACGCCATAATTTTGATCATCACGCAGCACAGCTCTTTTTCGTGACGTTCCGTGATGCGTGACTCTTACTAATAAGTTACGCTTTCTCCTAATTTCTCCGTTACAAGTCACGCCATAGTGCTCGCCTTTTGTAGTTAATAGTAAGCTTTGTGATACGTGATTCGTGATTATGAAGAAAGATTCTGTAAACATTTTAGCAGCCGGTTTTTTTTTCTTTCAATTTGTTTAGAAACGAGGCTTAAGGAAAGGAAGAGAATCTGGTAGATAATAATGTTGCATGACAATAATGAAGCTGGACTGTACAATGAAGTAGAGCAGGTTTGTGTCAAGGGTTTTCGTGGGGTAAATTATAGGGAGAAAAATGACCTTTGTTGACAAGTAAGCTTGTTGCTTTTCACGTTTCAGTAGAACCGAAGGATAAGAAAATTGGAACATTGGAAAATGGAAAAAGTGGAAGAATGAGAAAAATGGGGAAAATGAAATATGGGAAAATAATTTCCACGTAGAGTTACCTCTCTACTTGTCTTCTCAACTGGGCATTTCCTTGCCGCTCTCGTTCCAGTTCATCGAACAGCAGGTGCGAACGTCTCCTCAATTTAAACAT